TGCGGCAACTCTCCGACACTCTCCGGCACTCTCCGGCACTCTCCGGCAACTTTCCAGCTCTCTCCGGCACTCTGTGGCACTCTGCGGCAACTCTCCGGCACTCTCCGGCACTCTTCGGCACTCTACTGCACTTAACAACACGCAACCGCACTGTACGGCCTTCGATAAGTCTCGAAAACACTTGAAAAACGCGCGAAAACGATCGATAACGGTCGAAAATGCTCTGAAAATTACCGATAAACGCTCGAAAAACGGTCGATAACGCTCCAAAACACTTGACAAACGCTCGATAACGCTCGAAAACGCTCCATAACGCTCCAAAAGACTCTAAAAACGCTCGAATACACTAAAAACGCTCGAAAACGGTTGAAAAACGCTTTGTAACCCTAAAAAACAGTCTAAAAACGCTCGAAACCGCTCTGAAAATGATCGAGAAACGCTCGAGAACGTTAAAAAACGGTCGAAAAACGCTCGAGAACGCTCGAGAACGCTTGAAACCGCTCGAAAAACGCTCGATAATGCTCGAAAACGCTCGATAACGCTAGTAGGGAAATGTAAAAAAAATCATACGCGAAATGACTCGGCTTATATCCGGGGTTAGGTAAGCCTCTGGAGGATTTTCGCAGTATCGACTCTCACGCATACTCGTCGAGTGTAGCGCCGAACGCACATATATTCAACATCTCTACCGTAGCTTGGCGCTTGGCTGGTTGGGACGCGCGAAGATTTCTAGGAGCGATCGCACTCACGCAGATTCGCTGCATGAGAATTCCGTACACGACACCGACGCGTGCCCCAAAGCTCCGCACACGTCGACTTTGAGGTAACAATGTACTTAATAGTAGTAGATAAGTAGATAAAGTCAAATGGAGTGTCACGAATGTTCTTCCTTTACCATCGAAAGCGAGCAGTGTTGGTAAGCGTAGGTAAGCCACCAACGTCAACTGCCGCATGGTATTACCATCACGAGTACGTGAGGCGCCAACGGCGACTGGTAGATGGTACCGCCATCGCGAGTGCACGAGCTCCTATCAGAAATTCGTTGCGCCGCCCTTGGGGGCAAAAAACGGTGAAAGCTAACGTACGAAACCAGAGGGCAGCACATGATGCGATCGCACTATCCTGCCCGTGAGCAGTCTCTCAACTCATCTCTGAAATCACATGCACAGCAATGGCCACCATGCTTCTCCGCAGAAAAGTTTTATCTCTGGTTCCAGGAAGCAAGTCATGAAAAATTGGGGAGAAGTCCGATACGGCGTGAATGTATGAACACATTTTACTAAATATATGAAATAATATTGAGAACCTTATTCGAGCGCTATCACCGCGGTGTTTGATGTGGTTTAACGTTTACGTCAACGTGAGCTCGATTTCGTGAAATGACAGACAAGCATCAGTCAAACGATGATATTCAATCGATTTCTGTCAAGCTGCAGTCCATAACGACTGCAGATGCTAATTTAAGCTCACAAGATTCAACGCGGACAAATCAAACTATGCCCAAAGTAAATAACACTACACCAGTATCTAATTTGGAGGAAAGAACAGTAAGCGCAGTAGAAGAGAGTGCAATGATAAAGCCAGGACTTAACGTGCCAGAAAAAATAGTTCTTGTAATTGATACGGTAAAAGAACATGACTGTACGAAATTTAAATTAGGTACCGGGGCCAAGTACCCACCATTATTTATGATAAAGAGGGTCGTGGAAATCTTCGTTGGAACCAAGTCAACGATACATCGTAAGCACGAGTTTGCCTTGATGACTCTGGATTCGCAATCGGTGCATTGGTTGTGCGATTTTACGAATAACACAAAGACGCTTCTTAATCACTTGGACAGCGTCGAAGAAGATGTCCTCGATGAGGAACACAAGGAATGCGATTTAGGCGGGGTGTTTGAATGTATATATGAGCGTACCGGTCTCCTGCAAATACCTAATAACAATTCTGCCGTACCAAAGTTTGTCCTTCGGGTTATATTGATTTATTCTCGCTCGCACTGCATGCCTGTTATTACGTCAGGTCAGAAGGAACTTATAGAATTATTGGAACATCCGTACTGCTTCTTGGACACTCTGTTTGTTCACGAGCCACCTAGTCCTGAAAATAAATGTGAGAAGATTTATGCCAAGCTTGGAGAGTTTGATGTAAAGAACCGTTCCTATATTCTCGAGGCTGGAAGAAACGCTACCAAGCTGCACGATAACATGGCCAAATTAATGGCACATCCACTCCAGCGCCCTGTTCAGGGTGATGCATCGTACACCATTTTTGCCAATGTACCTTCACAAGAAGTTCACACTAATGTATAATACAATTTTTCTTTTTAATAAGGTGAATTAAAAATAATGAGTATCCACCAAACTTTTATACCTAAATTAATAACATAAGATTTTATTATTCTTCCAGATTCTTGTGGAAGTTTTAGGAACTACACTGGGAACAAAGGCTTCTTCGTTAACTACAATGTCAGTGTAACTACAATTGCACATGTAAATATAACATTTTTTATTACATTTCTCAGAATTCATTGTTTCCATCTTGACACCTTGGTTCACATTTTTTAAATTTCTTCCTATTGTTATACCTGCAGTAACGGTAGACTCATATTAGTATTTAAAAGGTAGCGAAAGACAAAATTCAGTCGTTTCCAAAAAATATTAATTTTAGTTTGTCACAACATATTGATTGCACGCACAACCCTTATCTACAGTACTGGGAAGATAACTCTGACTTGATTGTGCCTAAAATATTCATCAAAATGTACTTAGAATATAAAAAATACTTTCGAGTCAGAATTATTTGGCCATCCAATGTACAACATACGAGTCAGGTATGGCACCGTTTGCCCCTAAATGTCATTACGTTCCAAAAAGCGACAATTCGGAATGAAGTGCCACATCAGTACATATATACATAGAAATATAATATCTACTTTTACATATCACAGCATCGATACACCCCAATGATCTATTAATACTATTACCTAGGTTAGGATTCCAAAGACTCCTCATGTGAAATTCTCAAATCCTGCCTAGCGAACTTCGATGAAAGATATTCTTACATTACTATCACGCTGACATTAAAGTTAACACTTGTTGAATACTCTGTAAGGTATTCGTCCGTGTACAGGTACAGTTCGGTACTCGACATGAAATGCTACTAAGAAGTAAGAGGGCTTATAATCAGACAAGTTACAAGTATCAGAATTCCCACGGCGTGACAACTCGCGGACGAGGAGGCTTTGAATTCTCCAAAAATCAGGGGAATCCATGTCATAAATGAAATTTTAGTAGGCCGAGTGTCATCGACCTCATTCTCATGCGGTAAAACTTCTGTCGTCGACGTCAAAAATTTACTCCAAAGCTCTCCTGTAATTTCCGGTCTGCCCGATGGCAACCAATTCCCACATTTTGGGAAATCTCGTGGCACTGGTGGAAATTCTTCATGTTCGCCAATTTTAAAGATCAAGGCCATGCCCAGCTCGACATGGAACTCGATGTGACAGTGGAAAATCCAGTATCCTGAAATATTTAATTCCTGAGACTCTCTTCACGCATGAAATTAACTATTCAGGTATCTAACCTAAAAATTGCCGTACGCATTCGATAGAAAAATATAAGATAAAGGAAAATACGAGTTTGATACATTTCCAAGATAAACTCACCAGGATTATTAGCATGAAACCTTAAAATCGTGTAGCCACCGTCAGGGACGGTGACGGTATCCTTAATCGGAGCACGTTTCAGTTTCCTGTGGATCAGACCTCGCTTGTCTAGGTTTTTCACTTCCTCAACGGTGACGTTTTTGCCGACTCTTGCCATGGACACGACGCGAAACGAGTGACCATGTAAATGGAAGGGATGATTGGCATCAAAAGTGAAACCTGGAATAAAGGAGTCGTGAAGTAAAAAAATAAAATAACTCTAAAAAAGATTCGTGCCTCTATCGACTTCGTGCATTAAAATCTACTTTTGTCTATTTTACAAATATCAGAGGTGTAAACCTTTGTCAACCAGCACAAGCTCGACGACGCTTCCGAGTTTGACCTGTAGTACGTGTGTACAGGCACAGAAATCTTCTACGCATCCTTCTACGGTACTGGCATTGCAGAACTGTTCCGTCGAAATAGAATCTCTCTGAGAGAGTAACGGGTATGGTGGAAGCTTCAACGTGATGTGGTTCAGTTGTGGCGTGAAAAGTCTCTGGCGTTTGTCTTTGACTGTAAATTATAAATAAATAAAACGAACATAAGAGATTGAAAAGAAACCCTCGTTAAATATTCTATACGGTGTGAAGGAGACTCCGTTGCATTTTATAATTTTTCAAGGTTTCCAAGAATTTCCTGCATGTTGACACACGTTACCTTGGTGGAAACCATAAAGGTTTTTACGATGGAAATCCGGATTGTCCTTGTCGTAGAAGTCGTAGGAAATATAGAACTGGTAATCAGGCTTGCGAGTATTCGATTCATCGTCAGGATCTAAAGAATCCAACAGCGGCACACTGATGACGGTGTCTGTCTCCATGCCTTGGTTCAACGTGTTCACTTGCTGTGCATGAAACATGAAAATTAATACCTCATCGATGAATATATCTGAAAAAAAGATTAATGAACGTACCAAAGCATCCGAAGTTGTAGGCACACGCTCATAAGACACTGTTTCCTTGGGATCGATCTCAGGTGCTCCCTCATACCGCAGGATAGCAACTTGATACGCACTGAGAAACCTCTCGTCGCAGTCCATTAATCCACGAAACCTTATCCAATAATTCCCAACATCTTGGTTCATCTCCACTATCACGTCGAATCGCTCTCCTGCATAGGTGACGACGGATTCAGCTGAGAAAAAAATACTTATATAAAAAAAATGTCCGAAGAGAATATTTCACACCGACAATAGCACACATTCTACCTTCAATCGGCTCGAAGTCGTTCCCATCAGAACTGACGACATAAATCGTATGATTGTCAATCGACACCTCGATCGGGCAATTCAAAAACTCCGCATTGATAATCCTCAGCCGATATCTGAAATTCTAAAATAACCACCGCATAAATAAATGTGTCAAGGGGGAGTATTACAAGAAATAAGTACCCAGCCGCAAATTCACCTGTTTTACTGAGACTACCGCGACAGGCATGTCGACAAGAGTGCCATTTTCAGACTGGATCGGTTTGAAGCGCCCTAAACCATTGACTAGTAAATTCGGAGACTTGTTGTCCCCATTAGCGTGATGATGGGCCAGGAACTTTTCTACCCCGGATTCGTGTAGCCAGTCGAGGATGACTAAATTATGCTCGTCGTAATCATAGAGGTCTTTATGGTGGTCTCGAGAGGGAGGAACTCGAACAATCAGAGCGCCGAAGACCCCATCGCCTCGGTGGAATCCTGAATGAATAGTTAATTTCATAAAAATGACTATAAATATTACTATAAGTACTATGCAAAATCATGCATTAATTAGTGACATACAAGAGATATTTAAATACCTGAGTGGGAGTGCCAAAAGTGAGTACCGGAAGTAGCAGCGGTGTAATGGTACCTGAAGGTGGCACCAGGTAAAATCGGGCACTGCGTCACGTAGGGAACCCCATCCATGTATGGGGTTCCCGGATGTTGCTGACCATGCCAATGGATCGTCGTGCTCTCGGTGGGCATCATGTTCGTGACGTCAATGATCAACCTGTCGCCTTGGCATACCTACGGCAAGGCACACAATGAGCGGTTTTTGCCCTCGCGAGGTGATATAATAATTTCGCTATAATAGCGGATACATGGCCTTGGTAATTCGGAGCGAGAGGTTTTCGAAGGTGCGCGGATCTGGTCTATCGTTTGACTCATTTCTTCCGGGAGGAAAAATCTTACCTCTCGGTCCGACTTTACCTTCGACCGAACGGTGCAAAAAAAAAAAAAGAAAAGGAAATTACGAGGTCTCCAGTTCCGGAAATTATGCTAATGTATTCGCTGCAAATCTATTCGTATGATCGCATTAATATGAGAACATTGCCGAGGCTCGATGCCTAGATACCGGAACCCGTGCCAAGCAAACGGCCCAGAATACATTTATCCTACTCGAGTTCTGAATATATTTATCTTTAGCTGCGTTAATCCTACACTCGTTAAGCTGCATGACGCACTCGCACAATGAGCCCGTTCGCACGTGATGCACGTCCCGCCCGAGATCCCGTAACAGGTGACTCGTTTTAAAGGAATAAACGCAGTGACGACCTAATGTTACTCTACTTTTCATTTAATCATTTTATATGACGCCTGGAAAACTGAGAGATAAATAAATATAACTTGCATTCAGGTACTTTTAGAGAAACTTGGTCCTTTTGATCCCAGCCGACTTGGTGGAGCGAAACTTTATACCTAGTTGAAAATGTATTTAACCGAATATAAAAATACATTATCAACGGTTTAAGGTGTTATGAAAGTGTCATGTATGTACGTACCAAAAAGTCGAAATATTTATTAAACTTTTTTCCATATTGAATGCACTGAACAATTTGAAACTTTATCATGTGACTGTGAAGATCCTGAAATTGGCGATATTTGATTTTTCAAAAAAAAATAATACAAATTTCATGAGCTTCAAGACTTTTATTAGGACCTCGTAATCGCGTGTTAGAGTTTCAGATTATTCGGTGCACCTAGTTTGGAGAAGAATTTTATTAATATTTTCACGTATCGATATATATATAGAATGACCCTTTCATATCACCTTAATAGGTGATTAATTAAAATTCAGATATTCATGCAGTGGCTTTACGGGAGTCGTGAAAGATTGTGAAAAATAGAGCTGTTTTTTTTTTTTTAGAGAGTTTGGCCTACATAAATGGTCTCGTGTTGTAAACAATAATTACTAACTTCGATCGAGGGTCCCGGCATTTGTCGATTGACCACGATGAGAGGTCTCTCGACACCGTCTCCGGCGACACAGTGAGGTCGAAAGCAATCCGTGTAATTGAACGGACAGTCGTAACAAGCTTTGCTCATCGTGTAGTAAGCCTCCACCCTGAATTCGTAATGACACTCCATCGGCGGGGCATTTTCCTGGCATGTTCGTCTACAGGGATGATTTTCCCAGTCAATCTCGTCGGGAAACTTCTCGTCCGTCTGCACGTTCCAGCTGAGGCCATGATCGGCTGTTATCACAGTCTCTAAAATCGGAGATAAGACATAATCTAGGTGAGACGCATCACTAGGCGTCTAGGACAGCTGATCAACTTATCACGGATCCTCCAAAAATACAACAGACGTTACACGTCGATAAGAAAAATATCTAATACCTCACTAATTTTCTTATATCACATTGTCGGCTACTCACCAGCTGAACCACTGTTAATTAGCACTTCCGAGCTAATCAGGACGGCCACTATTGAGACTATCATCGTTGACCTGCGAACAGAAATGGAATTACACGTTACTGTAAAAATCCAACCGAATAAACTGAGAAAATCGCACGAAGAGAAGTACTCCTGTCGCTGAACATTCCGTTTGACAATGTAATAATTACTGTACGTGGCAAAAGAGTCGGATCCGAAATCAAAGAAAATCTTTCCCCTATCTCAGGATTACTCGCGGCCCGAAGTATCGATGCCGAGCATCTGTACGATCCTAATTATACGCTCGTAAAGTCAATTACGCGTGAAATTGCCACTTGCCCAAACATTAACATTTTTAATGCAAACCAACGTGGCGACGATGTCATCGTTAATAATTCGGGACGTGCGAATTAATACGTATAAATAATTGCCGAAGAACACGAGGGCTCTTCAAGGTTTTCACGCCGAAGTTTGCCCGCTCTCCTGCAAGGTAAATTCCAGGAGAAAGTGGCTCACTGGACGAAGATAACAATTCTAAGCCTCACGTGATGCGTAATAAACAAACATATTCTTACGTAAACGCGTGTTGCAACGAAAGAGGACGTAGATAAACTATGGGATATGTCGAGGTGGCGCGAAAGAGTTCTGAAATAAATGCAGTCGCAGAGAAACGGCGATTCCAACATTGTCACATGAACATTAGCATTAAAACGTCTCGGAAATTATTCCGGAGTTTTAAGAAATCCCTGCTAGGTAGAGGCATTGTTCCGTGAAGAGTCCGGCATTGAAGTCTCCGCCAGAGTGGACGCGCCACAGAACAAATGCGTGTATTCTTTTTACAAGTACACGTAGAGGAATTAACATGTCATCGGTATGGTTTTAATTAACTGTCGAGCAATAATTCTTCACATTTTAAGTGTACGGCAGAACTTATTGAATTTTAAGAGCTGAAGTATCGAGGAACGATTCCAGTGCTTTTGTAAATATTGGTGGAGAACTAAAAATGCGTCGGCATGGTTTTAATTAATTGTCGGTTAAATGTTCCTTCACTTTTTAGGTGTATAATATAACTAATTGCACTTTAAGAGCTGGAGGAGATCGATGGACGTACTTTTTGCCAGTTTTTCGAACGCACTGCATTTTTCTATCTTTTTTTAAACGGACCCGTGGACGAAGCACTTCGACGCGCGCAGTCGACTCTCTTCCAGGAAGCCGAGGAAGAGCTCGAGTTGCACCAAAAGCGAGGCTTGCCGACCCTTTCCTCGTCTCTTCGGAGTGGGATCCGAAGGACCGATCGCGAAGAACTGGACCGCTTTGAGTCGGTTCTCGTCTCTATAGAAGAGACTCTTGGAGGTCGCACGTACCCCACGCAGGAGCCGAACTATCGTCCTGTTACCTCCACCATGGCCGCGCTCGTCATAGTGGTGTAACCGAAGCCGCGAGAAAAAAAAAAGCCCCACGACGCACTGCACCGATAAGTAGTTATTAATAATTAATGGGACTTTAATTAATCCGCAGCCGAGATCAGTAGGTACAGTGACATCACGAAACACCGCGTCCAAGAAAACCAGTAATGGAATCCGTTGTTCATCTTTGAATCTACGTCTGGCCGTGAAAAGGAAAATCCCCTATCCGGGAGCAAACCATGATTCATTAACAGCTTCTCATTAAGGAAGTTCTATTAGTTAAATTGATCGCGTGGATTCCCCGCTTCAAAGTGCGTCGTCGATGACGGATATCGTCGTCGAAATGTCCATGAATTGGGGTAAAATCTAAAGGATTAATCGGAACGGTCGGTATTCACCTTCACCAAGGTGTATGATCGAGGATATAAAAAGTGTATAATTTAAATACACGGGTATAATTATTCCGGCGAGGAGATGACGTCGACGTGCCCTCGGATTCCCGGATGAACGGCTCTTTTCCCGTTGCCGAGCATTGACGCGACTATTTAGTATGACGCCTTCTGGTATGGTAATTTTTTAATGACTTCCAGGTATCTTTGTTTCGCAAAAGGGATGGCATATCAAGGGGCACTTGATAACGCATCTTTCGGACGCCGTCGACGCATCGACGCCACTTTCTGCTGTTCATGATCGACCATTTCACCGAGACAAAGATATAACCGACCTCTGGCGTGTTCTCTGCACGGACCTCCTTCGTCCGGTTTTCCTCGTTCCTCCTTTTTCTTCGCCTTTCTCCCCCCGTTCGTCGTTCCACGTTTCCTTATTTGGCTTTTGGTATTCCCGGCTTTCCTCTTCGGGACACGCTAATGACCGGCAAAAGCGCAGCATGGAGAACGAAAGTAGTCGAAGGGTCCGGATTCCGAGCATCTTGGAGATTTTAATCTTCGGAAGGGGTTGTCGACATGGCAGTTTCTTTGCATTCTCCAACGTCAGTGGACGGAACGATTTGAAACATAGACGAGATGCTGTCTGGACCCTCTGGGAATATTTGTTAACCGGGAAATCACCTCTCGATTCGCCGAGTTTCTTATAAAAATGAGTATTCTTCTCACTTCAGACTTGCGACGAAGAACCAAAATGGCGACGGTCAAGCGGTACCCTTCCGTGCCGAAGAATCCCTTAGCGTCGTTTATTCAATAATAATGTCTACATTTCACATGGACCCGTTGGGAATATTTGTTAATCGGGAAGTCACCTATTGATTCAACGAGTTTTGTGTAAAAATGAGTATTTTTCTCGCTTGAGGCCTGCGACGTAGAACCAAGATGGCGGCGGTCACGCGGTGCGCTCGGATCCCGAGGAATCCCTTTGCACGGATTACTCAACGGTAATGTCTGCATTTCACGTGCGTGCTCTTCGATTTTTTTTCTCTTCTTCCAGCATTCTGACGTAATAACCGGTGTTGTCCGATCATGACTGGGCCATCTCGTGACGCGGGCAAGGCCGTTGGCAGGTCAGCCATCGAACCTGCCTTTCTCGACGTCAGCATTCCCTTCTTCTGCCACCTCTAGAAAATGGCCCACCGTCCATTCGCACATTCGCGATCTCATCTTGGAAAGTTCCAAGCGCCGAGTACAAGAAATTGCAGGAAACTACGGTATCGGTAAAGCGATAAAAGAAGGATTTAAAAACCCTCAATTATCGAGCGCGTGATCGGCAAGTCGCCTCGCCGCGCAAGAAGCGCTCCTTCCGGTGGCTTCCGTCCTTGGCACGGATCTCGCGGATAATGCAATGAACTCTTCAAGTGCAATTGAACTCCTAGATCCAAGCGTTTATAATATCCACATAGAAGGTAACGAGGCGTAGAACGTACAATGGCGGACATGAATGCCTCCTCTGCAGATACGGCATCGCCTGTGCAGTATGGGAGGGCATTGATGTCTCCCAGTGTACCATTAGCTCGTTAGTTTTGCCCATCACGAATTTGCAAATTTAAAAACGTGCAATCAAGGTTCACTGAAATTTGTCGTTTTCTCATTCACCCAGGGAGAACCGGTAATGCCGTACAATTACGTGGCACAATTTATCCGCGGTGAAAGAATCTCGATGCTTATCGAAATGGAATGGCGTATCGCTTTGTTCTCGCGGACCGAATCTAATGACTCAGTCGAAACGATCGCTTTTTACACGCTGCAGACATGTTCGACGTATTATAATCATGTCGCTAATGTCTCGTGACATCGTAACCGAAGTTCCTATCGTGGCGTCGAGGCTTGGAACTTTAAACAGAACGCTTTCCCAGGAAACCCCAGACCGCACGTGTTAGCAATTTCGCTTCTATCGCTTTTCCAGAGCTTGTCAAAATATCTAAATCCCAAATTGCGATACAGCACGAATCGGCTTTAGAGTTAACTTCAGTAGTTGAGTTAGTCATCGCAGACTTCGATTTGTGGTACGTGTTTAACGGTGGAAACAAAAACCAGGACGTCCCGAAGAGGCGGGAACTTTTTCGTATTCTAGTTCTTATCTGTGTAGAAAGAAAACTGGAAGAAAAAAAAAAGAAAAAGGGAAAAACTCTTTTGTTCGAGATCAGGATCAGAGTCTGAGACAGATATGAGTCCTGATGTACGGTCAGAATCCCAGATCCGTATTTACCGTGACGGATGTGTATTTTCCCGACTAATTGCAATTTTCTTGTCTGAAAAGAACGACTTTGCATCCATTATGAAAATGGTTCCGGGAAATTGACGCTAATCGATGGTTCGCCTCGACATTGAACTTGTCGTAGCTGTCGAAGATCTTATCACTGGATTCGCGGAAAGGACTGCGAGTCTCTAAAGAAATATTTATAACAATTCCGGGATTACCGTGAGAAAACGAGACGGGATTAAGTTCGGCATCGAGTACCTGAAGAGTCCTGGTTATCAATTTCTGGAATGTCGACCAAATCGAGAGGAGTCGTCACTTTTCGTTTCTCGTGACCCTTTTCTCAGCATTTCGTCACTGATCCGCTGATAAGATTCGCGATATTCCGGTCTCGTCCACGGTCGAGAATTATGCGGTGGGCACGTTGTGAAATTTCGTAAATGGGTGAGCTAGCCGGCATTATGAGAGGAGCGTTATGCTATCGTAGAGAAGAGCAGCATCGCAATGGCCTTGACTCGTCGGGACGTTTCGACACCCTCTCGTTGGTATTCTCGTTGCGCCTCGCGTGTATAAATTGTCGATTTTTAACGTCATTGAGAAAAGAAATACTAGTTCAGGAATAAACCCAGGGCACTCGTGATTTGAAGTCTCTATCAGATCCTGGAAGCGTCTCGGCACTTGCCTACTAAATAGAAAAAGGCAACGTGATACAGCGTAATATACGATTGCCAAATTTCTGGCATTACAATTTCTGATATCATTGAAACCACCGAAATTACCTTCGACGTACATCCTGTGTAACTTGGTGTACCTTCTTAACGCATCGATAAGATCTTCGGTTGGCACATCGACGAATTCTTCTGGTCGCTCATCAAGGTCCGTCAGGGATGTTTACGGTCACCGGATTCAAAATTCCGTGTAAAGATGAGATGTAACGACGCGTTGCCGTAAGATAGTACATCGGACGACTGTCTGGCCAATTACGATGCTTTCTTCTTCGTCTTGACATCCCCGAATTCGAGCCACCTCTCCTCTGGATTCCCTACCAAACTTTGTCGTTAAAGTCAAGGCAACCTCACCGATACGCTCCGTTTGTATACTCGGAGATAATTCTCGTTATCGGCTCGTCTGGAAACATTTTTTTCTGGCTTAAGCTCTTCGCAAACACGGGACGATCGCAATTCCCTCGGAACTCGTGGAGATCCTTAGCAGCAGCTTACGAGGAATTGCACAACCTACAAGAAGAAATAATGCATTATAATATTTGATTGCAATCCTGGTATAATTTATTTGTCCCTCTGCGTTACATTTGATGTAAACTGGTTTCGCGTGTTAACTTTAAGGAACATTTAAAGACTGTGCTATTGGTAATCATTAACGATAAATAGACATTTTTGGATATTCCTGTAAGCTAATCTAAATCTTACTGACTTTCTGCCAACGTAACGTACATAAAACTTGACCTAAGTTACAGCACCGCTGGTTACAACGAATCATTTTCATGAATTTCACTATTTAAGTAGAGTATTTAAAATTCATGTATATCAAGTAGAGTCTGTGAATAATACTAACTTATTAATTCCACCAGAAACTGACAGAGAAACTCGCTGTGAGAGCAACAACATAGTGCCACCACTTCGGGGGAATGAACAACATTTCTCCAGGTCCTAAATAGCAGATCAAACCCTTGGCATTTCGAAATTTCGGCCACTTTTCGAAGTCTGGATGGCCAGGATCTACTTGAGCAGTATTGCAAAGTAATCTTGTCTCGTAGGGATACAGATTTGGAGTATCTTCCGGGGAATACAATATTATTCTTTTGTATCCAAATACCTGGAATAAATATGATTTATTTGTTACGTCCCTAATTTTCTGTAAACTAGTCAGAAACTATAGAAAATTTAGAAATATACCTGACATAATAAATTATACTTTGGATCATAATGCAAGGGTGATACAGTTCCGCTTGGGCCAAACCATGCATTTATGTCAGGTGGCGTTACGTCTTCTTCACCCTCTGAAAAGCTGCAGTACTCTGGTACTGCGAAATCCTCTTTCAATTCTGGTATCTACGATGGAGTCGGTTTTAAAAAAAAATTAAATGGGAAATTTAACTTCTCTAGTACCTGTTCAAAAAGTGGGTGCTGCGCCAAATATCCCACTTTATTATTTTTCCTTGATATGTGAGTTTGTAGAAAATCAGAGAAGGAGACAAGATGTTGGGTCCAGTCTTCCTCGGTGTAACGAGATCCAATTTCAATCGGTACGGTACGCGTTCCAGCTACCCTCATTAAATAATCTGCATTTCGCCATAATGTCAATGCTTTCCAATGCTTCAAGCATCCTGAATATTGTAACAGTATAATTGATTTATAAGAGTTCAACCTAAAATAGAGAATTATGTTCTGGAAGTATTACATGACTCGTGACGTTACGTAACCTTATCGAGTTTATCAACCACCTGCTAAAATTGCTGGAGTCTTTCTTGCAAATATATCTCTGTAGAAGGTTTCCATAGACGGTTCATAGTATTGCTTCACAGTTTCAAAACCAGGGTATGTTTCTTGACAAATACTTGCATCTTCGAATAACACTTTACTACTATTTTCCATTACCCCCAAGTTTTCTACAAATAAAATTTAATTCTTATGTCCTGTCACTTAGTCTGCAGCGGTCTAGGTGCACTCACCAACAAAATAACGATTAGCATTTGAGGCAATTGTTGTTAGAAGGTCTGGAGCATGAGGCAAGGGTGCTCCTAACAAAATGCCTTTGTCAATCTGCTGTATTATTTGCTGCAAGTTTTCGTCTTTACTTTTTGCAGACTTTTCCGTATCGTTTTCACCCTTCATCTGAAGTATTAATGCCTGTGTAATTATGGTAATTATTAAATTACTCTCTATCTTATACTTTGTTACTTCATTGATATTTAAATTCACACGTACCATAAGGATACTACATACAGAATAGCAGACTCTGTGCTCAATAGGAACATCTTTCCAGTACCCGGAATTAAGAGACTCCCATGCTCGATCTAAACAAGCTTCCAAGCGTAGTAATGAATTTTTTACCCAGTTTGGAGAAAACTCGACTCTTCGACTGAAATCACAAATTCTGATTAGAAATCTGATCACATACTTGACAGATTCTAAAATGAAATGTATAATCACTCGCTACTTCCAAATGCCCTCAGCGTCGAAAGTATTGGAATTAAATGCACTCTCGCTTCATGCGGTACATTTTCTTTTAAGTCTTGCAACAATGATTCCCAGGGAATCGAGTTCATGTTGAAAATACATTCTTTGAGAGATCCACCTGAAACTGGCAAAGGTTAAATAATTATAAAACGACTTTAGATGAAAAAGAATTTAATTGCATTATAACAATAATGAATTAAATATAAAATTATTATACGTAGAAACTTCTGGAGTACATCGGTTTGCTTAAATATGGCCACTGGACGACAACGTAATCAGCCAAATAATATAATATTTTTCCAGTCAAAGAAAAAGTCTTAACCCTACAGATGCTCTCTATAAATATAATTTTCGTTTTAACAATAAATAAAACTTTCAGTATGAACGCGATAACACATAACGGTACGCACGTGCCTGGCCCATTGCATATTATTAAATCAGGCTTTTCGTTCCAAATAATAGGAAACGCTTCCAAAGTCGCATACAGAGTCGTCCAAATAGACGTAACGTACGATTGATGAACTTCTCTACTTCGGGCCATACTAATTACATGATAATCCGTGTTAGCGTCTTCTATTTTTTTGACCTTATCCGTACTGATGCGATCAGTTTGAGCACATATGTATATTCTTGGTGAATAAGTCTTAACGTTTAAATGCTTAACGATGCGTAACATCTCTGTGGTATGTCCACCTGAACCTAGTACGATCATTGCTTTGGCAATGCGTTTTTGAGATTTTCGTCTTGGTAGCTTGCCATGCTGGACGAAAATTAAATATAAGATCCTTGCTTGCAAAGTAAGAGCTCCTAAGAACAATAAGCTATACAGAAATACGATCATTTCGATATGCTCCTAACCTATTACCTGCAATATTGAAATACATACAGTTCACGTTTAATTCTTTAAATTCCTAAGTGAGGAGACAGAAAAATTAACAAGTCATTAATCCATGAATCTCAAATACCTTTCGAGTCCATCTATTTATTCAAACGATCATTTATCCACGTTAGATCTAACTCGATCTCGACCAATTTCGATTACTCGATGGAATATTTTCACTGTTCTCCACCTGTCTTCACTTTTGATTTCGTACTGTTATATATTCAGCAGAGATGAGCTCATCTCTGCATTCAAGCCGATATATCCTTACACACAAATCAACGGCAGGGAGTGAACGCCACTGAGGGGTAACAGGTGGCAAGTGCGTTAGCCGTCCGCATCCTCCACTGGGGGGCAGCATAGGCGCAATCACGTGACCCTGCCCGTGATCAATCTCCCAACTCATCTCAGCATAGACGTTCTGTATATTTTAATTCTATGTCGCGATGTGTCACTGCAGAATATATATAATGTATATAATGTAAATTAAATGTATAATGCAGGTGTTCATTTTTCATTGGACCGTGGTGTGCAGAGCACGTGTCAAGGGTTGATATTTTCAACTGCAGTACTTACCAGTACTTACCGAGATTGTGTTACTTCTAGTCCCCTGCATCGGGTTTGAAAAAAAATCGAAGGGTCCTAACATATTTTACGAAAAATGCCGACAATAGGAATAAAACGGGACCTACTCTTTAACGCACTTGGCAAATCCTACAGTAAGAACAGTTTATTTTATTAATGTTACTCATCCTCATTTATTTTCAAGGAAAAATTTCGTTATTTGAGTCTTCTCCGATTTAACGTGAACTTTCTGCTTTGCAGCGGACGATGAGTTCCAGAAATTATGTTTCGCTTATGGTCTAGAGTTGGATGAAGTGGTAAATATTTTACGGTGATTTGGTATCGAATCTTATAGAACTAAAACTATGATTTTATGTTCAGACAACCGAGAAGCAGATGATATTTAAAGAACAAGGAATTGAACCAAATATGGGCCCTTCTGAGGAAATTATCTATAAAATTGATATACCAGCTAATCGATACGATCTATTATCCCTCGAAGGTCTCGTGAATGGCCTGCTTATATTTTTACAGAAGTATTACACATTTATTTGCAACCTTACTAAAGTGTTATAAATCACAAATGATTTGCACGGCAATTGCTTTTAGGATACAGTCACCACAATACAAACTAGTAATTCCAAAAAACGGGATGCAGAAAATCGTAATGACAAAAAATGTAAGTAGCTATTTGGCTATGTCATTTTACGACTGCAACAAACTAGACATTTATTTTCAGTGTCTCATGGTGAGAGGACATCTCGTTGCAGCCATTTTAAGGGACGTATCATTCACTAAAGATTCTTATAACAGTTTCATCGATCTACAAGACAAGTTGCATCAAAACATTTGTCGTAAGCGTAGTCTTGTTTCGATTGGAACTCATGATTTAGATACAATAAAGGGTCCCTTTATTTATGATGCTAAACCACCAAAGGAAATATTCTTCAAACCTCTCAATGAAAAAAAGGAATATACCGGAGAAGGAATCATGGATCTGTATGCCGTATGAGCGCTTTCTTTTAATCATGTTAAATTAAAAATTATGTGCTTTATTTTAATTTAACATTTAACTTTGTAGCATCATGCTCAGCTGAAGCATTATTTGCCAATTATTAAGGACAGTTCTGTGTACCCAGTGGTCTATGACAATAATGGAACAGTATTATCGTTGCCTCCAATTATTAATAGCGATCATTCGAAAATAACATTGGATACAAAAAATATTTTTATTGAATGTACCGCTATCGATCTTACGAAGGTATTTTGTGTCTCCTCTTAATTATTTATTCTAAAGAATCTTGGATGTAATAACCAGATTATTTACAGGCAAAGGTGGTAGTAGACACGCTAGTCTGTGCATTTAGTAAATACTGCAGTGAAAAGTATACGATAGAAGCTGTGGAAGTTGTATATCCCGATAACAAAAGTTACTACTATCCGGAATTGAAATATCGAACAGAAGAGGTCGATAGTAACATGGCAACGAGTTATATTGGCATCGAGTAAGTGCTCTACTTTTACAGCTCAAGCACCATGTACATTGATTCGTAAAAAATCTACAAATACATTCTTTGGAACAAGGCAAACTCCTGACCAAGTAGCCCAGTTACTTTCAAAAATGAGTCTGAAGGCACACGTTAAAGATGGTGCAAAATTACTCGTCGAAATACCTCCGACGAGGCACGATGTGATACAAGCTTGTGATATTTACGAAGACGTGGCCATTGCTTATGGCTATAACAATATTCGGAAGACCATACCTCAGACGTCGACAATTGCAGAGGAGGTAAACATACATGTATTTTAAGAAATTTATATTTGCAACTAATATTGATCATTTGTTAGTTCCCACTGAATAAGTTATCCGATCAAGTAAGAGAGGAACTGGCTCATGCTGGGTTCACCGAAGCACTGACATTCTCTTTAGTGAGTTTTTTTTCTATTGATTTTTAATAAAAATCATAAGTATTTATAACAACAGAAAATCATTTTTAGTGTTCTCGGGACGATATTGCTGACAAACTAGGCCACAACATAAAGGAGATACCAGCAGTTCACATATCAAATCCAAAAACGCTGGAATTCCAGGTTAATAAATGATAATGTACTTCGTGCTGTTGTTAGGATGCTTTTGAATTTTTGCATGCATATAAATTATATCTGTCATAGGTAGCACGAACTTTGCTATTGCCCGGATTACTCAAAACGTTATCAGCGAACAAGAAAATGCCTCTGCCATATAAATTATTCGAGGTTTCGGACGTGGTACTTCGCGATCTTACGGCAGAAGTTGGGGCTCGCAATGAAAGGCGTTTGTGTGCTGTAAACTGTAATAAATCTGCAGGATTTGAAATCATCCACGGTCTCCTTGACAGAGTGATGCAAGTTTTGGAAGTACCGTGGAGATCAAACAAGGACTCTAGTGGATACTACTTGCAAGCTGCCGAGGGTGTGTTACAAATTTTTAATTTAAGTTATCATGGAAAAAGATGTCAAATTTACCCTCGATTCTAGATAAATGCTAATAGTGAAACTCAACAATTATGCTTTCAGATCCAACATACTTCCCACAGCGATGTGCAGAGATAGTGGCCTATGGCGAAGTAATTGGTAAAATGGGTGTAATACATCCCGATGTAATGTCAATGTTCGAGTTGAATCTACCATGCTCGGCACTGGAGATCAACATCGAGCCTTTTCTGTAACTAACACAGAAGTTTTTTCACTCAATCTTTCTCTGCTACAATTATAAACAAATGCATTTGTACCGAAAATTTTGCGACAGTAAACCGCCTACAAAAAATATTGTGTCCATAAATAACGTCGTTGAAGTGCGAGTCGACTTGTCTTTGACAGCTGAAACACTACACGGACAAATATCAAATAACACCCATTGTGGATCGTTAAAGGATATAAAAGGGAACGACACTCGTGTGTTGTATCATTTGACTTATCCTACTTCAAGTTCGTTAAAGTTCATTTTGAATTTGATCCTTTTTGTCACTCCCGTACTATACGTTAGGAACTATGAATTTTGTTTTATACTTGGACTTGTTAATCATCGTAATGATACCGTTAAATACAGGAGTTCATGAGAAGAAATTATAGACTAAAAGTAAGGCTCAACAGCTTTTTTGAGATAATGTCGAAAGGGTTAAGTGTACCATTTTTTAGGTTAGGAAAATGGTTATACATGAAACGGTGACGCCTCATGCGCAAATGGCAGCCAGAACCTTTAGTCATAAAGTAATGTTGGAACCACGAATAAATTGGGCAATAGTTGGCCTTGAGACAGAAAGACTCAATTTTAGCCAATATTGGTCCAATATTGATTTGAAAGTTGGCTCTCATCAAATTGTCTTTACATATAATTACTTGATGAATAACATTTTGTTAAGAGGAGTTGCATCAACATTGTTGAGCAATGTCCAAGTTTTATCCAAAGGTGTTAGATCAACACAAGCTCAAAGTTTATTGTCCTTTCTATCATCATATATGTACATGACATAAGAACTCTTAGAATTACATGTAGGCTGATCAAAGATCGATGATTTTAAGGATTTTTTTCAAAATTCTCTTAGCAAGGAGTCATTCATAGATTGAATTTTTTTAACATTTTTCATGGCATGACAATTAGATCAATGAAAACAATCACTAAATCACTACGTCAAATTTATAAAAAACAATGCGTAGGTACAGTACAAAATTGTCCAAAATTTGTTAGTACAGAATCATTCTTTACAAGACACCATAGTATCCCTGAAAAGGGCCGAAATCTACAAGGTGAATGCTCGGTACCAGCTGCATTAGAATCACAGTTGACCTATCTCGAGCATTCTCAAAGAAGCTCAGATCCCAAGAAGGAACACATTTCTCTCTTTTCAAGAAATCCACGCATAACCTCACTTCCTCTTAGCAGTGGTTACCTTAGGTAAAACTTTTTTCGACTTGGTGGCAACTTTCTTAGGTTTAGATTTAGGTGCCTCTTTGATTTTCTTCGGGGAGGTCTTGACAACTTTGGCCTTTGTTGCAACGGTTTTCGGTTTCGGGGGCTTTGCAGCTGGACTCTTAACCATTTTACGCTTTTCGTTCACAGCTACCCTATCAGTTTCCTTCAGAGACTTCTCGGCCGCCTTCTTCGGCAAATCTGGTTTCCTAGTTACAGATACGGATCTCTTCGATGACTTACTGGCAATAACCATCTTGTCACCCTCTGGTTTGTTCGACAACCTAAAGGATCCCGTGGCACCTATACCCTTGGTCTGAACTAGCACCCCTGAAGCCACCGCAGTCTTCAAATATCTCTTAATGAATGGCGCATATTTATCGGTGTCCAGATAATAGACATCCCCGATGTACTTCTTGATCGCCTGCAGCGATGAGCCACCACGCTGATTCAACTCCTTTATGGCGTCATTTACCATCTCCGAGGTGCTGGGGTGGTCCATTTTCGTCTTGGATATTTTCATGTTTCGTGCCTTGATGCTCTGCGTGCCACTTCCGTCCGACGACCAAACCGTCGCTTTGCCGCTCGTCTATCTGTAGATCCTTTAAATCTCACCTTCGCCTGGAAAATGAATGCTCTCTAAAAAGTTTACTCTCCACAAATTTAGGAAACATCGGTTCAAAGGAATAAATACAGATACACTCAATGCCCTTGCTTATGAAGAGGATAAGCACCACATACGACCAAATCTCATGTGTAATCGGTGTATTACTCTATAAGCAGGAGAGCGTCACAAACGACGCGCGTAACGCTGTATTCAGCTGTATTTTTTGTATTAAAACTGATTAAAACAAAGGCGACGCATGCCGGGCTTGCTTACGATAAATCCCGATACACTCCTACAATGGACGTTACGTCGTTGTCGACGCTCATGTGCGTGGTTTTCAAATTTTACCTTCCTCCCGAATATTCTCGGTACCTTGAAGCGTCCTTTCTCGGTATGTTGGTCTTCTTCAACATCCAAAAAACAAGAATTTATCCGAATTCGTCGGCCAGGAGTGGCGCGCGATTTACAGTCATGGCGGAGCACGGACCATGGAGAGAGACCGCTCGGCCTTGCAGATTTCGACTTGTCTTTCCATTATAGTCCCAATACGATACCCACGACAGTTTATAAAATTGAAAAGAACATCGCTATAATTCGACACTTCCGGTCCACAGAAATCCATAAAGGACATTTCCGCAAAGTCGAACGGCCGAGCAAAATCAATCGGGAACTCGGCGCGTCCAGAACAGCGCTCTTCGATCGCAACCCGAAGAATTCCGATATTTTCGAGACTTCTGCCGAGAATTTCATGAGAATCCTGGTCACCGAAAGAAACATTCGAGAGAATTAGGAAGAATTCGGTTAACCGGGGGTTTTGAGAGGGTTCAAAGAAGTTTAAAGTCCAGAATTCGGGGGGAACGGTTCGCTACTTGCTCATGGCGTCCAGTCGAAGATGCTGGAAGTTTCGCTCGAGATCGCTCTCACGAATCTTCGATTACTCGATTTCTATTCCAGAATCGATCGATGGATAATCGAAGAGTCCATGTCTACCTCTCGTGCCTTGTTCGCGGTTTCAATTCCAGGGCATCTAAACCAGGATTGACCGTTACGGCGGAAAATTCGGATGCCATAACCTCGACGTCGTTGTTTTCTTTCCCTATATACTCCCTCGCTCCGTTTCCAACGACCTAAACCTAAATCATATGAACGAATTATTATTGATTGTTATCCCGCTTGAATAATTAGGTTATCCAGGTGAACCCGAATGCAATAAACTCAGGGTAAATCGAGGCGTGTAGATCGCGCCCCTCGAGTGGCGATCGATTGTAGTCGGTTGGTCAGTTTTCAAAATCTCCCGCCTCAGGGCAGGTGGCGCCGCGGTCGCAGGCCTCGAATGGCCGCCTCGGCATCCGGGACTCGTCTCGGGTCGGCCATAGTAGACATGGCGGGTGTTAGCTTACGTGAATGACGGCGACCGCGACGGAGATATTCGCCGAGAGCCAGTGTACCGTGTGTGTTCCGCGAGCCGGGAAACGCTCGAGTTGGTGGTCATATGACTCATCCGGAAGGTAAAGATGCAGAATGTAGCACAAGAAACGACCTCGGATAGCCAGAAGCACGAGAAACCGAGCGTTCACCACGACATCGAGAAGACGTCGTCGACTCCGCAGTCCTCGAACTCGAGCCCCACGAAGTCGGAGACCGAGACCTTCTCGGAGCTGCAGCCGCGCTTTATGACAGACTCGTCGGAGAGCGAGGAGGACAGCGTCTCGGAGGTAAAGAGGGCCGCGAGAATCCGTTCTCGGCGCGCCGTCGAAAGACGAGCCTAGAAAAAGACAGGGCCGTAGTTCGGTGTCCATTGGCACGGCGAACGCCGCGAGAGGAGGAGCGGCGCCGGGGCGCATCGACTCCGGGTCGTCGCCCGGGCCCGCGATTGTCCTAGGCCGATCGGCCGAGAACCTTCTTGAGCGCGGACATCAGTCCGCCAGGGTTGCGCGACCGTCCGGAGGTTGGCGCGCCCGCATCTCGGCTCCCCGAGGAAGCCTCCGCGCCGTTCCACGAGCCGTGGTGGAGAAAGAAAGAGCGAGATCGAGCGACCGCGCCGCGCCGCGGCCGAGAAGGACGCCGCTAGGCGGTTGCGTGGTAGAGGGAGCGAGAGAGCGAGAGGGAGTGAAAGAGTCCGAGAGAGAGCGAGCGAGAGAGCGAGAGAGAGAGAGAGAGAGAGAGAGCGAGAGCGCCCGTGAGAGGAGAGACGTCAGCGCGCCGCGGTCGGCCTTTCTACGCGTTAGCGCGACGTCGACGCGGCGACGGCCAGGGCTCGGACTCTCGCGGGAAATTCGCCCCACCGGATGCGCGAAAACGGGCCGTCGATGGAGCTGACGGCGCGTCCTTGCCCGAGCAAGGTGAAAGAGAAAGAGAGAGGGAGGAAGGGAGAGAGACGGTCGCCCGTCGCCGCGAGGCGCCCGGGACTCGGAGGGGACCTGCCTTATCGACGGAGCCTCGCCTCTGGGTTTTTATTTATTCCATGGCAACCTAATTTCTAAATCTCACGCTCCGGTTTTTCCCTTCTAGGATGGGGGACCCGGAGGATGGGACGCGAACCCCGTCGATCGATTGGTCGGTAACGTGGGGAGCTCCGTTGACGTCGCGGCGACGCGACGGCGGATTCGGAATGGATTTTTTCGATTTCGAGGCCCCTGGGCTTTGCGGATCGGCCTAGGGCGAGAAAGGGCCGAGAGAGGTGCGACCCCACGAGAACGGAGGTTATGTAACGCGAGGTGCGCACTAATGGCCAGAGACGTTGGAGAAGCGCGGTATGGCGAGTGCTCCCTGGCGTATTCTTTTTCCACATAGAGTCTCGACCCTTATTCTAGCACGAGGGAGTTGAAACTCTTGAGCGGTGCATTTTTCATCGAGTCGCGAGGCCCAGGCGAGAAGCAAAGCGACGGGACGTGTTTTAGCTCGTTCCGCTGGGTTGCGGAACCTTGCGGAACGCACCCCAGGTGCAGTGTTGCGCACGGCTGCCGAGTGACCAATAGGGTGGCCGGGCGGACCCGCCGCCATCTTGTGGGGGGAAATTTGAATCGGGACGAGGGGTTCTCTGAATTCGCGCGTCCTACCGCGAAACTAACAGTCCGCTGGCACGTGCGAACTTAACTGTGGTGTGCACGTATACAGAAATCGAAGCTGTGCGATCTTTTGTCACGTTTTGACCCGAGGTTAAGGTAGACGTAGTCGCTACGCTTGTACCGATGCGAATCCAGATTGTTTGCTCGTTTTTAGTTTTTGGCCCGTTACTCGTGGTACTCCTTTCACTGTCAGTTAGATTATACCGGTTGGGTCGATTTTCACTAATAAATTTCCGTAGACAGAGGTAGCGACGACTCGGCTGGAAATTCGCTATATGGAAACTATAACGAGATATCGAGAGATTCCTTCGCACCGATATCCAATCGGAGCGAGTCGATGTCGCGAAAAACGTCTCTGGCCGTTAAGGCGAACAGTGTTTGTTTACCGCTGTGGGGTCAGCGGGTACGTAATCGCCGTTACATCTAAATCTCCCCTCCGGCTCGATTCGAGGGGCATAATTCGCGAATATCTCGGTCACACCTTTCCAGCATCGCGGGAGTGGGAAAAACGTCGGGATGACCGGCAGTCGCGGTTCCAATGGTCGGTGTCTGTCTCGGCTGGTATGCACTATGGGTACCGATAGTGGCAACACTGGCGAGATGAGAAATGGGAAGGGAGCGAGCAAGCGAGAGGCCAAGCGCGGCCGAGACTAGGGAGCGAGAGAGACCGCGATACGGAGACCTAGTTTCTTTCTTCGCCCTTCTCGCTCCTAGCCGCGGACACGACCCGCGAGAGGGCTCCGAGCGGACAAAAGAGGCGAGTCGACGAGACTCGTCCCCGTAGCTATGATCTGCGAACTTTCCATAGAATCCCGTATTTTCTTTTTAAAGGACCCGTCGGGCAAAACTGCGCGGCAGCTAAACCTCATAGTTACGAGAATTCGTAATTGCCAGAAATTTCGTAGTCAGAGTAGCCAGAGAGTTCGTAGATACGTAGCGTCTGAGAAATAGTCAGGAAAATTCTTAGCACCAAGAACCGTGACCGCTCTCGCATTCCTGCCATCCCGAGCACTCCTCGAACCTTGGCCCCAGGTCCGTAAACAAATCCCACCGCCACGGAATAAACGGAAGAGAACGTCACGTCGCGTGATTCCGGGGTGTTCGCCGACAAGGTGGAATCTTTTCCCTGTGCGACACCTTCGGTGTCGGCGCGTGACCTCTCGCGGTGTCTCCCTAGGTTGGCCGTGGCGGATTTTGAATGCCACTCGCTTGGTAAACTGGCCGCGTGTTCCGAAAGGCTGGCTGCTTCACGCGTGCGTATATACGAGCGAGTGTGCGGACGTCTCTCGTGTATCTCTCGTGGATCGCGAGTGCGTGAACCTCGCGTGCGCGTCGCGCGGTGTGCACGAGGCTTGAGGGGTGCGCGCGCACGCGCAAGCTTCCGTCCCTCCTGCGCGTGGTGGTGCATGCGAGTGGGCGCGCGCTCGCTCGCCGCCGTCGGCCGAGGTCGGGCGAGCTCGGGCGAATTCGGGCCCGCTCGGCTCGCGCCTGCTTCGGTGTGCCGATGCGCCACGGTGAGCCGCCATGGCCGACTTTGCGAGGCCGCGACCCCTCGGAGCTGTCATCTCTTCGCTGGCACCCCGATAAAGTCGAGCGAGAAGTTCGCGAGTAAATTGAGCGACTTCGAAGCCGAGACGGCCGGAAGTCCTTGGCTGGCCATGGGAAGTCACCGCCGTCCGGGGGAAATCCGGGAATCGATCAGCTGACCCTTGGACGCGTACGAAGGTCCGAACGTAATGACCCGAGATCCCGAGACCCAGAGAGAGAATGGCAAGGAAATTTACGACGCGGAAAAATCGGAATGATCGCCCCGTGTCGTTGTCTCTTTTGTTTATCTTCCGGCGACACGTGGTCGGGTTTAAATGTCATCTCGCCTCGGATGGGTGCCACCTAGTCCGACTCGCAGCCCGGATGCAACGACGAGTCTAATGTAGAAACGCCTTGAAATTAATACCTACGTGCAGTGGTCTCTCAATATATAAATTCTGAATTTCGTGGTCGAGGGGTGGTAGAGAGGGCGAATAGGAAGAAAAGAGTACTCGACATGGTGGGCCGAGCTCTTTGCACCCTTTCCTGGTACTCGGCGCAAAGTGCCACGGTTCATTGCGCGTTTCCAAGCCGTTCGCGTATCCTCCGTATGGTTTCCACGGGGCGGAGGGATCTCTTTATAGTGCGGGGATATCGGGCGACCGGCATCGTTGCCACATTCCTTCGGAAAGGCTTCCTTTTCGCTTGAAGTCGGCGAGATGTGGACGGCCAAGCGAGCGCCGGCGCTCGGGGGTTTTCGGGAGGGCTCGGGAGCGCTCGGGCGGCGACGCGTCGGCGGCTCGGTCAGGTCCGCGCGGCCTCGGCCGTCCTCGGGCATCCTCGGGAGCGGCGCTCACTCGCCCTGGCGGACAGAGGCGGAAGCGCGCCGCGTGCGTGTGCGTGGAAAACCGTGGCGAGGCCGCGAGCCACCATATTATCTCGGGTACTCTGCGATCGTCGGAGGTTCGTTCATCCTGGTGCACGCGCGTCCACGTAGCCGATCCATCCTCCCAGGTAGCCGAGGGCGCCGTTTCCGTCGATGTCGGGCCGGGCCGACGGGAGTCGCGTAGCGGCGCGGCGCCGACCGGACGCGGCCGCCGAGCCAAGGTAGGCGAGATCCGAGGGAAGGCGAGGAAGTGTCAGTCCCGTCCCACCTTGGAATGGCTGCATGTCGCTCGGACTCCGGTCAGCGCCGTGCTCGCCCGAGTAGCCAACCTTAAGGTTCCGAGGGATCGTGGCCAACGCCGCGCCCGCCGCTGAGAGCTGGTCGGACACCTAGCGCGGCCGACGCGCGCCTCCGAGGTCGCGGACCTCGCGAGGGCCCGCCTCGCGAATTCCTCCGCGATACGTCCTCCTCCGCGGCGACCGGAATGTCCCTCGGGGTCGATCTTCCCTTCCTGACCCTCGAGGCATCGCGTCCGACGTTCCTGCGACCCCCGGCCCCGCGTGTCCCCGCCCCCTCTTCCTGTCGCGTAGCGTGCGTTTTATCCGCGAGCGCGTCACCGAGAGAGTTTCTCACGTCGCGGGGTAGGGCAGCGAGCTGCGGTTTTCTTCGGCCGTTCCCTTTGACGAGGTGGACGCCCCGAGTTTCCTGCCGCTGCGAAATCGTCGCGGAGAAGTCGACGTAGAGGAAAGGTCTACGGGGTGACCCATGGCTGCGCTGACGCGCCGTCGCGTGGTGCCCTTCCTCGGGAGCCGTCGCCGTCGAGCGCAGCCATAACCTCAACCTCGGGAGTTCGGACTTTTTTTCTCCCCCTTTCTTTTCCTTTTTTTCTTTACCTCGCGAGGAGGTTATTCCGCCGCGTCGTCCTCGCCTCGGCTTCTGGACGTCCTGAGTGCTCTTAGAGACTGGGCTTCCGTGAATCTTGGATTATGTAAAATGCTGCCGCTTGATGGAAGCGTCGCGACGGCGGATCGACTCGGCTGCTCGGACGAGGGACACTTTGAGGTTGTGAATTCTTGGACGAGACAAAGGATGGGTTCTCGTTGGGGCGGTCGTTTCGAGTTTACGGATTGGATACCTGAGTTCGTTGAAATTTGCCCGTCTTTAAGGTCGTTGCCGCGATTTTCGGGATCCGAGATGATGAAGTTGTGCGCTGGGGTTATTAGGGGCATGTGCTAAGTGCGAGTAGGCAAGTTGAGTCGGGTTGAAGTACGGTGTACCATGTCTGGATGTCTTGCTCGTAGGTGGAGTGTTTTGCGATCGATCAGGCCGAGTTGGACGAGGATCACCACCTGGAGACGTCTAAATTCTTGTTGGCTCCCGAAGATCCGGAGCGATCTGTCGACCCCGAGACTCAGGCTCGTTTGGAGGCTCTTCTGGAGGCAGCCGGTATCGGCAAGTTGGCGTCTGGCGATGGAAAGCATCTGGCAGATCACGAAGTGCTTCGTCGTTTGACGTCCAGTGTCTCTTGTGCTTTGGATGAGGCGGCAGCCGCATTGACGCGTATGCGTAGCGATAATCGTATCCAGAACGAGAAGCGCTCTCTGGTGGAGGCTTGCACCGACGGTGACGTCGGCACCGTACGGAAACTCCTGACCGAAGGGCGCAGCGTACACGAGACGACCGAGGAAGGAGAGAGTCTGCTCTCCCTTGCATGTTCCGCTGGCTATTACGAGCTTGCGCAGGTTTGTGCTTGACCCTGAAGGTCACTTCAATATTTATCGCCTCAAAAGTGTACCAATGAAACAATGGCTTTGGATGGTAATGTCGGCAAATCTATTATGTATTGGTATTGATTGTTAATCGACAGCCAAGAAAGTAGAACGTTAGTGGAACGTTTTAATGAAATTATTTGTTCCACGCAATCCTTACAATAAATGACGAGCAATTAGTCATGCCAAAAAAGGCTTCGAAATGATTTCTGATCTGCCACAAAGAAATATCCTTGACACTGTCATTGGTTTTTCCATCGACTGAATACATCCTATGTCTTCGTATGTTTGATTTGTATCCATGCCAACGGAATACGAAGTCCATGTGAATGTCTCTTGTATGATATGTCAGTTGTAAAGTAGCAGAACTTTGATATTCTTTTGATTGCTATTATCCATTGGCCGGTGAAAACTACCAATTAATTAATTGTATCTTATTGCCAGCCATAGTTTGTGGACAGGTTAAACATAGTTTTTGATCCTCGTTCAATGCTCTTACCTCTACGAGATAACCTGCCATCCGTTAAGTTGTCGCTAAAGTCACAGTTGATAGAGTATCAAACGTTTCTTAGAATGTAAATTCGGGTGGTAATTTCACCAATATCTTTCTAGAAAGTACAACTTAGGCAACGGCTCTTTGTCCTTTGTAGGTATTGCTCGCAATGAATGCCAACGTGGAAGATCGAGGCATCAAGGGGGATTGTACCCCCTTGATGGAGGCAGCGAGTGCGGGACATGTGGACATTGTGAGCTTACTCATAGCTCACGGTGCCGATGTCAATGCTCAGTCGACATCAGGTAGATGACACTTGAGATAAAACCAGGTTTATTTCAGGGCTCGGTAAATTCAGTGAGTGACAACGTAAACCTTGTCCTGCTTTAAGGGAACACGCCTCTCATGTACGGCTGCGCTGGCGGTCACGAAGAAGTGGTGCGAGTCCTACTGGAAGCAGGCGCCAATGTGGAGGATCATAACGAGAATGGTCACACACCTCTGATGGAAGCAGCCAGTGCCGGACACGTTCCAGTGGCAAAGATCTTGCTGGAACACGGCGCTGGCATCAATACTCATTCCAATGAATTCAAAGAGTCCGCTTTGACATTGGCCTGTTATAAGGGACACCTGGACATGGTACGATTCCTCTTGGAAGCTGGAGCCGATCAGGTCAGTGTTTTTGTAGGTTATGTAGTTCTTCGCCTCGAGGAATTTCCTTATTTTTCTGTGATTGATTTATTTTATGTTTTTTTACGCAGGAACATAAAACCGACGAGATGCATACTGCCCTTATGGAAGCATCCATGGATGGCCACGTGGAGGTTGCCAGGCTCCTCTTGGATTCTGGTGCCCAGGTGAACATGCCAACGGATAGCTTCGAGTCACCGTTGACCCTGGCAGCTTGCGGAGGGCATGTTGACCTGGCCATGCTGCTGATCGAGAGGGGAGCGAACATCGAGGAGGTTAACGATGAAGGCTACACCCCTCTCATGGAGGCGGCAAGGGAAGGCCACGAAGAAATGGTTGCCTTACTTCTGAGTCAAGGTTATTAATTATTTCTACGTATACTAGATTTTTGGTGCTAAGGACCGTTGCCTAATATATGTAAATACCACGATGGTATTTAACTTTACAATTATTGGATGCAGGAGCCAACATCAATGCTCAGACGGAGGAGACTCAGGAGACAGCCCTTACGTTAGCTTGCTGCGGTGGCTTCCTGGAGGTCGCGGACTTCCTGATAAAGGCCGGGGCGGATATTGAGTTGGGTGCGTCGACGCCTTTAATGGAGGCTGCTCAGGAGGGACACTTAGATCTTGTCCGATACCTCTTGGAGTCCGCTGCGGATGTCCATGCGCAGACTCAAACTGGAGACACTGCGTTGACCTATGCTTGTGAGAACGGCCATACCGATGTTGCCGATCTCCTTCTGCAGTTTGGCGCTGACCTGGTGAGCATACGAGCGACATTGTTGAATTCGAAAATGCCTCGAAGCACTCCTCGAATTATCCAATCCCTATTTTCTTCAGGAACACGAATCCGAGGGCGGTAGAACACCACTCATGAAGGCTTGTAGGGCCGGTCACCTTTGTACAGTGCAGTTTCTTATAACTAAGCGCGCGGATGTTAATCGGCAAACTACGAACAATGATCATACCCCTCTTTCGCTGGCTTGCGCCGGAGGACATCGTGCAGTCGTCGAACTACTTCTCGCGCAATCTGCCGATCCATTCCATAAATTAAAGGTAAGTGAAACGTAAGCCACCGCGGGAGACGAGATCTGGTTAGCAGGGGTGTTAAAATCGGCGTTTGACCTCATCCACAGGATAACTCCACCATGCTGATAGAGGCATCCAAGGGTGGACATACGTGTGTTGTTCAACTTTTGTTGGACTACCCTCATAGCATCATGATGAGTACTCCCCATACCGCTGCGCCTGCTCCCATGCTGCTGCCCCAACAACCGCAGCAACAACCGCAGCAACAACAGCCGCAGCAACAGCCGCAGCAACAACCGCCACAGCAGCAGCAGCAGCAACCTCCTCAGGCGCTACAACCTCAGCCGCAGCTGCCGCCGCAGCAGCAACAACAACCGCCGCCGCAGCAGCAACAACAACCGCCGCCACAGCAGCAGCAACAGCAGCCGCAACCTCAACCGCAGCAGCAACCTCCACCGCAACCGCAGCAGCAGCAGCAGCAGCCGCAGCCGCAGCATATTACTCATCAGCAGCTTCCACCTCACCAGCAGCAGACGCCCACCCAACAGCAGCAGCAGCACCAGCAACAGCAGCAGACCACCGAGCAGCCTCAGGTCCAGAACTTACAGCCTAAGCACAACACCCAGAAGTCGCTGTTAAGGACAAACCGTTCGGTCACCATGATGCCTGACATGAGCCTCACCTCCGCCGAAGCGCAGCAGGTTCGCACGCAACCTGCAGGCGAGGCCGTGGCCACTGCCAAGGACGACACCAATATCCTCGACAAGGGAAGTGGAGGTTTTACCAGCCTCTCCGAGCCCAACATCAGCCTCAGTCCCGTGCCGACCCAAGCTCCTCCTCCGGCTACCACCGCAGTCGCCACCACTACCACCACCAACTCCGAGAGCAGGAAGATCACCCGGCAGGAGCAGATCCTCCAGAAGCAGCAGATCCTCGAGGAGTTGCAGGTAAGGCTGGCTGCTGGTCTCCCTTTAGGCTCTTCAAGGGGTGATCAGGGGTGACGTGGTGGACGAAGAGCGGGATTAAAATCGATCACTTGCAGAGGGTGGAGCGGGAGCTGCAGACTAAGGGCGCGGGTCAGCTGTTCCTGGGATCGTCCGGCACCGCCGCAGATGCCATTGCTGTTCCTCAACAGATGCAACCGCAGCAAGACTCCGCTGATGCCGACGCACTGCTACCCGGCATGCTCATCCACGAGCTGCCCGCCCAGTCGACGGCTTCTCAAGGTAGTTGATTGTGGTTTTGTCCTTTTTTTTGGGGGGTTGGTGGTTGTCATGGTGTCGGTGTAAGGGAGTCCTTGTTAACGGTGGCGTTTCATCAGGGATGTTTTGCGACACAGCGGGGATATCCGGGAGTATACCGTCGCGTCACTTGATGTCGAGGGCCATGGATACCTACAATGCGTACCTAGAAGGGAAGAGGGCCGTCAAGGAGATATTTCTGAAGGAGGCCCAACGGCAGATGACCCGGGTACCGACCTTCGCCGAGACCTTCCCACCCTCGAGCAACTTCCCTGCCATGCCGCCGCTATCCCTCGCCCCCATGCCCGTAACGTCGACGGTCGCGATGACGACCGCGAATTCCTCGACGACTCCCACCCTGAGCCCGCCCAGCGTCCCGACGCCGCCGGCGGTGGCCACGGTCTCTCAGCCGATCACCGCCAGCAGCGACGTCAGCCAGAACACCGCGATCAGCGACCGGCCGAAGGCCAAGCCCGTCTCCAAGAAGGAGGGGAAGAACATCCGGAAGGCCGTCTCGGCCGCGGCGACCGGGAAGCTGCAGCAACAGCAGGTCACCATCATGGCCGGGCTACAGCACCAGTACCAGCAAAAGCAGCTGCAACATACCATCCAGGTCCAACATCTGCAGCAACTCAACGAGCAACTGCAGCTCCAGCTCGACCAAGTGCAGGTTCGTGTCCCCATTTCTAGTTTTACTTGTAAACGATGGATAGCTTCTGGGATCGCGAGGGAGAGGGTCCTCGTCCTTGGATCGTGCTGACTTCCTCGGGTATGCGGTGTCCTTGGGATCTGGTTCTCTCCTCTGGGTTGTACTCGGTGGTGATGGGTCTCGTCTTGGCATGCAGGTGCAGCAACAGCAGCAGCAGCAACAGGGTGGTCTCCCAGGTGGTAGTGGAGGCGGCGTCCTGATGCCGACCCAGCTGATGGCCCACCTCCACCCCACTCATACCCACCATCTTCACGAACAGGTATACTCGAAACGACTCCTTGCTTTTGACTCTCCCCAATACACCCAGGCCTTACCTTGCTTGTCACACTCATCGGACACTATTTTCTCCTCATTTTGGTCCCTCCAGTTTTTATTCATTAATTTTTTTTTGGCTTGCTCCTCCCTGTTGCTTCGCCGTTTTGTTGTCCAGACGAGGCTCCTCCACCTGCTGCCGAGTCTTTCACCTCGACCACGGTGTGAAATTGAAGATTCGAGATTTTCTTTTTCCCTTTTTAGTTGCATTGCATGTTTTAACCCACCCCGAGCCGGGAACGTCCTGAGTTCCGTGATTCATGGTCTCGTTTCTGGCTGGTAGATTAATCTGTGATAGTAGGTATTTAGAGATAACTCCTAGAATGTAATCCGTCATCCCGATACCGCAGCAAGCTCCTCAGCAAGGACTCCCGGACCAGATGGACCCGGAGATAGCGAGGCTCCACCGCGACGGGACGTGTCCGTTCTTCGCGGCCGCTCAGAAGAAGTACCCGGAGAGCCACCTGAAGCTCGAGGACGGCACCCAGATCCCCTTCGACGAGGTTACCGAGATATTCGAGTCCATCAGCTTCGACGACGTTCCGAATGGTAATTTTTTAGGATCGTGGATATTTTCTCTTTTTTTTTTTTTTTTTTTTTTTTTATGGGAATCCGCGGAGACTATTATACGACTATGGGGTTTGCTTCTTCAACAGCCACGGAAGATCAGGAGAAGCTCGAGTTGAAGAACTTGGACATTCCCGCCAGTAAAGACCAGACGCAGCAGCAACAGCCGCAGCAGACTCAGCAACCGGTCCAGCAGCTTCAGCCTCAGCAGCAGCAACCCCAGCAGGCTCAGCAACCGACCCAACAGGTCCAGCAACAGGCTGGACAGGTTGTTGCTCAACAAGTTCCCGGTCATCATGCCTCTCGGGAATATTTCGCTGTTCCTGTCGCTTCCGTTTCCTTGCCTGCCCTGCCCTCCCTGCAGGTCACGAACTCCGGCGTACAGATCCAAGCGGACATATCCACCGGGCTACAGTTAACGAGCGCACTGCCTCCCCAGAGTCAAATCCTCTCCGAGTTCTCCTCACCCACTTACCCGCTGGGATTCTGCGAGGCCATCGAGAGCCTGAGGAATGAGTCGCAGCTGTTTCTACAGTCCTCGCAATTAGGTACGACCTGGGAGTCTTTACCCTCTGTGACTCGATTTTCTTCCTTTTTTTGTTTTAAGCTAAGAAAAAGAAAAATCGCCGAATTTACAGATATCAAAATCGTTCCTTTTATAAATTTACGGTTTATAATTTATATAGAAATTTCTTGACCAGGAGTTCCTTGATCGGACATTTCTTGGGTTTACGTTGAAATTTGTCGGAAAAGGATCGAAGTAGGAGTCACATGTGTCGATTGACAATGTCACGTGCCGTTAGAGAGGGGTTATACTTGTAATATGGTGTAGAGTATGAGTCGGGTCATGACGTTCCTCGTTGCCGTTGCAGTTCAATCCTTACCGACCGTTAACGACGCCTTGGCGGTGATAGATAATATACCTCAGCCGTCCAACGGCTACGCCCAGTCGACGACGTGCAACACCCACCAGGTGCAAGTGGCCACGCAGACCCAGGCGCCGGCGGCCACGACCATCGCGACCGTGGCCGCTCCCGACAAGAAGCAGGTATACACCGCGCCTGCTGCCGGAAAGGGGAAAAAGGCGCGATATCCTCCTCTGTCCCAGCAACAGTCCTGCCAGCAACAGTCCACCGCGACCGCTCAGCAGCAGACGGCCAACTTTCCCACCCAGAACTACCAGTTGGACCCTGCCGCAGGTTGGTACTCCTCAGGGTGTTCATTGTTTGGCGGTGTGAACCTGGAACTCAGTTTGAGGCACAAACAAAATTAACAGCTCTATTGAAATGTTACTATGGTGTAGACGTTTGTGCCACGTTGTTTTGTTTGCGCCATTTTTTTTTTCTTTTTTTTTTTTTACAAAACCAGAGCTGTTAGAAAAAAAAATAAATTTCTAAAATTACCATTTTAACGTTTTGCAGGTTCTGGGAGAATCTCTCTGAATTTCCATAACGTCAGAGAACCCATTATTCGAAAAATCCAAATTTCCACAATTTCGGAATTTGTTTATCTTTTAGAACTGGTTTGGTTTTTGTAAAAAATAAAAAAAAATATGCCACAAACAAAACTCATGATAACAAACGTCTACATCACAGGAACATTCCAATAAGCCTGTTAATTTTGTTTGTGCCTCAAACTGGATTTCAGGTTCACGCAGCCCCATTATTCCATGGTGCACGAGTTAATTATGTCGACCAAGGTCGCTCCTCGGGGTGTCCATTATTCCATGGTGTAAGATTCAATTATGCCAAGGTCGCTCCTCAGGGTGTCCAGTATTCCATGGTGTACGAGTCGGTTCTGCCAGTAATTTATTCAAACCCTACAACGTGAATATGGAGGCCGTAAAAATAGGTCTCGAAACCCATGAAATTTTATTTTTCGAGAGATGTCCTTTTGGTGCTTGTTCGGGATAAAAAATTACATTTCTTAGAAAATTTAAATTTCGCGAGTTTCAAGAATATCATTAGGACTTCCATAATCACGTGTTAAAATTTCATAATTATTCGGTGCACCTAGTTTATGGGAAAATTTTATAAATATTTTGATTTTTTGGTACGTATATATATGTGACACTTTCATAACACCTTAAGGCTCTGGAATTATTAATTCTTGCCGAAAGTCCGATTTTTATGCGATACGAGAGTGAATGCGTCGAAATGGAAATTATGCCTCGTTGAAATGGATGTCCCTGGGTGGGGGGGGAGAATGGAAAATTAAAAATTAAATCTGTATTAATGAATCGATGATTTTCGTTTGCAGTGTCCGGACAGTACACGACGGGTGTTCCCACGGTCGGCGGGTACGCTGCCAACCAGGTGCCACCGGCTCCGTTTTCTTGTATGGACGTCGACTCCGAGACGGACAGCAACCACGACACGGCGTTGACGTTGGCCTGTGCCGGTGGCCACGAAGAGCTGGTCGAGTTGCTGCTGAGTCGGGGCGCGGATATCGGTAGGAGCTGATTGTTTTTTTATCTTCTATTTATTTATCGTCCTTGAGATCCGATGAGGGAGCGGGCGACCTGATACGATCTCTCAACCCGACAGAGCACAGGGACAAGAAGGGCTTCACGCCGCTGATCCTGGCGGCAACGGCCGGCCACCAGAAGGTCGTCGAGATCCTGCTGAACCACGGGGCGGACATCGAGGCTCAGTCGGAGAGGACGAAGGACACTCCGCTGTCTCTAGCCTGCAGCGGAGGAAGGTACGAGGTCGTCGAGCTGCTCTTGAACCGCGGGGCTAACAAGGAACACCGGAACGTCTCCGACTATACCCCTCTAAGTCTGGCCGCTTCGGGGGGATACGTCAACATCATCAAGCTCCTCCTTAGCCATGGCGCCGAGATCAACTCCAGGACCGGTTCCAAGCTGGGCATCTCTCCGCTCATGCTCGCCGCTATGAATGGACATACAGGTAGAGAGGGATATACAGGAATAACAAGGAATAAGTTGGAACAACTTAATTTGTCGGGATAACCAGAGATGATATCTAGGAATGATCAGGACTAGCGGACAACCGCCAGGCGTCAACTAGTATGTATTAACATTTTGAACAAATTACAGCGGCGGTCAAATTGCTGCTGGACATGGGCAGCGACATCAACGCCCAGATCGAGACGAACCGCAACACCGCGCTGACCCTCGCTTGCTTCCAAGGCAGACACGAGGTCGTCAGCCTCCTGCTCGATCGCAAGGCCAACGTGGAGCACCGTGCCAAGGTAGAGTCCTTCATCGTGCAGGTGGAGAACACTTGGAACGTCGAATGGGACGGTTACCTTGATGATATTCTTGCAGACGGGACTGACACCCTTGATGGAGGCTGCCAGTGGGGGGTACGTCGACGTCGGCCGCGTTCTGCTCACCAAGGGGGCCGACGTCAATGCGACGCCTGTACCTTCTTCCCGGGACACCGCTTTGACTATCGCCGCCGATAAGGGTCACTGCCGTTTCGTAGAATTATTGTTGTCGAGGTAATCTCTCGAGGGGTTTCCACCGGGGTCAGGACCTCGCCCGGGTCCAGGTACCGATTATAATAATTATATTACACAATCTCGCATCTTCCAGGGGAACCCAGGTCGAGGTGAAGAACAAGAAGGGGAACAGTCCACTGTGGCTGGCGGCTAACGGTGGACACCTCAACGTCGTGGATTTACTTTACCACGCCGGCGCAGATATCGACTCCCAGGATAATCGAAAGGTTCGTAGGAAGCTTCTTCAAGGTCGTCCCGGATATAGGGATCGCTTGTATGACTCTGTTGGATTATTCATCTCCCCTAGGTGTCTTGTCTGATGGCCGCGTTTCGGAAGGGCCACATCAAGGTGGTCAAGTGGATGGTGAACCACGTGACCCAGTTCCCGAGTGACCAGGAGATGACGAGGTACGTCGCGACGGTCAGCGACAAGGAGCTGCTGGAGAAGTGCCAAGAGTGCGTGAAGATCATCAGGGCGGCCAAGGAGACCCAGGCTGCCAAGGCGAACAAGAACGCGACCATCCTCCTCGAGGAGCTCGACATGGAGAAGACCAGGGAGGAGTCGAAGAAGGCCGCCGCGGCGCGCAGGAGGGAGCGGAAGAAAAAGAAGAAGCTCGAGAAGAAGGAAGAGAAGCGGAAGTTACACGAGGATAACAAGAAGAATGAGACCATTTATGAGGACAAGGAGGACGGGAAGAAGTCCGGGGACGAGGACGGAGACAGGGGCGACGACAGCGAGCACGAGGGCGGCGACAGCTGCGAGCGCATGGACAACGTGCCTTCTCCCGTCAACCGGAGCCCCGAAGACCCCGACAAGGAAGAGGGCGACAGCGGGATCGATGCCAATAGCCAAGGGAGCTGCAGCAGCAACGACGTCAAGGCTAGGGAGAAGAAGAAAGACAAGAAGAAGAAGAAGAGTAACAGCCCTAGCAGCAACGAGAAGGAGACCTCGCCCCACAGGTCGCCCAAGGCCGTCCTCATCCCGAACACGAGTATAGCCCAGAATGCGATCACGCCCACCAAGGCGCAGAACACCGCCTCGGAAAAGTGAGAATCTCTCGTCTCTCTTGGTCTCTATTCGTCGCTCCGTTCTAGAAAATTCATTCGCGATTTATTCCCCCTTTATCGAGTGGGACCAAAATGGCGGAAAAGTAGAAATTCACGGGAGGGTGCAATGGAATTATTTCTACAACTCGTTTAGTTCGCTAGTTTGAAACGTACTCCTTCCAGCCTAATAACGAAACTTGAGAGGCAACATATGGGATGGATTCATTTTTTATTTTTTCATGATTTTTGTTTCACTCGGACCATTTTTGTGATTAAGCGAATATTACGTGACTTATTGATAATTTCCATCTCGTTGCAGAAGAACGACCGCGAACACGGTCAGCAACGTCCCTAACTCCTCGTCGACCGTCTCCAACGCCAGAGCGGCGACATCTGCCGCGAACAGTTCGAACGAAAGGAAACTCAAGGGCCAGCTGGTGTTCGAGTCGACCAGGCATCCGGCAGAGAGGGAGGACTTCGAGGCGACCGGCAACGAGACCTACATGCCCGGCAAGGGCAAGAAATCCTACAGCAATCAATACGAAGGCGACTCGCTGAACACCTCGTCCAAGTCCACCAGCTCCACCAGCCCTAAACAAGCTGGGAAGCGAGAGGAGGGCTGGAAGGAAGTCGTTAGGAAGTACGGGATCAGTTTTTCATGTTATTCGCGTTCCTCGCGTTCATGATCTTCGTGTTAGAATTCGTTCGCTTCCGCAAGAGTCACCGTTGCCGGTCTTTGGCTATGAAAGGACGTGGATGTATGGTTCGATTGAAAGTCTGACACGGAGCCAATTCCGCCATACTCCACTCTTCGTCTTCAGCGGATCGCAGCTTGTCCTTGCTTTTAGGAATAATATCAGCTACCCTGAGATAAAAGTATGGTCTCGAATTTTCCTGCTTGCGTTGACTAAGGGAAATAGTGGAAGCAAGTTCAAGAGACGATTCGTAGACCGGGTGATGTCGATCGTCGTCAGTCTTGTTGAGGGTGGTCTAGGAGCTGGCCGGTAAATTCACTTTCTTTCACCCAGGGGACAGTCGGACGACTCCGGGAGGTACATGAACTCGCCGTTCCGCTCGAAGAAGGTGTCCGTTCCGCCGAACGCCATCAGCAGGGTCATCGGCAGAGGTGGCAGCAACATCAACGCCATCCGGGGCGCAACGGGCGCGCACATCGAGGTGGAAAAGCAGAGCAAGTGCCAGGTAGAAAGGATCATCACCATCAGGTAAGTGCCAACGTCCTGCCATTGCGTCCAGGATCAAAATCCTATACGCCTCCTACCATAATCTTACCCGGAGCTGGACTTAAAGAAAAAATCCCTCGCGTCATCAGGGGCTCGTCGGACGCCACCAAGCAGGCGCACACCCTGATAGCCGCCCTCATCAAGGACCCGGACGTCGATATCCTGCAGATGCTCCCCAAGTCTAAGCTCACCGTCGTCACGTCCTCCTCCTGGGACAAGACCATTCCCAGCATTGCGGTAATTGCTTGGGACCTATGTACACCCTTAAGGCGACCTGTAATTCGCGTCTCAGAGGTCTCTGTTTATGAAACCTTCGAACTTGGTACACCGGTAGCTTGAAATCCCACCACGCGGGGGTGGAGGCCCTAGAGAACGTCCTGGCTCCCGTGATATTTTAATATTTCTTTTACTAGGTTTATTAACCTTCTAATTTTGCATGCGAATTAAAATTTCCCGAGTGCCAGGGTGTTCCCTTAGAGCTTGGACATTCGTGTAGAATTTTTAATCGGTGCACTCGGGTCGCAGAAATGTGTTTCGATCGACCTCTTGGATGGCGCTTTCGTGTCGCCTTAAGTATAGACTTTCGAAACGTGCCTTCATCTCGGGAATTTTGACCGCTCCAGGCGAACGCGAAGACGAAGCTGGGGCCAGTGAACAAGCCGGCTAGCCTGGTGTCTAGTACCGGTGGCTCTCAGGCGAACAAGACGGGGTACACGGCCGGCGTGTCGTCCGTCAGTCAATTGTTGCCACTTCGTTCTTCCTCTACTATCAAACTTGCGGGAGCTTTCCCAGCTCCCTTGCCAAGGGCCACGGCGCCTAGACTCGCTGCCGCAGGTAACCGCGAAGAGTCCGACATGGGTGGCGAACGCGCGTAACGATAAATCCGTGCGAACCAACCAGTACCCTAACTAAGTCATAGAAACAGAGTTAAGGTGATTGAAATCCATTAAGATCTACTAAATTCATCGATTCCAAGCAAAAGATTCTTTTTTAAATCAACTATATGACGTTCATCTCAAGAACCGATCACCTTCATCAACCCTGATGCCGAGTTAACCTAATTTTTTATATGAGGCGTACATTCGAATAATTAACCCTTTCCTTCCCGTGTACTTGTTCACAAGTAAACTTTTTTTGTATCGCGGTACAGGTTGTTTCTGAAAACTGGCTGTTCCACTCGCTCGAGTTTGTCGCGAAGTACCAAGCGCCGACGAAACGCGGCGCTGGTATCCAAACTCGTTACATTGATGCCGATGTGGTCGGTGTTGGTGTTGAAAGGGTTAAAGTGATTCTAAAAGTGATATTTTTTTTTTTTTTCTTGCCGAAAGTAAGAGAAATTAATTTTATCGACTTCACTAACTGTTGGCAACGAATCCCTAGGATTTATCGGTACGCGCTGGTACCACCTGATTTTTTTTCTCTCTCCTTCGCGTGCCCTAAGCCTCGTCTTGTCTCCTTCTAGCGGAGAAACGCGCGCAAGCGGTCGCCGCTGCGCAGCTGGCTTCCTCGACGAACACGAAGACGACCATGTCCTACACGAGCGCCATCATGACGGCGGGCCGGGCGACGAAGATCGCCACGACGAGCACGACGCAGACCTTCGCGGCGAAGCTGTCCGAGATCACCGCGTCGACGCACACCTCGACGACGGTGATGCAGTCGAGCCACCCGGGAGGCACCAAGCAAAAGCCGAGCCAGGCGAACACGGTTACCGTGATGTCCTCGTCGACGGCGCCGGCTACGCCGCAGACCTCTCCCCAGCAGGTCGCGGCGAACTCCTCGCCGAAACACTGCCGACCACTGCCTACCCTCTCGGCGCCGCCGACCATGTCCTCGCACTACCAGGGGAAGGCGACCTACTCGTCAGGGTCTTCGACTCCCGGAGCGGCGGCGCCCACGGCGACCTCGAACGGCCCCGAGGTCGGCCCCTCGGTGACGATGACCCTGACCTCTTCGGGGTCGGTTCGCGTGACCCCCTCGCCTCCGGTATCCACTGCAACGGTAGCTGCCGTCTCCCAGGCTCAAGGCTCCACCCTGCAACAACAGCAGCAACAGCAACAGCAGCAACAACAACAACAGCAGCCGCAACAGCACCAACAGATGCGCAGCTCCACTCCCATCGCACCTTCTTCCGGGTCCATGCAAGACCAGCAACAACAGCAACAGTCCAATAGCACGCCCCTAGAGTACTCGCTCTTCAACGATACCTTCACCAAGGTCACTCAGCAGTCCATGTGGGGTGGGCGGGAGAACGAATCTCAGAAGGGCATGAACTTTGCTACCGTCGCTGGTGGAGGGGTCTCCGTTAATACATCCGGATCCTCCTCCAACAAGTTCATCGACAGCGTGCCGCCGCAGGTGGGTCTCTTCGGAGGGTTGAGGGGACAGGTGGAGGGTAGGGATAATGGTGGACAATTTTGGGATTGGAAAAATATGTCGCGTTCCGTTGTGAGGACGTCAAGGATTTGGGTGCTCTTGACGATTTGTGATTGGGAAGAGGTAGAAGAGGCTTAATGTTTGAGATGGAAGAGTTAAATTTTGGAGGAGTAGGAGTTTAATTTCGGAGGAGTAGAAATTTAACTTTGATAAGATAGAAGGTTAATTTTCTAGGAGCAATGGTTTAATTTCGGAAGAATTGAAGTTTAATTCCGGAGGTTTTGCAGTTATTTTTTTTTTTTTTTTGAGTGGGGGGGACTGGTCTCCAGGTTGGACCAAATGGATCTAGGGGTGAATAACGACGTTTCTTTTGATCTCAGGTGGACGCGTCTAAGGCGCCCGGGTACAGAGGTACGAGCATGTGCTCGCCGGTGTCGAGCAAGTCTGGGGGCACGAGCAGCGGGGTGTCGCCCTCGGGGGTGCACAACCCGATCCAGCCGCCGCAGTTCCAGACCTCCGTGGGGTACAACGAGCACCAGCTGCCGAACAAGCTGCCGGGGGGTAGTCTGGCGGTGGCGCGGCCGGTTATGGCGCAGCAAAACCTGGATATGGGCGCGGGGATGACGCAGTTCAACCGGCAGGTGTTCCAGGGGGAGATGGGCTCCCGGAACGCGGCGGCGAGCCACCAGCCGCACGCCATGTCCTCGGGCTCGCAGCCCGGGCTGGACGTGGGCCTGTTCAAGGGCAACGCGACCGGGTACGAGCACCCGGGGGTTAACTCGAACCTCTTGAAGATGGTGCCCGGCGAGGGCCAGCCCGGCGGTCACCAGATCCTGCCGTTCCTCCCGCACATGCCGAATTTCACCCAGACGATCGCCCAGTCGGCCTCGGTGAACACCACCGTTAGTATGTCTAGACTGAACCCCAGGGCCCCCGATTTCTCGAGTTCTCTGCACCTGAACAACAAACCGCAGGTGACGATGTTCAATACCGGCACCGGGATCCACCCGAACATGTTCGCGACGGTCCCCGCCCCCCCGGCCTCCGTGATTCAGTCGAACAACCTGGCCATGCTGGGCAACTTCCCCATGGGGAAGTACCAGGGCGCGCCCTCGAGGGCGGCGGCCAACCCCAGCGTCTCCACCAACGGCCAGACCCGGTGGCCCTTCGCTGGCCCTCCCCACAACAGCTACCCTCCGCACCAGGACCCCATGATGGGCCAGATCGGGTTCTCCAATCACCTGGCCAACATCACCGGCCAGCCCGGCAACATCGACCTTATCACCAGCCTCGAGAACGGCGGCTCCCCCGCCATGTCCCCCTCCTCGCCCGCCCAGGTCGCCCAGGAGATGAACCAGCTTAAGATCGAGGATCGCAAGGTTCCCAGGCCCATCGGCACCGAGCGCGCCTGGAAGAACTACGCCGCGGGCATGGGACCCGGGGGCGACGCCGACTCCATTAACTGGATGCTCGGCAACGAGAAACTCGTCGGTTCCTGGACCAGCCTTGCTCCCGGCATGGACAGGCACCACGTGTTCCGCTCTAACGCCGCCACCTCCTACAGCCGCGTCTCCAACGCCGACGCCGAGCTCCACCAGATGATGGAGTCCACCTTCCAGGTAATCGTTGAGTCTGCGCTCTTGTACCTCCAGGTCCTGGCTCATAGAGATTTTTCTTTTAACCGTTTGATTTACTTTAACCGTTAGTCTTTCGACCGCGGACAGCAGAGAGAACTTCAATGGAAGCTTCAATTCCGAAACATGGAAATTAAAGTAGGTAAAATTTGCTCGGGTTGAAATTGAAGTTCCTAAAATTGGTGAGGGTTTGAAATTTAAATCTCTAAAATTGAACTGGGTTGAAATTAAGAATTATGAAAATTTCATTTCGAAGGGTTTATAAGGGGACGGTAAAATTTACTTGGTGTTGTCTTGGACGATGGTTCCGCGATCATGACCCAGTGTCGTAATTTCAGGGCCACTTGGACAATCAGCAACCGTTCCCGAACGGTAACACCGCGGCGTTGTCCTTGATGCCAGGATTAACCCTTTTACCCGGACAATTCGGAGCGGCAGGACTACAGGAAATGCCGCCGAACGAATCCGCCAAGATCGAGCCACCTGCCTGGGGGATGCCCGACCCTGTCCAAGACAAGCAACATCCGGTGAGAAACATCTCCCGTGTATTCGAGCACCTGGCCATTGTCTAACCCTTTTCTCGTTTGCCATCGCTCGTCCCGCCCTCTATCGGTATTCCTAGGTACTTATCGGCGTTCGATGAAAACTTTCACGATGATACCACGCCGTTCATATTTAATAACGTATTTTAATACTTGAAACTATTTATATCCCTCGTCCTCTCGACGATAAACTTAGCGACGCGTACGTATAGAAATCACGTATTAAAATACGTTATTAAAATTAATATATAAAATGATCCTTTCGTATCACCTTAAAGGACGACATTCAGGAAGGGTAGTTAGGAACGGGCTCTTCGAGATCACCAAGAAGGAACGAAATTCCCTCTTCCCGTGAATCCTCGTCCCGCTTTGACCCTGGATCTGATTTTTCAGGGATGGAACAAGTGGGCCCACTAGAGGGCGACGAAGAGAACTCGTCGGACGGAGCCACCCTCTCCTGTAATCCGGACACGAGACGACAGACCTGGAAGACACGAGTAGTAGTAGATGGAACTCTGGCATACGAAGCGTTGTTTCTAGACACTACGTAAATTACATTACTATCCTATATTCATTGAACACGCAGACCCATATTACTTGTCATGCTAGGTGATAAGACGGTAAATCCTTACTACAATTTATTGCTATTATCTAATATACTTATTCGATACCAATAATTAATGAATATGGTGCGTGTGGACTAACGCAGGCCGAGGAGAGAGCGAGCGAGGTTGGGCGGAGGGGGGGAGGAGATCCACGGAATCCACGGAGGTGTTTAGAGGGGGTTAAGGCGATTGCGGGAGACACGAGAAAGAAGAAAAGGAAAAAAAGAATCCATAGATGGACATGGGGAAAAGGAAACGGGCAGAAAGAAAGAGAGATAATGGGGGGAGAGAGAGAGAGCAAGTAGTCGAGCGCTTTGCGGCCGGCAATTCGCGCCGAGCCGATTCTTGGCCCCTGGTAGTTGCATGCTCTGTATCGTGCTAATTGATAATCGATATGCTGATGATGGTGACTGTGTCATTCTGCCATTGGTATGGTCTACCTATCTGTCTAACTTAATAACCTATGATACTTGCCAGACTTGTCACAATAAATTCAGATATCCATTACTGTCGCCTTTGGCTTATCTAGCGGCTTAGCCGTGGTCCCCGATTCTCGGGTGTTCTTGTCGTCGTCCTCGGTTTTTCGTATTGCCCTCCCGATTTCTTTTCGACCATGGCACCCTCGGCCGAGAGAGGAGGGGCACCTTTGCAAGCGCGATTATGCACGACTTAACCTGGAACCATTGCGAATATACGATGATTGTTGTAAATAACTGACTCGTGGTTTGGTGTACACCCCATTTTTATGCTTCCACGCGACCAGGAAAGAGAGGGGGAGGGAAAGTACCTCCTCGAACCTGCGATAACCCGCGACTCTTTCGATTGCCTTCGACGTTAAACTCTTTCGAATGGTTCTCGAGTGGCGCTTTCTGCGAGTATTATAATCGTTATTTGGTAATAAAGGCCTCGAAAATGTTAACCGACCTGATCGAGGTCTTTGCCAGAGAGACCCTGGGTCCACAAAGAACTCGCCGGCTTCGTTAACGTTTTGGAAGGTCGTTTACACCGTATGAACCGCGACGACGGGAATGAAGGGGAGAAATCGAATTCGTCTTCCTCTCTTTTCGCGAATCGGCGCGATTGTCTGACGGAAGGAGAGAGAGAAAAGGGAGCCCTTGTTCGCTCTCTTTCCTTTTCGCCGCATTTAGTAGCGTCAAGGGAACGTTTGAGTTTACAGGGTCCGTATCAAGGACGCGGAGTACGTCCGGCTCTATATATCCTGCGTCAGTAAATCCGTGATTAATTACATATATAAAAAATACAAAAACTAGAGGGGAGTCGTTTTATCTCGTGGGGGTTTATGTATAATAATTTCGTGGCGAGTTTGGCGGGAAACTTATCGAAACTGTGGAAAAAAACGGGTCCGTCGTGACTGTCTCTCCGGGGAGGGTGGGAGTGTACTTGGCGCGGCACTCTGCCGGTGCGCGCGCACATTCCGGACCTTTTCAGATGTATCCTTCCTGTGGGGGAGGACTTATTCTCTTTCCCGATTAATCCTCGCATCGTGGCTTCGCGGTTTCAGAGGACTCGTGCCGGCTATCTTGCGCTCCAGTAACGAGCTAATTGCGGGCCCTAATTGCGAGAGAGACCACCTTGGAGAGAGAAGCTGCCAGGACCTCTGGAAGGAGCGGGGAAATTGTCAGAGATTAACAAAGATTAACGAGGATTAACCAAGATTAACAGCCATTAACGAGGATTAACTCAGCCGCGGTGCCCGCGACGCGGCCTGCGAGCCGATGGGAGCCGCTCTATGCGCTGTTCTTGGCGCGAGACTCTGCCGAGTCTTCGGGTGGAGGAACCTGAGACACGCTTCGAGACGTTCTAGGAGTGGCCATTCTCACCCACGACCGAGTCAAGGATAGGAAGCAGCCGGGAAGGACGACTAGAGCGGAAAACGCGATGCCTGTCGCAGGAAAAGAAACACCGGCGGCAGGGTCGGTGATCTTGGCGCGAAACTCTAGCGACTGTCCGGCAAGAGGCAACTCGGTCTCGACCTGGGGCTAGATACACGTAAGGGAGGAAGAAACGGGATAAAGTAAACGCGCCTCTTCTCCGTGCTCTCTTCGCGCCGTGCATTAGCGATCTTGGCGCGAGACTCAGGCGAGGTTTCTTTTCATAAACTAGGCGACGGAGAACCCTCGGGAACGGCCAGGTTCCCGAGGACTTCCTTCGAACCCTGCGGGGACTTCCGATTATGAACAATTTACCCGATCACGACGCCTCGCCGTTGCGTTCGCGTATAGTGACGCGGACGGCGAGAGGAAACTCACGGATGTCGATTTGTAGTTGGCGCGACGTAGCGGGCCGACACTCGTACATATACATAAATATATATATACCCGTGCATCCCTAGCGACAGTACTATTGTAATACTATTATTGCTATGGTGGTAATACTGTTTATTATATTATATATTATGGTTATTATAGCTACACACCCACACAGGAGTAACAGATGCGCGCGACGGAGAGGACGGTATATATATAAGGAGGGAGGAATATCCGTCGGCACTTACAGGTACATGCTACACCTCGATACGCGATATACATATATATAGATAAGTAAATATATATATATGTATATGATCAGTTCGATGGAGACACGTGGGAGTACTCTGTGCTCGGTATTTCAGTGTCAGCTGAGGGAGCATCGATCGCCCCTCGAATTATTCTCTACCGTATATGATAATGTTACATTATTTAAAGCCTATTTTCAAATTTGATTTATCATTGCTGCGATATGTGGTATATGAAACTATATTATATGACGTATAACAATGAAGCAAATAAATGAAGTATTCACGACGCTGAGTTGTTAATGGGTGGGGCTCCGAATGAGTTTCGCATCAAATACACCTGGGTCTCTTTACAACATGCGTGTGCAGGTGTGGATAAGAAAAAAATCATGCATGGGACATGGTAGGGTTGTTTAGAGATTATTTTCAGTCAATCGATCTGGAACGGAGAGGGATTTCAGACATCGGTTACATGGATTGGAACTTGCGAAGCATGTATTGTCGGAGGGTGGAAGGCGAGGTCTACGAAGGACTGACTTTACCATTGTCTTTATTTGTGTCATAACATATGCGTTACAGGACATATTAATAGTAGTAACTATTAATAATAATATTAATAATCCCTGCAGACATAATTTCGTGTAACTTAAGCCTAGTATAGACAAAATGTAATCCACAATTTCTTTTTTTTTTTCCATGTTCAAGTACTGGCTAAACGATAGTCGGTACAAATCATCGCCTCGAGTCTCTAAGCGGTACTTTTTATAAATTAAACGTCACGAGAAGAACTTCGTTATTACGCCGCTCCGATGTCGCCATTTTTATCCTTTCTTTTTTTTCCCTGTTATATCGCGTTACAATCGTCCCCCGATATGGAATCTCGGCTCTGAGTACTGTTCGATTGCCTAATTACGTCGATGCTACATTCTGAGCGGACATCGGAGGATATTCCAGGGGATGAGGACAAGTCGCGGCCAAGAAAGAACGACTGATTTCCTCCAAACTGCGACGATACGACTCGAGGTATCCGACGCCATTTTGAAAAACGCGTTTACAGCAACATGATCGACGCGACTCTACACAAACCTGGCTCGATAATTTCCCCGGAAGTGACCGAAATTCTGTACAAATCGAGACGACGCGGTCCTCAGCCCCTGCGCGTGGAATCTCATTCTAAGTCGAAGTTGTACTATAATAAGAACGCGCACGTTCCGTGCCCGATTGATTGAAACACCCGGAAAAATGTCCGCGAAAGCAGGCGAGGCCCTCGCCCTAACGGAGGCGCAATTACCCCTCAAAAAATCGATCGCTGCCCATCGAAACGAAACGTGTCGTCATCACGTTTCCGCATTGTCCACAATTCCGCTCGTCATCGACCCGGTAGAGAAATACTCAGCGAGGAGGGAAACAACACACCAAACGGCTAGATACCGCAGAGGTGGGACAAATGAGTCATGAGAAAATCCTCTTCCATTCCTCCATCATTAATAATACGGTAATTCCTCGTCTTTGAGGACCTACCAGCCTCCATCTCCGCGGTATCCACCAGGTTGCCGTGCGTAAGAGACTCCTTCAAGTACGGGCCATTATGTATTCCCGGAATTAAAGGTAATCCCCGGGTCAATCTCCCGGTTTTCCGTGACGAGGAGGGCTAGTCGCACTAACTGGTCGGCGGGGGTGGAGGCGGAGGCTGCGCCAGGAGGGTAGGCAGGGTGTTCAGGTCGATCCCGGGTGGAGCAGGAGCTTGTTGCTGAGGAGGCGGTGGAACGGGGGCAGCCGGAGGCCAGGCGGCCATCTGCTGTGGCTGCCACCCTGGGAAACCAGGAGGTGGAGCGGTTCCGGGCGGAGGTGGGCGCATAGGCTGCTGGCCTTGCTGCCAGGGCGGGATGCCCATCCCGGGCGGCGGAATCTGGGTGGGCGGCATTTGTCCCGGTGGAGGAGGTTGACCGTTGCCCGCCATCCAGGGCATCAGCGGGGGGATGTTCGGCTGACCCGTGGAACCAGGAGGCGGCGGGGGCGGCTGCATCACGCCGGGTGGAGGTGGCATGCTCACCGGAGGCTGCCACTGCATGTTCATGCCGTTCATGTTGTTCACCTCGCCTTGGCTCCAGGGTGGAGGCGCCATGCCCGGCAGCGGCATCATGGGACCGCCCTGCATCATCTGCGGGGGCGGATGCGCTGGGGCCGCCATCAGGGCCCGCGGAGCTTGTTGCCTGAAAAGCGAGGGTGGTTTTGGAATAAAATATCCTAACATGCTGTTCAATGACACTGTTCGCAGTATACGTAGATCGAACAGAGTGAACGGAATGACTGAGATGCATGCTGTAATATTTTGTCGGAAGTGCGAATACACCTCGACGCGTTCATAATGGTCACCGGTGACACGCGATACGTGTTTTAATGAAACAGAATTTAGATGGCATGAACGGATAATTTGTAAAAATTCACGCGACATCCAGGGTGTTATTAGTACCTATCGAACAATCCCGGATAATTGGGATTGGGTTGCCTCGGTTGGCCACCCTTAGACCTGTCCGGTGGGGGCCCTTCTCCCAGTTCAGCCATCAGGGACATGTACTCCTCGTCGATCTTCGCTTTGTCACCTCCTGGACCACCTGGACCCATGCCCGCTGCTGCCGGACCACCTTGGCCGGGTCTCTTGGACCTGCAGTCTCGCGCAATGTGCCCGGCTCCTCCACAACTCGAGCACACGATATTATTCGTCACGTTCGGCTTGTCTGGACACTGCAAGAGGGCGCGGAGGTCGAGGGTTAATTATAAATTCCACCACGTCGGCTTTAGAACCTTGATGTCTAATTCACGAATTAAAACCACGAACCAGCCAGGACTTGTGGTCGGATGCTCCGCAGTTGGTGCAACGCGGCCCGTCGTTCTCTCTCAGAGTTCCGTTTAACAATGCCAATTCGCGCAATTGATTGCGACGCAAGTCGTTCTGGCCCTCCGGCACTTCGACGCCTTGTCTGATGATCTCATGGATCTGGAAGAAAGAATATTTTAATCCGGAATATAATTTAATATAGCTTATCGACTAAACTATTAGACTCACTCTTTCTACTGCCTTTTTCACAGCATCCAGATTATTCGCCGTGATGTAGGCATGAAGAGGCTCGTCTTCGCCTGGCAATGGTTGGCCGTCCTTCCTACCGACTTTTCCCTCCTTCACGGAGCCCTTTCCGCGGATTATGATCTTCGCGCCGGTTTCTTTCTCCATGGCTGAAATGTGAGCGTCACCGATGACTGTCGAACTCCTGCGATTTTTCGGCAAATGGACTGTTCTCGTGAGTAAATCCTTACTTACATTTCAAGGTGTTACCGCGAGGTCCGATGAGGAGGCCAACGAAATTAATATCCGGGTGTTCCTCTTGCGGAATCATTACCTTATCGTGCACTCGGATGATCGGTGGTCTGGGAATCGAATTAATCGGACGAGTTTGAGTCGTTTTCTTGAAATACTCGAGTGAAACTTTTCTATCTCCTCTGATATTAGATTAAGTTAACCGACCAGGGTATGCAGAGATGCAGTTTCTCTTTCATTTGTATGACTTAATATATATATATATTTTTTTTTCCGCATCCCTTGGTCGTTAATTATTAAAATAACAAGCGATAAAGATATTGTGCGTGACTAACTTGTAATCCGGTGGTGGTTTGAATTCGGGATTGATTTTCAAAATCTTCTGTATCAGATTATGACGCTCTTCCTCCAGCTTACGTCTCGTTCGGTATTCTCGAGTGTTCAACCGTTTACCATCGCTACTATAAATCGGCTCAGGGGATGGCGATCTGTAAAACAAAAAAACAGGCAAGTGTCATGACACACTGCCTGGACAAAGATGGTACTAGCGTACAAGCAACCTGATCCTAGCGTGACAACATTCTTTTCAGTGCAAATTGCTGACTAATGATGGGACAAAAAAAAAAGAGTTGCAATTCGTGAAGAGAGCTTTTCAGTTGGACTTGAGTGTAAATAGTTCATCGCTAGCCACAAAATGTGTTACTCTATCCTAACTTTTCGTTATATGTGGGCCATATTGGAAAGGAATTACATTCCGATAAAATCTTAATTATAATTGTATCGTACACCCTTTCTCAACGATGTCGATTTCAGTGAAAGTGAATAATTGGCAACATAAAAGATTTACTATATATAGATGTACACTGCATGGAACGCTGTTTTTAGATAATATCGATAAGCTACGGAGTAGATAAATTACTTTTGTGAAATAAAATTTCAGAAGCACGGTTCGTCGAATCGGTCTGGTAATTAATTAAACGAGTTCGCTTTCCAACATTGCCTACACGTAAAAAATAAGTAAAAAACACTGCTGTGAAACATAGCATAGCTATATGTTCATTAAACTATCGTAGGCAACCACTTGAAGACTGCACGTTTGTGCACGGCAGATATGGGTATGATGGCAGCTGCTACGATAAAAATCCTGTGATTATTAGGAAATAACAGATTTTTTTGATTAGTCAGAGATATGCTTGTGTACAACACTAAAAGGAAGAACAAAGATACAGAACAATGGGTCCGGCTAAAGTTCAACATGTTAAACCTATTGGAATAAATCAATCGATTAAGAGATTATTGTGAATTGGTTCAAGTTGTACCTGAAAGTAACGTTAGTTCAATCGGTACATTAGGTACATTACTGCATTTGGGTTACGATTAGTTATTTCATTTCTTTCCCTGTAATCTATCCGTCAAACTTTCAATTAGTGACGAAGATGCGCTGTTTTATGCTAACAATATATTTGTCTATCGATGCATAGCTATCAGTTTCTCTGTGTCTACCATTGATTATTTTACATGCCGTGCAAATCACGGCAGCCTAATTGTATAAGGATCGACAGAGGTGACCCGAACTAAATAGAGGAAAAAAGAAGGGAATAAGAATCGTATCGTTTTGTCTTTCACAAGACGTCCACGATTTTAGTAATAATTTGGGCTGCACGTTGCTTTAGGTCACCTCAGACTTATCCTGTGTATACATAAAAAAAGTTCCTAGAGATAAGAAAGTGGGCTAAAAAGCCCTCTATTAGTTAAACACTGCTACTCGTTGCCATATTAACCATATTTTTCGTTACAGTCATCGTTCTCCCAATGCCGCTCTCAGTTGCAGAATTGTTTTCTATAGTACCAGAAATATCAGAAAATCTTATGCTTATAGTTTTCCTGTATTGCTTTCTGTGATCGTTTTTCCTTACGGTAAAAGTGAACTCTATAGTTACCTCTCGAACGATTCTCAGGTAGCAGTGTTTAATACGAACGAATTAGTAAAAGAAATTGATTAGGGCAAACCAATATTATCATAATTCATCTTCTGTGTTGCGGAGAGGCTTGGGTCAAGCCCCGACTTTTCGAATCCACTAATACAGGTAGTGCCATTTACAAATCTTAAGGCCCCTGCACTTGGAGCTGCTGTATGGTCAGTAGGTAGATATTGTAGGTACGTAATGGTCATTTTCGGTATGTAAGTTTCTTTCAAACCTTTCCTCAGGGTTAAGTGGGATTCCAAGGTCCCCAGTGCGTAGTTTCCTGCTGATTTCCTCGATTTGTAGTTGAACTGTAAACCAACGGGTTAGAGGGGGCAGAAACCCCAACAGTTAGACAGTGTTGATTTGCTACAAAAGTATACATGTTTAAATGTATTTTGCATTATAGTATGTCAGATTATCTTGAGATTCAAAGCCTCGAATTGACTCTTGTCAAAAGCAAAGGTACTTCGTGACTTTTAACGTACTCGGAGGGTTTGAAAGTTTTGAGAATCTCGAGTGGACGTAAAATACATTTACAATACCGCTCGGAAAAAAAAAAGGTTACTCTTACCTTCTGCCAAATATGAATTTCAAACGATAACCTCATACTTACGTCCTTACAGATATTAACAAAACGATTTACATCTTAATAAATTGTGCACAGAAAAGAAACTCATAAATTATTATCCATTTTAAAGTAATCGCTCTTCGAGTAAATACTGCTTATGATCTAAGGCGAGGAATTTGTGGCGCAACTTACACAGGTACGCCTTCTCCTGTTCAGGAGTTAGGTTGGTCGGTAACACAGTGGGCATCCCCGGAATGAAAGTTTTGTCATGCTCGCTACCTCCCCATCTGGTCTTCCGTCTCTTCCTGCGCTCCTCTTTAGACTCTTTATCCTGCTTGCCCTCGTCTGAAACGCATGACAATTATGATACGATTTTCAATGCTTTCGGTTGACGTTACCTCCGTAGAAATGTTTGAAAATGAAAGGCCGAATTAATGCATACATAAAAATCATTTACATTACCATACATTCGTGCGAAGCCGATATGTAATCGAGTAATGCTTATAAAATTATCTGTTGGGAATATAGGCGGGCAAAAAATCGATTCGCGATATTTTCGGAAAGCCTTGAAAGTTAGCGGACGAAGGGTCGAGAAATTCACTCACTTTCTGCTTCGCGCTTTCTGCCTTGCGCCGTGGCGGAAGAATTCGCGTTGCCCGTCGTTCCATTAGCAATAGCCGCGGAGACGGCGGCGGCCGCCGCCGCCGCCGCTGCGGCGGCTGCATTTGCCGACACGGCGTTCTGCGCGTTTTGCAAATAACTCGGATTTAACAGAGACGTGAAATTTCGCGATTGATTCATTCTAGAGCCGCGCGGGTGCAGCCTCTATCACGAAAAGTTTCGCAACGTCCCTGGAAAAACTCGATGCACTTCCAAAATGGCGACTCTGCGACCGTCGTGGACAGTGTTGCCACCTCGTCGAGCCGACGCACAACAGAGATAATTTGGGAGATTGCTCACGGAAAGGATTGTGAGATCGCATCCTGTGCTGCCCTCTGGTTTCGTACGTTAGCTTTCACCGTTTTTTGCCCCCAAGGGTGGCGCAACGAATTTCTGATAGGAGCTCGCGCACTCACGATGGCGGTACCATCTACCAGTCGCTGTTGGCGGCTCACGTACTCGTGATGGTAATACCATGCAGCAGTTGACGGCGATGGCTTACCTACGCTTACCAACACTGCTCGCTTTTGATGGTAAGGGAAGAACACTCGTGACGCTCCATTTGAATTTATCTACTTATCTACCACTATTAAGTACATTGTTGCCTCGAAGTCGACGTGATGCGGAGCTTTGGGGCACGCGTCGGTGTCGCGAACGGAACCCTCATACAGCGAATCTGTGTGAGTGCGATCGCTCCTAGAAATGTTACCGCGTCCCAACCAGCCAAGCGCCAAGCTACAGGTTGAGACGTTGAGTATGTGTGCGTTCGGCGCTACACTTGACGAGTATGCGTGAGAGTCGAATGCTGCGAAAAATCTTCAAATTAACGCTAGTAGGAAAATGTAAAAATCATACGCGAAATGACTCGGCTTATATCCGCAGTTAGGTAAGCCTCGGGAGGATTTTTCGCAGCATTCGACTCTCACGCATACTCGTCAAGTGTAGCGCCGAACGCACACATACTCAACGTCTGGACCCGTAGCTTGGCGCTTGGCTGGTTGGGACGCGCGAAGATTTCTAGGAGCTATCGCACTCACGCAGATTCGCTGCACAAGAGGTCCGTACGCGATACCGACGCGTGCCCCAAAGCTCCGCATCACGTCGACTTCGTGGCAACAATGTACTTAATAGTAGTAGATCAGTAGATAAAGTCAAATGGAGCGTCACGAGTGTTCTTCCCTTACCATCAAAAGCGAGCAGTATCGGTAAGCGTAGGTAAGCTACCACCGTCAACTGCCGCATGGTATTACCATCACGAGTACATGAGCCGCCAACAGCGACTGGTAGATGGTACCGCCATCGTGAGTGCGCGAGCTCCTATCAGAATTTCGTTGCGCCACCCTTGGGGGCAAAAAACGATGAAAGCTAACGTACGAAACCAGAGGGCAGCACAGGATTCAATCGCACGATCCTGCCCGTGAGCAATCTCCCAACTCATCTCTGCGCACAAATGGACGTCCCTTGCGATGTTGCCAGATCCCTCAACGAAAGTCGTGGTAAGTGAAAACGAACCTGAAAATGACGTGAGAATAAAACGGTTTCAGGTGTTCACGGCAATATAAGTGTAATCTTTGTCATAAAGAATTTTATTACAACATTGTAAACTTTTATATTATATAAAATTGTAGCTTAATAATAACATCTCAATAATTAATCTTTCATTATGGAACTGCATGGGAGCGAACTTGAACATATGTCAAATAAGAACCATCATTAAGTGGACACCCGTTACTTAGAAAAATATATGTGAAGTACCTGCAACTAGCTACGTTAATTGATGTCATTGTGGAATTGAAACACGATTCGCAGAAGAAGAATACGATTACAGTGATCTTTTGGGGCCTGAAATGATAGTGTTCCTCTTTTTTAAGTTTACCTCCTAGATCTATACGGCTTTGATCCATGACGACCGATTAAAAACTAAAACTTATATTAATGTATTCATAAAATAAGGTATAATGGAACGTAACACTTTCTTTGCGGATTCTGGCTCAACAGGATAGGATCCAAAATCTCACTTGCACTTACGATCGTTGTGATAATCATCGTCGTCATCCAGTCGGTTGCAATCTTTCTCGTCATCGTTATCGGGAAACTCACTATCAATATTTGGTCGCGTTTTCTTTTTACCATCTGCCGAGATGTATTTTGAACCATTGACCGCCTCGCGAGGTCGTTCGGTCAAGCCACCTGGCAGATGATCGTTAGGTCGAAAGAAAGCCATCGAAAAGCCTCGGCCTCTGGGGACTTTTGGTATCGCCCCAGTTTTTTTGGCCATGTCAGCAAATTGTGCGGCGCATCTTGGATTACGGTCGGCACTTGACGTACTCGCGTTTACTTCGTCTGCACTAACTCCGTTTTCTTTGGTTGTCTCACTTTTGGAAGCGGTGAGCTTCTTGTACTTTGCTATTCGGCTTTCCAGGTTGGCTCTTCTTTGGGCATAATAATCTTCCAGTTCGCTTAGCGAGGCCATCTCTAAATTGATCTCGGTAAGCAGTTGGCCGGGATCGACTGTAGAACCTTCGGCGTTTGATGCTCCACTGCTTTCTGCATTTGAATAATCGGAGTCGGGTTTACTATTGACTTTGCCACTGGCTTCTTCCAAGGACTGTTTGTCTGAATCTGAAGGAGAAGCTTTGGCAAAATTGTCCGATTCAGAAGTCCGTGAGTTTGCGTGTCTTGCGTTTAGAGGGTAGCCAGAGTTAATCTGCGGCCCATTTTGTGTCGGGCTTTGTTGCTCCTCTTCTTCTTTATGCGACTTATTGCCAGTTTCAGCATTTCTCTCACGATAATCTGAAATAACGTCAGCATCAGACTCGGCCAACTCGTGACCATTAGTTGTGATAGCTGGAATCGGCTGAACTACAGTTACATTTTCCAGAGGCTCTGTATTTTCTTGATCACGCTGACCATTGTTACTAATCATAAGCTTGCTAATATCCAAGTGTAGAGGTTCGTGAATCGACAATTGCCCCATCCTGGTTTGCAGATTTGCTGGCAGAGAATGCGGGAGACGAAGCGGCGTATCCTCCTAGAATTATTAAAAGTAGTCAACAGTTATGTGTATACGAAATTCCTCAATATATGGATGATTTAGTCAACTACCCCATTCTAATGTCACCTTTTGTACTAGATAGGAAAACAACAATTACCTCAACCAATTGCTGTTCTCGTCGAGGAGGAGGTAATCCTTGATCTTGAAACACTCGTAGACGTTCTCGCTCCTTTTTTTTGAAACTTTTCTTTTCGGATTTTGAAGCAACGGACAACGAGCGAAGGACGTTTCTTTCAGCAGCTGCCGCTTCGGCATCATATGTTGACCTTGGAGGTGGTTCCTAAGCAACATCTATTTCAATCATTTCAGGCCATCACGAGCAATTTGGGTCGAATATGCAAAAGTTTATTTTATATATTTATTAACACGTTCATGAAATTATTAACCTGATCCCAATCTTCACTGGAAGGAGGAAGAACTATGTTTTGTACTTCCTCGACAGGAACTATTGATATTTGATTTTGATGCCCAACGGGACACAAATGCTCTACCACGCTTCCGGCACTGTCGCATACAGAGAGATGATACTGCAAGAAAGCTCCATGAGTTTATATTTCTAAATATTTTAATGAAAAGGATTTAGTTAAAATCAACAATCGATATTCATTTGTTTTTACTCATACCTTATATTCTACCTGATTTATAATATGCGTTGCATTGTAGGGACAATTGACTTTTGGGAGCCCGAGATGATTCTTCCTACATTTCACAAGGTGAACCTGCATTCTGCTCTTACGGATACGATGGACCGGATCGTAAGGGCAAGTAATTATTGGATCTGGTTCAGCCATGCTGCTTATCAATGTAAAGTCTCTATAAGAAATACAAGATCCAAAATCAAATACAAGAAAAGTAAACGTGAGGTCAAACAAACGGTTAAATCAAATCGGCGCAAGTAGATCAAACTCTAGATTTATCGGTTCAAGAACATTAACAGAATTTCTTAATAGTATCGTTTACCAGATGATCGAGGAACAGCAAGTTGCTAAAGCTTCAAGTCTGATGCGGTTTCTCTCAACACGCGGTTCGTTAAAACGTAAACAGTCTTTGTCTCTCGAAAGCAACTCACAAAGTCCAGAAAGCTTTCTGGCGCTTCCGAGAAATCCAACTACCGGCGATACGAAATTTGAGATATGGTACGATCGTGAATTCAGATACATTACTAAATACTACGTCACGAGTTTTGCCCTCGATGTAAATGACGTGAATACAAGTCTTTATGTTTCCGTCCGTCCTACTCCCGTTTACGTCGGATAGAAGCACGCTAATCGCATAAACTCGTTTACACCGTAATTTAATGAAATAGAAACCGGATATACGAATTTCGGATATAATTTGCTGGAGTGGTATACTACTTCTAATGCGAGAACCAGTAGAAACACGACGACTTCGTTTAATTTTGTGAACATCGGAAGGTGAGATTTTATCTTAATTAAATTCTACTTCACAGCTAGTTCGCGGATCGGTGTCATCCCATAAGGATGGTACCGATCCCCCAGGTCCCGCCACGAGGAGGCCGCTGCCTGGTTCCGTTGAGTTCCCGGCGTCCCAGGAACTCACAGAACCAGGATTTCATAACCCATACAGCACACCACTCGCATACCATACGCATCCGTCCATACAACACACCACTCGCATACCATACTCATCCGTCCATACAACGCTCGCCGCAGAGTACAGGGTAAGTCGCCGAGTACATTGCCAGTTAGCATAGAATTAAGGATATAATTTGCCGGAAGGGCATACTACTTCTAACGCGAACAATCCAGCAGCTTCCACCGTCACCGACGACTAACCCAGCTCGGCTGTCGGCCCGCGAATACGAGTTTCAGTCGACGGGCTTGTCCCGGCTTACAGCAGGCAGAGCCCCCGCGGGATGCCGCCAGAGCGAAACAACGTATCGCGCAACCAACAACCTGAGCCAGGTAGCCTTGCACGCCGTAGCTTAGCTACGACGTACTAGGTGCCGACGGAAGCTGCCGGATACACTAAAGGTACGGCATCGCCGTACCTGCAAAAATCTACTTCGGTTAACAAATGCAAATCCGAAATTACTAGCTGCATGAAAATGTACCCGACAACGTCTTGTCCGCAATTTACATTAACGCACGCACGCAATGAGTGCTTCCACTTTTAACTACGTTAAACTACTATCATACAAAAAAAAAAAGCAAGCTAAGTGGAACCACTCGCGCAGCTATTTGCGGACCGGTGGTTTCCAACTATCGTTGGAAACCACCAATCCCCCAGGCTCACCACGTGGAGGTTGCTGCGCACCGAAGCCCTTTACAAACGTAATAAATTAAGTTACATATAGTAGTAAAGGGAATGGGAAGGAGGGGGATGACTCCATAAGGCCCGGTTTCACAACTCGAGTTAACCGGAGTTTAATTGTTTAACGGAAGGTTTAAACAAGGGTTAAACCAGTTAAACTTCAGTTAACTCGTTAACGGGAGTTTAATTGTTTAACGGTAGGTTTAAACCGAGGTTAAACCAGTTAAACTTCAGTTAACTCGGAGGGGGGGGACTGGACCTTAATAGTGCTCAACATACATACAGGTGTGTGGATGTATGTGAGAGCAATGGTGGATGCACATAGACCGATGTTTACACTTCGGAAGATCCAAGGGTAATGACGCTCTGAGCGCAAGCTCGGCCTTATATAGGGACCCTCACCTCAGCATGCGCATGCGCAGTTCCTTTTCACACCTCAATATATTCAAATTTTTGAGTTTCTTTATAAAAACGGAATTTTATGGTTATCAAGCCCTTTCTTACAGTCTTTATACTCACGTTTTGAAATTTCAAACGATTAAGTACACCTAGTTTTGAGAAAAATTTCGTTAACACCTGACCTCTCGGTTGCCTCTTGCATGTCATCTTAACGGAAAATCCGTAATTTTAAGATGATGCAATGTGAGTACAAGGGTGCCTTTTTCAAGTATCTGCGGTCAGGTGTTGGTCGAGAGAAGGGACGATACAGTAATTGCGGACTCCGGATTATCATAAAATTCTAATCCCCACCACCTGTTAAGAAGCAAATTAAAATCGCCCTATTAGGCTCCCTTCCCGTATCATTCTCGGGACGAGGATGTTTCGATCGATGTTGCGTAGTGCGATGCAAGGTTACCCGTATTCCTCGCAAGAGGACAGCACCGAAGCTCAGTCCCTCAGAGTCGCCCGCGAATAACCTCTCAAATCATCTCTGTTATTTACCGTGAAGGCAGCATCGCACCCTAGGGCTGTCGCGTTTGGTTTGGTGTCGCAACTCAAGCGTACTTGGACGCACGAGGAGCGTCGGCATTATCGAGTGTCCTCGCGATCTCTGCGGCGTTATCGGGACGCCCAGGGTAACGTCCGAGCGCGAGAGCCCGGCTCGGCTCGGTCGGAGAACGGCGAGTGCCGATCGTCCAAGCGAAAGGAACTCGGCAAAATGGACGACGACGAAGGGTCCTCCGGCTCGGGGCCCATGTCGTCCCTGAACAGCCTCTTCTCGTTCACGAGTCCCGCGGTGAAGAAGCTGCTCGGCTGGAAACAGGGCGACGAGGAAGAGAAGTGGGCGGAGAAGGCGGTGGACTCGCTGGTGAAAAAGCTGAAAAAACGAAAAGGTGCCATCGAGGAGCTCGAGCGAGCCCTCAGCTGTCCAGGTACCCCCAGCAAGTGCGTTACTATTCCCAGGAGCCTGGACGGAAGGTTACAGGTGTCTCATCGGAAGGGTCTACCCCATGTCATCTACTGTCGCGTCTGGAGGTGGCCGGACTTGCAGTCCCACCATGAGTTGAAGCCCCTGGAATTGTGTCAGTACCCCTTCTCGGCGAAGCAGAAGGAGGTGTGCATCAATCCCTACCACTACAAGAGGGTGGAAAGTCCAGTGCTGCCGCCGGTCCTCGTCCCCCGTAAGTCAGAGTACCCACCTGGACACTCGTTGCTGCCGTTCCATCAGCTACCCGAGCCCACGATGCCCCACAATGTGTCTTACTCCTCAAGTGGCTTCAACGCCAGTTCCGGCGGAGGTGTCATTCCGACGTCTCCGGTATCTTCCGTGGGCTCCGTTCCAAGCCCTGGAAGCACGACGTCTCCAAATCCACAGAGCCCGTACGGGACTAACGGACTGCCCGAAACGCCTCCACCTGCATATTCTCCACCAGAGGACGTCTCTCAACACGGTCAGTCTCCGGCACCGGATTCTGCTGCTATGGATACCAGCCGCTCAGCCGAGGTTGCTCCAGTATGCTATCAAGAACCTCCCTATTGGGCTTCGATCGCATACTATGAACTGAACTGTAGAGTGGGGGAGGTTTTTCATTGCCAGTCCCACTCGGTTATTGTGGACGGCTTCACGAATCCCAGCAATAATTCAGACAGATTCTGCCTCGGCCAGTTGTCAAATGTCAATCGTAATTCCACGATTGAGAACACCAGGAGGCACATTGGGAAGGGGGTGCATCTTTACTATGTCGGAGGGGAGGTTTACGCGGAGTGCTTGTCCGATTCGGCTATTTTCGTACAATCCAGAAACTGTAATCATCATCATGGGTTTCATCCGAGCACAGTTTGTAAAATTCCACCGGGATGTTCTCTGAAGATCTTCAACAATCAGGAGTTTGCTGAGCTGCTCTCACAGAGCGTAAATCATGGATTCGAAGCAGTATACGAGCTTACCAAGATGTGCACTATCAGGTAATGGAAAGACTAAATATTAAATTTATGTAGAGAATCAGAGGTTATATATATTAATTTTGTCTTTGTATGTTCAGAATGTCGTTTGTGAAAGGCTGGGGTGCAGAGTACCATCGACAGGATGTGACGTCGACGCCTTGCTGGATCGAAGCTCACCTGCACGGTCCGCTTCAGTGGTTGGACAAGGTTTTGACGCAAATGGGCTCACCTCATAATGCTATCAGTTCGGTGTCTTAAGTCATTCTCAGCATGCAGGCCTTATTTTGACGAGGCTGGTGATCCGATTAAAAGACTCAAAGAAAACTCGGAAGTCACGTTTCGACTTTCCGGCTTGGATAGTGCAAAGATTGGATGGCTTCGCTGGTGGACGCAGCCATCGGTCACTTTTGTTCCACCTGTGGAACACAAAGATGGTGTTGGAGTTCTGGAGTGGAATAAGACAAGATGAAAAGAAGAATGCCTTAATAATACAATCCGTTCCAGTAGACTCTGGTACCAGATTGCGTCCAGACTTTTGCCAGGTTCGACTCGTCGAAGAAGGCAGTGGGTTCGTGTACATAGGTGACAGACCGTAGGCAGATATAAACCCTCGAGCAAAGTAATTGACCTACAGGATCTGTCGAATCCGGGTAGACGTGCTAATAGGGCGAAATGAAACGGACCATAGACCACTTCGAGTGCTTTGAAGTACTGGCTCGGTCCCCTCTGCCGAGTGACTCCAGAAGGGAATCGAAACCCAATTGTGACTATACAGTGCAACTCCCTTACTAATTGCATCGTTTCTCTTTTGCAATATAATTCACTTGGCCGAAGACTTAAAAAATAATTATACTTAACGGAATATTAAAGGCTTGTCAGATTTTAAATAATGACGTTTGCCAGTTGGAGGTGGAAAACGCGTTGCAACGGAGTTGTGCTGTACTGCACTGGTGCGCCCTTATCAGACCCGCCGATGCTGGACTTTCTCGGTTACTATTAACGTATCGATACGTTTATTATTGACGATTTCCTTGTTAAATACCGGCCAATCGCGAGGCAGGAAGTTCAACCAAAAAATGAGTGCAACGTGCGCGATGTTATCGCTCCCCCTCGGACGGTCGGACGAAGGTTACTCGACGTAACTCTCGACGGACGGAATCGATTAAGCGCGGGGCATTAATGTCGGCTATGGCTTGTATGTACTTGTGTGTACTTCGACTTGTAATGAGCGAGCGTGCGATCCATCTGCTGGCGAAAATTATTGCGCAGATGTAGATGTGTAACTGGGTGGTCCATGGAACGGTTTCCGAGTGCCTCGGAAACCGTTCGTAAACGATACTCGGAGGCGACACGGAATTCCCTCTTTTATCACAAACAAAACGCGTTAAACAAAATTAGGGGTACTTCCACGATGTCATCCTTCAAGTTTGAATCCGGAAGAGCGACTTTTATCGCTATGGCTCCTCGAATTATGACATGAAAAGGGAATAGTTCTGACAGAAGTTCTGGTATCGTTTATAGTGGACGTTGCACGTATGTTGACTAGGGAATGTAATTAAAACCGGTCTGAATGGAAAACGGGAAAGCATGGGAAAGAAGATAAAAACGTTTACTCGACCGCTCCACGATGTGCCTGACAATAATGGACGAGGAAGTACCGATGGTAGAGGAAAAGCGAAGGAAAGAGAAATATGAAAATGGTACAAATTATATTAATTTCCCACGATAGTTATTTTTGTATGTTTTCCTAAGGCTCGTATGGGCGGACAGGAGGGCAGGCGATTAAACACTTTTTACCTTCTCCCGGGGTACGGTTTTTCATTCGAATCAGGTGCAGTTAGCCTTTAGGTATATTTTCGTGCGACCGTCTACTGGAAATTGGTCCTAATGGATAACGGACCTTTCGGTGGAATCTATTTTCTACGAGTAAATCGGTATCTCGACTCCTTGGAAGGAAGTGTCACGCGTATATGTAGATATTAAAGGAAACTTAACTGTTAATTTTGCGACGTAATGCTCATTTCAAGTTGGGATTAGTGTAATGCTTTATTTGATAGGTACCCCCCCTTACTTTTATATTGTAATTACTGTTCGTAACGGTCTTGTCGTCGTAGAGAGGTACGCGTTGACGGGAGTTAACGATTTCTCAAATGTCGCCTTTCGAACTGTGGTATGTATAGTATAAAAGAAATGTGATTTGAATTGCTTGTAAAATATACAAGTTGGGATTAGCGTAATGCTTCATTTTATTGCTACCCTTTTGTATCTCAATTACTATTCGTAGTATGGTTTCGTCATCGGTAGGTACGTGGAGTTTTACAGTTTCTCAAGTGTCGCCCTTCGAGCCGTAGGGTGTACAGTGTTAACCACTTCTGTACGGCGCTCACCGGCCGGCGGGTTCATATCACGGCCGTCGACTAAAGTCGACGCTCGGCTGTGCGCCTTCACATGGCCGTCGACTAAAGTCGACGCTCGGCTGTGCGCCTTCACATCATGGCCGTCGACTAAAGTCGACGCTCGGCTGCGCGCCTTCATATCACGGCCGTCGACTAAAGTCGACGCTCGGCTGGGTACGTTCATCTGTGGCTGTCGACTATAGTCGACGCTCGTACCGAAGTGGTTAAACGAATGTGAATTCGAATCGCTTGTTAAGTATTTCACTCGATGTATGTAACGGAAAGGGTCCGAGCTTGCGGGGCGCAATATATTAATCCGAGCGAAATAAACGGGAGAAGCTCGCAGTGCCTCGATTCCTCGCTATAAGTCGAGTCGACCGGACACTCCCACCCTTCCCTGCGTCCCCTCCAGCTCTATATACACTATGGTCCGATGCCTCGAACCGAGGGAATAGAGTTATTGCGAATATTGTGCTTCTATGGCTGTGGTAGAGGCGATGGACGCGGTCTCGAAGAGGCGTAAACTGGTAAGTTACGTCGACTCGGGCGACAGGTGATCTATGGGGCAACTATTGACTCTTTTATAGATCGCCGGTCATATTTTATTGTTTACACCTTGGCGATCGCACCGTTAACTTTCGATCTGACGAATTACGTGTTAAATTGAATACGTCCTCTAGGAAACCTCGTGAGCAGTCTCGCGGAAATCGGTGGAAATGATCTCCTTCGAGTTTGCCAGGAAACTCGGTAGAGCCTCGCGCCAAATACGTTTAAAAAATGTACAGGTGACATTCGGCATGTCGTAAGTCGCACGAAAGTTCGAAGGAGTTCGGTCACTCGGTGATAACGTTGCTCCCATGTTTATACGCGATTTGAATAACCGATGTAACGGTCGGGACCGGGACTTCTTGCGCATGCGCGGAGTACGAATACGGCCACTTTTTCGTTCTAGGACGTGTTCGAGACTCTTTTCTTTCCACTCCCCCTTTTTATGTTCTCAGGCCCAGAAAAGCCAACTTTAGGTATCGAGGATAATCACGATAAGACGTGTAAACCATGATTGCTATAGATACTATATGTCGGGTGACCCGGTGCTTTGTTTATCTACTGTCGAGTCCTAAGGCTGAATGCACCAACCGTGATTACTGTGAAAATTCTTAACCATGATTATCTTGTATCAGTGCATTTGGCGTCGCACCGATGAAAATTGAGCTGACCAAGGATTAAAATCCATTGTTTGGGTCCCTATTCTCGAATCCATACGGATTCTTTTGTTTGCACATGAATAGACTCCCATGAAAAATCTGGCATTGTTGCAAAATAGCATCATTGAAGAACACCTGAACGACGAATGCGAAACTGTCGATATCGCATTCCTTAAAAATTTTTACGTGTTTACATATGTGCTAAAAGACGTTTATAACCTAGCGGATACATATCTCGTATATTTGCGGCATCCTCTGTATTGGAATCGTAATTTACTGGTTTTCGACGATTTTTTACGGTAAACTGGTTGCGTAATATATGTGAGAATCCTCGAAAAAGGTGAAATTACTAATTGCTCGACGGGATTTGCAGATAGCGGCGCGCGCAGCCGCCGCCGCCCCCGCCGCCAGAGCTGCCGCCTCCCGCGGCGCCTGCGCAGTAGGGTCCACCGGCGCGCCGACGATCGGCGGGGGCGGATTCGCCGGTCGCGACAGGGGTAGAGGGAGGGCTCTTAACGGCCGCGGTGGCGCCGTGGCGGCGGCAGGACCAACTCGAAATCAGCTCGACGCGGGAAGACGCGTTCACCCGGAGGCTCCGACGCTTCCTCCGGATCCCAGGAAGCGCTTCATCAAGCCGCCGACCCCGGTCGCGCGCCTCGCGACACACGGCCTCGCGCAGGGCACGACGCGCGCAATTAAGCGCCCCCACGACGAGAAGGCAGTCGACCACCAGCACCCGTCGCGTGCGGGGCCAGTTCCACTAGTCGCCCAGAAGACCTACAGGGTGAGCCGACCCACGTGATTAATTTTATTAATTTACGCACACTGAAAAAAAAAAAAAAATTTGGTTGAATCAATAAAATCTTTATTGATTCAGCCATGAAGTATGGTCAATACATGGACAACCAAGTTTTCGCGCTCTGTGCTCCATCCTGCACTTCGTGCGACACCTGGGCACCGCCACCCTCGAGGATGATCGCCGATCGACGCGTTCAAGTCCGGCATTCATATAGATTTTCTCGATGCAGATGGTGACAGCAGAGAGCAGAATTCCATCCTGCGCGATGAAAAAGCCCCTGCTGAGGCAAAAGATCCTGGAGAAGGTGAAGCTCTCAGAGAGTCGTAAGTCCACTATCTTGGCCGGGCATACCATGTTCACCAACCCCGAGAGCCCCGACACGCCGCCGAGCAAGGCCCCGAAACCGAACGTGACCTCCACGCCGGTGGTGCAGATCGGCAAGTCCACTGTCACGGTGTCAGGTGAGACATAACTTTGAAACCAGTCAGCACGAATTTCTGACCCTAACCTCTAAGAAGGTAACCACTTGGACTGAAACGTTTCAGAGAAGGAGGAATCCTTGAACGACACTTTTAGCTTGGGTAACCAGCCGCAGAAGCAGGGCTCGCTCATTGAGAACAAAAACTCCCAGACGGTGACGTTGTTCGAGCCGGCCGTCCAGGAAGACGAGAAGGTCGACTCCAGCATGAAGGTTTTCGGAGAGACTCGGTTGTTGTTGCCTATAGGAAAGTCCGGAACAGGGTTGAGCGGAGGCAACACAACGACCAAGACGAGGGTGTCCGAGAACGTGACCTTCGACTTGGCGAAAAGTCCCCCGTCGTCCTCAGTGGCGAAACCCTACCCAGGTGGAATCCCCTCCCCCAAGGGAACGGCACTCGAGAGAACGCAGAATTGTTCGGCCAAGCAACAGCAACAACCCCAGCGACCCGGGGAAGCTGCACCGTTGTCGGCGACGTTCCTGAAATCCCAGAACGTCGCGTTGAACCGCTCATTCATCGGCCCTATGGCGGATTACTTCGCTGGCAAGGGTTGCAAGGTCTCCCCGATCAAGTCTATGACCGGACCAACGGGTGCTTTACATGTCCAGCGCGATACGTTTGTACGAGAGAAAACCTGCTGTGCGTCTTCGGCGACCCAACGGCGCAACCGCGATCCCGTCGAGAAGAAGGCCATCGCCGTGGTGGACGCGACTTTTGATTTGCTCTCGAACCCCCTTCGGAGCGACTCATCTGTAAAAGACGAAACCTACTGTGCGTCCTCGGCGACCCAACGGCGCGACCGCGCCTCCGTCGAGAAGAAGGCGTTCTCCGTGGTGGACGCGACCTTCGACGTTAACTCGAGCCCCCTGCGCAGCGATTCGTCCAGGGTCTCCTTCAGCATACTCACCGAGGAGGAAATGCAGTGCACGTTCCTGGAGGTCGGCGACTCGGTGTCCAGTTCATTTCTGAAAAATCTGAGCGTACCCGGCGACACTCCCTCTGCTGGCCACCTCAATTCCGTGAATTCCGCCGTCACCGCGAGGCCCCTGCGAGCTGTCTACACCTGGACCAGGAGCGTCCCTCAGGACGCCTCGCAGTTGGACCAGGGACGATTCGCCGTGCCCTTCCAGCATGGCGTCGCCCTGAACAACCCTAGGATGGACCAAACCACCGATTCCACCGTTCCGCAGCAGGCTGAGTCGTTGCGACTTGCACGGAGACCGTCTACGCCCACCTCATCCTCCGGTACAGACGCAGACCCCGGGGACCCGGACTCCTCCACCTGCTCGTTCCTAGACGCGTTCTACGACTCCAAGTGCACCAACATCACCGCCATCGGCCCCAGCTGCCTGGTGGACATCAGCTCCGATCCCTACGACCTGGAGTCGTCCGACGTAGCCGAATCCCCCCTGGAAAAGAAGGAGGACCTAGAGTGCGCCGCGCCGTCCACAAAGGACGCCACCATCACGCCGAATTATTTAATGATTAACAAGCAGAACTACTTCGAGCACGACGAGAGCTTGGGGATATTGACGCCGGACCAGATGATCGATTTCTCGATTGCCATGGAGTCCCTTAGGACGTCATCTTGCGAAAATCTCCCCGGTATCGGGAACACCCATGCGAGGACCATCCGGGCAGTGAGATCGGAGACACCTGCTGTTACGAGAACACCTTCCCAGGTCGCCGTCTCTAAGAGGTCGCTGAGGTCGCCGATGCCGCCTAGGTCGCCGATGCCGCCTAGGTCGTCGATACCGCCTAGGTCGTCGATACCGCCTAGGACGCCGATATCGCCTAGGTCGCCGATATCGCCTAGGTCGCCGATACCGCCTAGGTCGCCGATATCGCGTAGGTCGCCGATACCGCCTAGGTCGCCGATATCGGCGAACCAGGTTAGCAACAGTCAAAATTTATATTCCCTGTAAGTATATTACTGTATTTTTGAAATTATGCGGTCCAATTTACAGACAAGACAGGGGAGGCGGACAGAAGCGTTTCCGCGAACTTCGCCACTTCCGTCACCGGTATTACGAACCTAGAGGCGGGGTACCAGGGCGACGGCGAGAACTCCAGGCCCGCGAGGTCTACCCGCGGAACTCGTCGAACCGGCCCCAGTATCCGCGGATGTCCCCGCGATCTGCAGGTAAGAATGAACCGATGCCACCAGGGTATTGTATATTTCTTAAGAATAGCTAAAAAAGTGCTACTTTTAGCCCGAGAGCGACGCCGACGCCCAGAAGGAGATCGGCAAGGCCCAGGTGATCGACGGCACCCTCTTCTGCGCACCCGGGGGTCGCAGGTGTCCCAGCTTCATCGGCGAGATGATAGACTCCAGCGGGATTTACTCGGACCTGGACGAGCGGCAGGACGAGCGAGTCCAGGAAGACGGACTCCTGGTGCAGGAAAAATCTCGCAAGAAAGGAGATACCAAAGATTCCGTCTCGCGGAAGAGCCCACCCTCGCCATCCATAATTTCCTGTATAGAATACGATGTGTCAACTTAGGCATTGGCTAGTCACATAGAAGATAGCGAAAACAAACAATCTTTATTTGTCCTTTAAGACGTTAAGTTAAATAAACGTGCCATTACTTTGAAAATAACCCTTTTGCCCTTTAACGACGCTGATGTCATTTTTTATCAGTCCATGTATTCGGATACTTCTCGTTCGATAGAAATAAATGCGTTAAATAAAGGAACCTCACAATTTCGGCAGCATCTATTTTTAACACAAGGCAGATTTCCATTGATTGTCAGATTTCACCAACCGCGATTACTGGGAATTTTTTTTTAACCAAGATTGGTTAATCTTAAATCAGTCCAATTCATGTTGCACCGATAAAAATTAAGCTAACCGAGGATTAAAATCGATTGATGGGCAGGCGATTAACTTTAATCACGCGTTAAATAATCCTTGGTTAAGGGGATGTGAAAGTAGCATCCGAAGGGTCACTCGTTCATGAAACTTTTATCGAAACTGAGTGTATCGAATCGTTTCAAACGTCACAACGTGAATATATAGGCTATAAGAAAGGTCCTGACACTCGTGAAATTTCATTTATTCTAAAAAAAAAATTTTTAAAATACCTATATACAAATTTAAAAAAAATTGAAATTACATGGGTGTCAGAACCTTCGTTAAAGCTTCCACATTCACGTTGTGAAGTTTGAAACGATTTGGTGCACCCAGTTTGGAGAAAAGTTTCATAAACGAGACGTCTTTGGCGCCATTTTTACATCACCTTAAGGATGCTACCTCGAATGTTGGGGCAATCGGCCCTTAAATTAAGGCGAGTAGGTTAGAGTGAGAATCGAAGTTAGCTCGTTGGGACACGGGACCCGAGGCGGCTCGAAACGTCCGATAGAAAAACTAAACGTCCGGGTGACCCGGTGTCTTGTTATCCTACTGTCGAGACCCAGCGCGTGGATATATTTGCGAGATCTAACCAATGAAGGTAGACACCGAGGCGCACCTTGTGTCGGTTAGGTCGACGGCGTCTGACGAAGGGTGCGTAATTCGCAGACAGCGGCGCGCGCCGGCGCCCTGTGCGCTTGCGCAGCCACCCCCGCGCAGCTGTCTCCCGCGCGCCGCCTTCTGCGCACCGCTGCCGCCTCTCGCGCGCCGCCGCCTCCGCGCACCACCGCCCCCCGCCGCCGCCTCTTCCGCGCCTGCGCATCGCGATCCGTGGCGCGTCGGGCGGCTCGCTATCGATCGCCGCAGGCGGGGGCGGACTCGGGGGCAGAGGGAGGGCCCTCGACAGCGGCGGTGGCGCCATGGCGGCAGCAGTACGAGCTCGAAGTCGGCTCGACGCGGGAGGACGCGTCCACCCGGAGTCCAGGAAGCGCCTCATCGGGCCGCCGACCCCGGGCGCGCGCCTCGCGACATGCGGCCTCGCGCACGGCGCGACGCGCGCCGTTAAGCGCGCAACCGACGAGAGGGCAATTGACCGCGACGACGAGAGGGCAGTCGACCGAGACGACGAGGGGGCAGTCGACCGCCGGCACCCGCCGTATTCGGGACCCACCCCGCTGGCCGACAAGGTGAGCCGAGCATCGCGATTGATTTACGTAAGACCGAGGTCCCACCGAGCGCGGCGCGTCGAGAGTGCGAAACCAATTGCGGCGGAAACGACGCTACCAGGTCGCACAGAACGCGACGCGCGAGGCTGGGTTCTATCTCGAATGGTTTCTTGGTATCGACGCGCCCTGTGCGACACCCGCGCTCGAGGACCCTCAGGGGTGGACGGCTCGCGACTCGACGCGGTCGTAGCGAGTGACGCGCCGAGTGGTCGCGGCAGTCGGTACGTAGCGTCGCTCTTTCTGTGCCCTGTGGAGAGACGAGGTTATGCCGAGTTTTCGCGGTGGACCTCTGGAAGGTCGATGTACTCACAGTTAAGGTGATATGAAAGGGCCATTCCAAGGTTGAATTATTTATAAAACTCTTCCCCACTTTTCGGTGCGCCGATTATTCTCGAAACTTTAACGCGTGATTCTGATATTAACGAAGGTCTTGACACTCGCGATGTTTCATTCTTCGTAAAAGGAAAGAGAAATGTATATATATCCCGGACAAGAATCAGAGGAAAAGCAATTTTTCTTTTTCCTCGCAAAAACGAAATTCTCGAGTTTCAAGACGTTCATTCAGACCTTCCTATAATCACGCATTGAAGCTTCAGATTATTCGGTACACCCGGTTTGGAGAACAGTTTTTTTTGTTTTATAATTGTTATCACCTATTGATATACGTATAGAATTTCGTATCATTTATCGTTAAGTATGCCATAGGTTTTTATATTTTGGCACTGTCTTTATGAATAGTTACGTTGGCTGGACCTTCGCAGGAATTTTAGGAAGGTCCCGCCGACCTTGGGTCACTCACACGAGGTTTGGGCACCTCGTTGGGCGACGATAATGGAATTTAATATCAGACGCCCGGAGGTCGGCGAGGAATAATGGAGGAAACGAGGATAAACGGTACCGCAGGGCATCGCGATTGGCCTAATTCGCGACACGCAACCGCGTACGTACGGAATGATACATGTGTTGCTCAGGAGGAGCAACCGCTCGTGTTAACCGGTCATTGGCACGTATACCATACGTACAGTGTATCGTCTCTAACCGGCGCCCATTTCCAGATCTCACGTCCACATTTCCTTTCAGATCCCCGAAAACGGCGCCCCAGACGCGGCTGGGACCAAATAATCGCGAATCCTCCTACGAAGAAATACGAGAATCGCTTTCTTCCGTACCTAGCCTGCGTACTTGTTGATCTGCGCCACGTCGCGATGGCTAGCATTCTGTGATGGAAATAACCATCCTCGATTCGCGGCCCGATCTCTCTCGACGTAACCTCGGCACCTCTCTCTCTCTCTTTCTATTTCGCGGCGTAGATGCTTATCGCTTTCCATTGAGGCTCGCCAATCTGGAGGTTATCTCGAGATTTCTTTCTCTAGGGGGTAAGAGCCCGCGTCCATTATGCCAGTACTCTATCTACGTTTTTATATTCTAACAACCAACGGCTGCATACTCGATTTCACCGCGTTGTGTTGTATCGTGACGGCGGTACGACGATAATAATAAGAAACGGCGGACGGTAACGTTACTACTCGAATTGTAGAGGGAAAATCAGGTGCGAAATACAGGGGCCTGAAGTTGTTCGCGACTTGCGGCCGCGTCACGGTTTCCGTAATGGCGGGTTTTCGCGCCGTTTAGGGCTCTTTTTCCTGTTTCGAGGTTTTGGAACGAAGAGTCACGACGAGGGCTAAAATCGACCCGCGAGCCGACGGGCGTTGCTTCGTCACGCGAGCTGCCGGCCTTTGTTCCGTGGTCACACTCGGTGACTTTTCCTGCATTACAGTTTCCAACATTTCGTGCCGCAAATAACCATCCGAGATTCGCGCGCTCTCCCGAAGCGTGCCTCGTCGCTGCACGAGGCACTTTCGATAGGATCTTCGTGCTTTTACCGCCTCTCTCTTGAATTTTTAATTCCGTTTCCTGGCGAGATTCGCGCGGTATGAAGTCGGCCGGCGTGGGGTGACTTGGGACGGCGTGGGGTGATATGGGACGGAGTGGGGTGACTTGGGACGGCGTGAGGCGATATGGGACGGTGTGGGGTGACTTGGGACGGCGTGGGATATGGGACGGTGTGGGGTGACTTGGGACGGCGTGGGGTGATATGGGACGGCGTGGGGTGATATGAGACTTGGACCCATTTGGGACCATTTGAGACCACGTGGGGTGACATAGAACGACGTGGAGTGTATCCAGGGATTCCATAAATTCCATACGTTTCTCCCGAGTGCGTCGCAAAATGTCTCGAATAACATGATCTTCTTTTTAATCATAAATATCGAATCTTGTTTTCTTAATATCGTGAATACTTCGACTCCGAGGGGCCTTGCATCCGCCAAAGAAAAAATCACTAGAAAAATGTTCAACTACTTTTTCTAATTAAAATCCGTTCTTCTCTTATTTACGTCGCTTCGCGTCTTCTGTTTTAATTCTTTTATCGCAATCTCACCCAATGAATTTTATTTGATTTCCATGAATGGTTCATCCAGTCAATTCGGTTTAGGATTAAATCTCGAGGGTGCCAACGTAGTTATTATCTAAATATTTCTTTAACCTCTTAGCTATCGAACGCCACTATATTGGGTTTAACGTATATCATCTTTTTGAACGGTACGCCGCTATAGTGGCTTTCATGGTTTTAAACGATGTGCCACTAAAGTGACTCACTCACGTCATCGTACGTAAACAGTAGTAGTACATTATTTACGCGCAATCCGCATCGAACCGAAACGTCCTGCCGTACCCTGAGAAAAAAGAAAAAAGTGTCATTGTATAAAAGAAATTCTTTGAATTGGCAAAATGTTTATTTGGTCGAAAATTCATCGATGAATGTTTTATTTTTTTTAGTGTAGCTAAGAGGTTAACATCTCGATTGTCGGAACGTCGTCGCCATAGAGAGCGTCCCGACGCGAGGTCGACTCGGATCGGCGGCGAGCGGGTGCGCGCGCAGCGCGTATCGATCGTCGCGCCGCGGCGGAACTCTCGGTGCGCCAGTCGCACATGTGCGAATCTCCGGACCCGGCGTACCGGGAAACGCTCCCGAGAGAGGAGACGCGTCACGTGTCACCGGTCACGGGAGCGGAACGGGCCCCGCGAGGAAGCGCGCTTCCGCTTGACGCTGTCAGCGCCGTCAGTGCAGTTTGCGCCGTTGCGACTGACGGCACCGACAGTGCCGTTAACGCTGCAACTGTCGGGGCACCTATAACGCCGTAACAGTGTCTCAAGCGTAAATTAACGTTCTCGCGAGTGACGGCACCACCACCCACAGCGCCGCTCTAGAGGGACGCGTCTAGACTAGTCCAAGAGGGTGGAGAGTCGAGCCCAACGCTTTTCGCATCTGCCGATTTCTCGATGACATTCGCAGCTGGGGCATAAAACTCCCTAAATATCGACACATGCACGGGAATTCAAGCCCTCCGCACCTTTTGTTGAGTAAGAATCGTCCATTTCATTGATTAACGAGGGTATGATACCGCGAGGTGGGCACCGTGGGGGGACGCCATGTTGCAGGTGGCGCCGCCATCTTGGATTTCTGGTGCCGTTTCGAAAATCGTCTTTTAAGACGGATCAAGAGGGCCTAGAGGGGAGTTTCTGTGGACCTATCGATCTCTCCAGAGACGAGGGAGACCGGGATGTCGAGATAAATCTCTCCCGATCGAGATTTCGATGCGGGGCGGGGATGATTGCCCATTTTACTGGCTTTTCGGACGCCGACTTTCTCCCCCTGCTGAGGCGAGGTGGACTCGGCGCCGTTTTCGCCCGTCTTGAATTTATCATGGATGCGACCGCTCAATTCGCTTTCTCGGCGTCTGGACGCGTGTGCGAGCGCGCTCGCGAGATGAAAAGGCCTTCGGATGTTTGAGCACCGTCTTGCACACAGGGTCGAGTGGTCGTAAAGAGAGACCCATTCCCGCGAGGCCGCGGATGCGGAAAATTCCGGGGTTAAGAGAAATCACTCGCTCCCAGGAATCTCTAAGAAGGAGAATAGGTCTCGGCCTTTGCGTAAAACTCCCCGAGGGGAGATCGCGACGTCTTATTGATTATTAATCGTAATTTAACCGTCACGAATAATTATCTCCCGCGGCCATGTTTAGTTCGCTCGGCGGACGGGCGTCGAAATAATCGCTCTTGTTAGTCCGGTCACGGCGAGCACTGTTTGAAATACCGCGATTACAATTCAGCTGATTATTCCCGAGGTATAACGATCGCCTTCGTTCGGCTTATCATTCGTCGTTTGTAAGTCAGACCCTAATGATAGTCACTCGATGGCCATTGTTCGATCTTTGCTAATCTCCTTTTGTGCTCTCTTTTAGGGGGTTTGCGAGACTTTTTTTTCTCTTTTTATTACTCGAGGCCTGCCAAACGTGCACTCTGCTATCCCAGAGCAAGCCTGTCCTGAAAGTGCAGTAATATGCAGATGATGGAGAATAACCAGCTCGAGTAAAGCCTAGAAGAGCGTTATGTGTGCGCGTTTCCCGTTACAGAAGGCAACGAGAGAGAGCGGATACCGCGAGCGATCCAAGTCGCACGAAAGTGCATTTTAACGGCGATGAGGTCGCTCCTTGATCGAGAAACCGCGAGTTTCCTGCCCAGAGAAAACCAGCTGCACCTCGGAGACACTTTGTCGGAGGCGAACTGGAAAAGTGTCACACCTATGGGCAGAAATCTTGACGAGCTCCTTCATCGAGATGTGGATTAGAGTGCCACGGGGAAAATAGAAAATCGACCGAAGAATATCCTTACCGTTATGCTGCGATTGCTTACATAAATCTACGCCTTGGTGCTACCAGAAATGAAACATGATTATACCTGCGATCACTTGGATGACAAATCACGACACTGTGGATTCGATCAAATTTCTTCACGGAGACCTCGTCTATGTACAAGCATAAATACACACGGAAAAAGAGACATTTGCACTTTCCGCAATGAAGTTTGCTCTTACTGCGGGCATAATCTCACCGACGACATGCATTTCTGCAATCGTATTTAATCATAGATGCAACCATCGAAGAGCTCTCTTTAGAAGAAATGCTGGCAAAATTTACAGATGAATTTGTTGCAACGGCTAAATAAATATTGTCGTACGAATGAGGGATATACAATCTGCTGTCGCTAGAAAAGAATTTCCGTTGCCCCAGTGAAGTAATTGATTTATCATTTTGTTGTCAATGGGACATAAATATTGGCTCATTTTCAAGGAGCTCACATTTCTTGCGAGTACAACTCGTTACGACTTGGAATTCTTTTTCTGCGTGCGGCGTTGCGAAGAGAAATAATCTAGGCTTGTGTTCGATTTCTTTTTTTTTTTTTCGACAATTCTAGAAAGGAACTCCTCAATTTGTGTATATGGTGGCGGTCGCGCTTTCTCGAGATATCTGTGGATATGTAATGTAGTATCTAGAAATGTAGCGATAAGAAAAAGGATCTTGAGGGGATCAGGAAAGGGTGGACGAAATTCTCATTATCGCGTTCCTCGTTACAGATGGCGACGGGAGAGAGCAGAATCCCGTCCTGCGCGACGAAGAAGTCCCTCTTGCCGAAGCGGAGGATCTTGGGCACGGCCACGGAGACAAGGAGGCCCGTCGTCCTGCCCGGGTTCCCCAGGTTCGCCATCCCCGAGGGACCCAGCACGTCGCCGAAGAAGTCCGCGAACCTGCTCGCGACCTCCTCGCCGATGGAGACTGACCTCGACGATATCACGGTGTTAGGTGAGGACTTTGTCCTGATACTAACAGGAACAAATTTTTCTGCCCTTGACCTGGAAGAGCTTGACGAATTGGACCACAATGTTTCAGAGAAGGAGATTAATTCCACGTTCGCACGGCCCTCGATATGGAACAAGGGAGAGGCCGTGGGGGACGCGATTTCTATCGACGGCGCAAGGATCGATGTTCGAGGATGGTATGTATACGTACGATAATGGCCGACTAGGTGCACATACCTCGGTGTATACGAGACTGTATGTGGACGGTATGGTCCTGGTACATAGACGAGGGAATCGAGGCGAATTGGCGCGACGGAATAATGGCGTAGACTTGGTGAAACTGCCGCCAACGAGAGCTGGGAACCGATTCTCGAGTTCCCGCGGATCTCTTTCGCATACAAATAGGTTCACGTGAAAAAACTTCGCATTGCTGCGAAGCCACGTAATTCGTCAAAACTTGAAAGTCGTGTGCGAGACCGTCATTTTTGCACGCTAAAAGTTGATTGGGTGCAGCGACCCGATTCTTCACTTCATACGAATTTTTTCGCATACGAGTAGAATAGCATAAAAAAATGTTTTCATTGTCGCGAGGACACGTAATTCGTCAACATTTGAGTCGTGTACGAATTTTTTTTTGCACGTGAACAGATTCGATAACTCTTGGTTATTTTATTATATTGTTATTTTATTATATATTCGTCCGTTTAGCGTCTTCTCGGAGCTACTGGCTGAGCGGAAGGAACCGACGTCCAGGATAAGCTCCACTGGCGGAATGGTCAACAGCACCTTCCTCGCGGAAGGTGAACTCCGTTCGACGAGCGCGGCCTTCGACACGAAGGAGAAGGAGGACGCCCTGAACGGGACCTACGTTCTGGGTAGCCAGTCGTTGAAGCAAGGGTCGCTCGGGGAGAAGAAAATCTCGCAAACTATGACGCTGTCTAAGTCGACCGACCACGAAGACGAGAAGATCGACTCCGGGTCTCGGCGAATCGGCGCGAAGGCCTTCGACGAGACTCGGATTCTGACGTCCCCAGGAAGGTCCGGAGCAGGGTTCAGCGGAGGCAACGCAACGACCAAGACGAGAGTGCCGGAGAACGTGATCTTCGAGCTGACGCGGAACCCCTTGTCGCACTCGGTGGCGAAGCGCCACCCTGTTGGAATCCCCGCGCCCCAGGGGTCGGCCCTCGAGAGAATGCAGAATCGTTTGACCAAGCAACAGCAACAGCCCCAGCGACCTGGCGAAGTCGTACCGTCGCCAGCGCCGTTCCTAAAACCCGAGGATCCCGCGTCCAACCGCTCGTCCACCGGCTCTCTGGGGGACTGCTTCGTTGGCAAGGGTTGCGGGGTCTCCCCGACGAAGCCTCCTACCGGACCAACGGCGTTATTTACCCTGAACGATACATTTATAAAAGAGAGAGCCTACTCGGCGGTCTCGGCGACTCAGCGACACGGTCGCGCCCCCGGTAGGGAGTTCTCTCGCGACCGCGTCTCCGTCGAGAACAAGGCCTTCGACCTAGCGAACGCGACTTTCGACGTGGACTCGAACCGCCTGCGCCGTGACTCTTCCAGGGCCTACAGCAGCATACTCAGCGAGGAGGAGATGAAGTTCTCGTTTTTGGAAGGCCGCGGCGCGGTGTCCAGCTCGTTTCTAAAAGATCTGAGCGCAGCGGGCGAGGCCTCCACTGTCGGCCACCCGAATTCCGCCATGGCGGCGGCCATGGCGGAACGTCGCGCCGCGGTAGAGGGCTCTGCGGACTTCCTGGGGCGGCCAGCGGGCCCGGACGTCGTCGAGCTGTCCCTAGAAAAGATCTTCAAGTCGAGGGTCAACGAGATGACGCGCAGCTCCGCGCAGTCGGCTGGTATCAATGCGGAGCCCCTGCGAGCTGCCTTCACCTGGGCCAGGGGCGCTCTCCAGGGCGTCTCGCAACTGGACATGGACCAGCGACGACTCAACGCGCCTTTCCGGCACGGCGTCACCCTGGGCGACCCTAGGATGGATCAATCCACCAGTCCCACTGCCCTGCGGCAGGCTGAGTCGCTGCGCCTTGCAGGGGAGCCGCTGACGCCCACCGCGCCCCCCGGCGAGGGCGCCGACCTCAGGGACCGGGAGTCCGTGTGCCCCTCGTCCCTGGACTTGTTCTATGACTCCAAGTGCACCGACATCGCCGCCATCGGCCTGGCGGACATCAGCTCCGGTCCCTACAGCCTCTTGGAGCTGACCGGCGCTGCCGAATCCCCTCTGGAAAAGGAGGAGGACGACGACGAGGAGGACCTGGAGTGCGCCGCGCCGCCAACAAAGGGTGCCACCATCGCGCCGCATTATCTCATGCTTAACAAGCAGAACTCCTTCGAGCATGACGAGAGCTTGGGGATACTGACGCCGGATCAGATGACCGATTTCACGATGGCCATGGAGTCCTCTAGGACGCCATCTTGTGAAAATCTCCCCGGCATCGGGACCACCCCTGCGAGGACCACCCTGGCGGGCAGGTCGGAGATGTCTGCCAGGAGACCTTCCGAGGTCGCCGTCTCTGTTACCTACGAGGAAGGCAACAACGAAGCCTCCTCGTTCGTTGAAGAGACGGCGACCTCGAAGGTCGAGAGGACCTCTTCTCCGGAGGAATTACCTCTGGATCCGAGACCCGTGGTCGAGGTCGCAGAGGTCGGCGAACCAGGTTAGCCATTGTCAAGAAATTCTATATTCCCTGCAACGGCATTACTGCATTATTATGTTGTTGTATTACTGCATATAAAAAATTCCGCTTAACGTAATCCTGCTAAGGTAACCGGAATTCTGGTTCTTTTAGCTGGACTTTTTTTTTTTTGTTTCAATGCGTACTACTGCATCGCTGTATCGCTGCATTACTGCATTGCTGCAGGAATTCTGCTTGCTCCCATTCAGCGCGTCTTCTTTTGTACCGCTGCTTTTCCCCTTTCAATGGAGTCGTAGGTCTCACGAGGAAATTGTGCGATCCAATTTACAGGCGAGGCAGGAGAGGCGGGCAGAAGCGTTCCCGCGAGCTTCGTCACTTCCGTCACCAGCATTACGAGCCTAGAGGCGGGGTACCAGGGCGACGGCGAGAATTCCAGGCCCGCGAGTCGTGGGGCAGATCCGCCCCCGGAACTCGTCGAGCCGGCCCCGGAACCCGCGGCTGACGTCCCCGCGGCCTGCCGGTAACGACGAACCCATGCCACCAGGGCATCGTATATCTTTTTTAATACTGCCAGAAAAAGTGTTACCATTAATCCGAATAATAGTAAAAGTGTCACACGTGGGGGAGTATCAGGATGAATATTTTTAACGAGTACTCGTGTTCCAGGCAAGACCCGATGACGGACTCGGACTTCTTCACGGAGAGCGACGCCGACGCCCACGAGGAGATCGGCAAGGGCGACCGGCGCGCCCAGGTGATCGACGGCACCCTCTTCTGCGCACCCGGGGGCCGCAGGTGCCCTAGCTTCACCGGCGAGGAGATGGACTCCAGCGGGATCTACTCGGATCTGGACAAGCGGCAGGACGAACGGGTCCAGGAAGATGCGTCCTTGGCCCTGGTGGCACCTCCTCGCAGCAAAGGGGGTACCCCGGACACCGCCGATTCCATCTCGCAGAAGAGCCAACTCTCGCCATCCGGGAAGCCAGAGCTAGTCAGGGTCATCACGGAGTGCCTCCAGGTCGACTATTATAATTCCGTGCACTGACAAAAAAATCGTTGACGTTCTTTAGAGTGGATATTTTTATTTATTTATTTGTTTGGAGGGTATCACTGATGCACTTGAATACTGGAAAGTTTTATCTTAGGCTTTCATTTAATTCTTCGTCCATTTTTTATTTAATTCTCCTGTTTAACAGGTACCGCCAAGCACTCTCGACATCTCGGTCGACTCCAACAGCTCGGTGAAGACGTTGGAACTGACCGTCGTCGAGTCGCAGCACGACAAGTCCCCGCCGAAGGAATCGGTAAAGTCGGAGAGCGTCCCCCTGAAGAAGTACAAGATGCCGAAGAAGAACGTCGTGTCGAAGATTAAGGCAATGATCGAGTCCGGCCCGAAGGAGGAGGCCGAAAAGGACATCGCGTGGCGGACCCAGAGGATCCCCAGGAAGACCGGAAGGTGGGACGAGGTCATGAGCAAAATCGAGGCTGGGAAGACCGAGCAAAGGTCCAGACCTCCGCGGAAGGAGATCAAGTCGAGGATCCTTCAGAATCTGGGACCGGCGTCCTCTTCAACGTCCTCTTCGTCGTCCGCCACCTCGAGGAGAACCGCTAACGACAACAGCAGCAAGAGCAAACGGTGAGGATCCTTCCTCCCCGGACGCACCCCAACCTGGAGTCTTGTATTTCTTGGACTGCCGAAGGCGATAATTAATTAACGAGTTAACATTTTATTCTAGTTGTAATCGATAGAATCGCCGGAAGGCCTTGAGGTAATCCGAGAATGGCGTGAGGGGTTTTGTTTATAAACATCTCAGGGCCTAGAATATAAAGACCCTGAAGGTCTCCACGCCCATGAAGTTTAATTTACAGGAACTTATAAAATATTTACGAACAAGTAAAGAGAATCTTCTGGGTGTCAGGACCTTCCTTAGAGTCTTCGTGTTCACGTGGAAAAATTTATAACAATTAGGTACACCTGGTTTGCGGGAAAGTTTCATAAATAATTAATCCTTCGGGTGTCACTTTCGTATTAATTAAAAAAAAAAAAAGTAGTATCGGTGATGCAGACTTGTTTGGGACGCGTTATCGTTACCGAATGTTATCGGCAATCTCACGTGGGAATTATATGATACTATCGAAACAGTTATCTCCACGTGTCGCGTGAAAACAGGTGTTTCTTCCATGGTGGGTTCTTCAATATTTCAGTCGAATTTAGTCGAATTATTGAGATTATTCAGGCTATTGTTGGGCCGTACTCCGTAGCTGTGTGTACTTATTCATCGTCCCTTATTTTTTTATTCATTCTCTGTTCAATGTGACAACCAGAAGAACGAGAGGTAGACCCGAGGGGACATCTTCGGCTCGCGAAACCGCCCACAGTTCCGTGCACAGCTCGATGAGCGACTTGAGCGGCGCCACCGGAAAGGACATTACAAGTAAGTACTTACATCAGCATGGGACATTAATCACAAACGGCACATAACATGTCCGAGTATCCCCAAGTACATCTAACATAAGATCTACCGAGCGAAAACTATTCCTTGCAACAGTGGACTCCTTGCATGCATAAAGAGACGAAAATGTCGGTACACCGTGAAGTCGATACCAGGCAAGAAGAACTGGTGCAATCCCTGCACCTGCAGGTGCAACGTGTCTAACAGGGCCTAATTATAATTGTCAGCACGAGAGGCGGTGAAGTAACTCGTTCCTTTACCGAATAATCATAATTGCGACGTTGTATCTGGATTCCAATATGGCGGCGGAAATTTGGATATGAATTCCCCGATGGGCGGTAATATATTCGGTGTTACGGCTGATTTAAGCCCCGTGGGAATGAGGAGTCGATGTCGCACCTTCTGGTGCTCTAATGAGCTCTAATTATTGCCGTTCACACGTGACGAGGACGCCGTGCCAGAACTTTCGACGGTTCGACCACACAGCTGTTACGCAGTTACTCCGCCTCGGGTTTGCGTGTCCCGTTTTACCTATCTTGGCCATGAAAATCGCACTTGTACTTGGACGGTATCCCCGCTCGATTTATACGCGGCTCTCTAAATGAATAGGAAATTCGCCGGGGGCTCACCAACATCTAATTCCGTACCCGTGTTATCCCTCCGCAAACAGGGTACATGAATAATTACTGACTCACGCGGATGCGCGCGTCCGTTAAGTGCGATCAGGGGATTTACGGGAAGAAGGATTTTACTCGGTAAACAAGGGTGGGGAAAAATATCCCAGCGAAAACGGGCTTGATCGGAATTTATTAAGGAAGCGGTTCTTCTTCCATCTTTCGGGAAATCCAAGATGGCGGCGAGACCCAAGTCGCGCGTCTCGATTTGTTCTAGTCATCAAACGGTCGAGATATTCGCTCGTCAAGGTTTCTAGCACGGTTCGTTGCGCTTATTTGATAGATAAAAGTCACGGCGAGAATTTCTTTTATTACGGCAAGCGGAATTACAAGCGAGCCATTCGTTGGAAACGTAATTTTTTATTGGTTTTCTACTTCCTACGGTAAACTACTTGGTTAACCTGATACACGGGAAAAATCCTGAAAAAACGCGAAATTACTTAATTCTCCTCGTTGACGCGGCGCTACTTTTCCGCCATGTTTTCTGGTGACCCATCTATTTGCATCCGCACGCACTCCTTGCTATAATGGTCTGCGTCCGATTCATTGCTGGCAGCCGTTCCGAATAGACATTCAGACACGCGATGCGTGCGAATCTAGTCACGCACACGTGCGTCGGGCGCCTATATTTTGAGGGAACCGGCGACCTCGTTACAGAGACGCCTCGACGGCGAAACGTGTGTACAAAGGCCGGATTCGCTACTCGGAAACGAAGCCGCCTGGAGTCTAACCTCTAAATATAGCCAGGCTCTCGATAGTTTTCCAAACGCAGCCGCCGCAATGCTCTCGTTTCCGTTTAACGGCGTTCCGGCGTCGCCGTCCCGGTGAGCGCGTCGAGAGTCGCACAGAGCGCGTCGAGCGTTGCGCGAAGCGCGACGCTTCAGCGCGTCGAGGTTGAAGAATCAACAAAAATGGCGGCGAGTGATGTCCGCGATGATTAGGTCAAGCGAAATTTCAATCGGTCCGTTGTCTAAATTTTGAGGTTAGGGGAGGTTAGAGCGGTGAGACATCGGTTTTTCCGGAAGAGCGAACGCGATGCCGGGAAATTGGGCTCGAATCGAGAAGGATCGATCCACGAGACGGGAGTGGCTTTTAAAATTCCTAACCTAAGAAATAGGCTGTTCTCCCGGCCGAAGATGAAAGATGTTGTTTTTGGCTGCATTCCCTTTAAGCCATAGTTCTCTTACGTGGAACATCTAGTTCCAAAGAAAAACAACCTGCTTGCCCGACGGATTTCTTTTTTCACGGGTTTCACTTTCCCTCCGCCATGTCGGAATGTACGGCCCCCCTAGGACAAGGGTTGTAAATCGAAGGGAATTGGCCCAGAAGGGGGTGGTGCCCCGTGGCGGCCGCAGTGCGACGCGTCGCCGACAGGATGACTCATCGGGAATAAAACTGAAGTCACGTATCGACCGGGCGGCAACACCCCCGAAGCGGCGCCACTTCCTTCCTCGTAACCTCGGAAACCTCCAGCCGCCTCCAGCGAGGCTGCGCTCGGCCGCCATCTTGTATCGAGGCTGCGGCCGCCATCTTGGATCGAGGCTGCAGCGCCGCGGTGGCGCCGCCTCGAGAGTCACTCTGAAAAGAGACGCCCTTCGCGCTCTCTTTCTCTTTTCTCATTGATCTACAAAAGGTCCCTCATACCAATACCCTCCACATGTCCCGCGTTAATCGGTAACAATCGAGTCCTGTATATCGAAAAGTGGCGAGGTTAAAATCGAGCTTGTCGGTCGATAAGGCAGGGCGGGTTTCGGTGCGACTCGGGCCGTGCACGTGTCGGTCGAGCGGTACTTTCCCCCCCGTGGTTCTTTCTCTCTGTCCCTTCTCGTGGTATCTCCGTCTCTCTCGCTCTCAGGCCGGTCGGATAGTTCCCTCTCTGTCCCCCTCGGCGCTGCGGGTCATCCGGTGCGCCGCCGTGCCGGCTGGCCGACCGGTCGACTCGCTGCCGCTTCCGCCGCTCCACTCGTGGAGCCAACGCGGCGCGGCGCGGTGCTCCGGCTCTGGAACGCGTGCGAAATGTCTCTCTCATTCAGCCGAGCGCTCGTTCGGTGAAGCGCGACCCGAGGGCCGGCCAGTCGATCGCGAGCTGCCGGCGACGGCGCAGGTGCACCAGTGCGGCGTGGCACCCGGGGTGATATATACACGTATGTGTGTATGTATGGTGCCGGCGTTTCGGTCGAAGGTAGGTCAGGTGGTGAGGTGCCGGCAACGGACGGCTTTCGGTGAATTCCTCGGCATCTCGCCGGGGAAGCCAGGTCAGACGAGGGGCTCCTAAAGATGGCTACAAACGACGAATCGCCGTGATTAGTCCGGGCAGTTTTATCCAGGTCTCTAAACAGCTGCGTCGGTAACGGAAAATCTGTACAGTTACCTCGGGAAGACACGTTAAGGCGACGATATGGCGTTGCAGGTTAACCTAAAAGGCGCCTTAGGGTGGAGCACAGCGATATATCCCTGCCATATATCTGCGCAGTCTAACCTAGAAAGCGCCTGAAGGTGGAGTACGGCAATTGATCGTTGCGATAAATCCGGGAAATTTTTTTTTTACGTGTCAGGTTTAATCGATGTGGGCCGTGGACGGTATAAATCGGATTACGGATTCGGTTAGGAATCGCTACGATTTATCGTCACGTCGGGGGTCCTGTACTTTGGTCAGGTACAGGAACAACGTTGGGTGGTTTTCTCGCGATCTTGGGACGTTCAGGTTCGCGGAAGGTGTAGGTCGCGTGGGGAGGTAATTGCGCAGGTGCGCTCGTGGTATCTGAAATATCGACGGAATATCCCTCGCGTATTTCCGGCAAGAGGTCGAAATAAGGGATTCGTCCTTAGAATAAGACTTAACAGCCCTAACGAGAGATTTAACTTGCTGCAATAAACGTAAATGCTTGAAAATGCGCCATCTAAAATTTTTTCCAGAAACAGATTAGTCATACCGACAAAAAACAGAATACTTCACCGGATCAACAGATTCTATTCGTGGCCGCGATATTCTTTTCTGGCAGTAACAAATTGTATGTACCTCGTTCGTTTGGGTACTGACAACAATTTGACGGTTACAAAAAATTCATTTGTTAATTTAGCAAGTATTTATTCTAAAGAGCTCTCTAATGGTTACATCTACGATTCGATATGATTGCAAATATTTTTGTTGGTGCGATTATTCCTGCGGTAGGAGGAAAACATTAACAATGCTGTCCTTTGCACTTTTTAATTGCATATGTCTTATTCTTCGTCCGGGGACGCCGGAAGGTCGACCAGGTGCATCGGCCAGGGCAATGGCGCGGGTGCACCTGCGGCAGGGAAAAGTCACGCGTACTTCTTCAAGGCTATGGCATTGCGGCAGGCTGAAACGTCGCTAAAACGGTTAATGAGGCTAGAATGAAAGAAGGCACGCGAGATGCACGTTATCACGGCCGAGTATGCGGACAGTTAGCGAGGTTTGGAAAAGAAACGACGATGGAATATCTGCGGACGGGATCTCGCGACTCGACTGGTTTGGCAGGAAATCGGCCGATTAACGTCGACTCCGGCTACCGATCTCGGCGGGTTGGACGGAACAAATAAGCCTTGATTTTATATAATAACGCGTCGTTGTGCCGACCCTCGGATAGACCGTGTATCCGGGTACTTATGCGCGAATGCGACGTTATATCGCCGAGAATATTAGCGTCCTGTATCCAGGGCAGAGCTATAACAATTGGCGAAAGGGCCCGCGAGTTATTATGCAGGTGTGCTAATCGTGATCAAGTATCGATGATTTACCGGTATTACGGTGGGCAGATACTGGAAACGATCGAGATAATCATGGCCTCTGGTGTATATACTTGTTTCAAGATGTCGACGCGACGCACGGTGGTCCGAAACACATTTTTAGAGCGGCAAAAATATTATGTATGCTTATATGTGAATTTGTGTTTGACGTTTTTTTCTGTACATATTGGTATTTTCCACACAAATTCATATATATATGTAGAGTAGTATACTATTACAATATTTGTATCGCCCTAAGAATGCACTTTGGATCATTGTGCAATGCAGAGAAGCCAAGAGTGCCGAGAAAGGAAAATGGACCCGCTGTTGGGCGCTATGCTTGAATATTCTTCACGGTGAATAATTACTGGGGGGCTACTGGAGTCGTGGTTGTTATTAACCCTTAACTGGGAAGGTGAGGGTCAAAGTACCGCAGCCTTCGGGCATAACTTCCGTGTCTCCTGTAGATTCGTTCGCTGCAACACCCGAGGTAGAAATCTGCAATCGCTGAAATGTCGGATAATTATAGCAAATTTTTTCTTATCATCATTGAAAAATTGGCATTACTCTCTGTTCATTCAGCCTCCGATTTATTATGGGAAGTGGCTACGACATTACATCTTCACCTTACCAGAAACATAGGCGAGGAGGGGAGCTAAATTAGCGGTAACCGTTTTTTGTCCGCCACTGTACGTCGTGTTTAATATTACATGGGAGAACTGTACACTGCACGGTTCGTGGATCCGATTGGAGCACGCATGCATGCGCGCGCAGGGGTGTGCCCCGGGAGCGCGCGCGAGATTCGTTCCCTCGAACGTCGTTCTAGTTTCCTTAGTCCTTTCGTGCTTTCTCGCCGACCGGCGTTCCGTCCATTCCGTCTAGCTCGACGCCGCTCGGATTACGCTTTAGGGTAACCGGTACCTACGGATAAATGTTTTGCGTATCGGCGGTGGTACGATCCTCCGGTTTCCTTGGTACATCTACCCTCGTCGGCTCATCAGCTGTTAGGGGAAGGGTTAGATTTATTTTGCGAAGAAACGAGAAGGTTAGGTAACGGGAAGGGAAAGAAAAACGAGAGCTTTCATTGAAAGTTCGTCGACGTCGACCGATCGCCCGTTAGAGAATGGGTTAAATTCCCTCCGCGTGAAAGGAAATAAAGAAAGAGGTTATGTACAGGTTCTCATTGACCGTTCAATTACTGACCTCGGGTGATCACATAGAAGAGAGGTTAGGTTAGGTGGCAGACGGAAAAACCGGGGTCTTCTGGGATTAACTCCAGCTTTTATTAGCTCTTGGCATCTGGCGTGAAACATTTGAAAAGAAGAGGCGGAAAAATAATAAACTTTGAGCCATGCCGATCTTACGTCCACTGGAACGTGGCCTCCCGGTCTTACGGATGTTCCCTCGGCTGATCATGACCGATGATCCTTACCGAACAACCGTTACGAAAGCGTCTCGCCCATACGCTTATGGAACCATCCGGCGTTGCGGCCTGACCGTCGCGTGTCCTCCGCATAAGGGACTTCCGGTCGTGCTTTAATCCGAATCGCGGCCGACCATCCGGTCCTTCTCCCCCGAGACGAACCCTAAGGGCCCAGTTGTACCAACCATGATTACCGTTCAGTTTCTTAACTATTATTAGTCAATCTTAAATCAGGGCAGCTTGTGTTGCACCGACAGAAAAAGAAATTAAGCTAACTGAAGATTAAAACCGATTCTTTGGTAATTTTCTAAAGTCGGGGAATTAGCTCCAACCACGCGCTAAATGACCTTCGATTATGGGTTTTAAATCGAAGGGTGGTGCAACCGACCCTTTGACTCGCTTGTAGCCAATCTCGGTGCCCCGTCATGACCCTACGGGTGAACTTTGACCCCGAAGTCGAAGATGGCCGTCCAGGATGCCGCGAGGTCGCGGAAACGAATCTCTCACGGGAAGACGCGACGAAGATAGAGGGCTAATGTGCCCGAAGGAGACGTAACGCTCGTGGGGCCACCTCGCGATATGGAATTCGGTTGAGGAAGACGTCGACGCCATCGTCGGCACACGGAGAGGACCTCTCGGCATGGGGCAACAGGGCTCGAAGAAGAAGCCGGCGCCTCGACCTAACCTCGCAAGAGACTCCGTCAAGATGCGGCTCGGCAGCTTCAAGCGAGGTATCGCCACGAGCAAGGCATCTTTATAGATGGCCTCTAACGTGCACTCGATTAGCGAGTGAAACCATCCTTACGAATCATCCTTCATCCACGGGTCGTAATCTTACTAACGATAAGTACAGGCGGCTCTCACGTAACGAATTTTTCGATGGGAATTACTTTTCTCATTCCTTATTTTTTATCCTCGCGCGGAATTTGTCAAATTCCCCATAAGCGGATTCTGTTTATCGAATGTCCGCGTCAGTTCGAATCGTGCGCTTTGGGAATTTTTTTTGTTTTCTTTTTTTTTAATTTAAAACTGCGCGCTTCAAGAATTTTCGAATCAAACGTGCGTATGTTTACTTGAAATCGAGTCACCGAGTGCCGATTAATTCGTAAAGCCGGGAAATACCTGTACACTAATACCTGTCCGGAAGTCGCTAACTCGCTTATGGGACCGCTAGATGGACCTTAAGGGGGTCGAGAAACCGCCCTGAGGTCGCCTCGACATTTTCTCTCGGCGTTCCTCTAGGGGTCGGTCGAAACTCTAACCTCGTTAACGTCCAGGAGTGGTTCGCGGTTTCGGGAAGAACACACAGCTCCCTTCGGAAGCCGCGGCGGGAGAAGTGCGTGTGAGTCGAACGCGAGAGGAGCGGAAAGGGTCGGAGTGAATGCCGGTGCGAGAGAGAGAGAGCGAGGGGTGGCGGGGTGAGTGGGAGAGAGACAGAGAGAGGCTGCCGTAAAACAGTGGGGACGGAGAATGTCGACATGGACGTTGGTCGGTACGACAGGTTGCTTCGTTTCTAGGTCACCCGATCCCACGGCGCAGCTCTCGCGCGCATACTTAGCGATTAACCCTTTAATCGGCGAACCTTGATGACGTTGTGGCCTCTTCGATTAATTATCAATTAATTACCCTCGCGTCTCTTACCGTCAATCGTTTACATCCACTTGGTCGTTTCCTCTTGTGGCGGCTATTTTGAATTACCGCGATGACTGCAATTAATTACCGACTTTTCTTTTCTTGTTTTAATGTTGATCTTCGATATCTTGGGCGTGGGGTCTCTTCACCTTGTCGCTGTTATCTCGATTAATTGTCGAGTCGAAGTTTTTATGTATACTTATCATTTAATTACTCTCTCCCTTTCCTGAGAGATCTTTTACGTCCACTTGGCTCTCTTCCGGTCATCGCGGCCATTTTGAAATTCCCAAAGTTCTTGTAGAATTGGAACGTTCCCTCGGCGGGTGTTAATAATCAACGATAAAAGCCGCGCTCGGCCACTCCGTAGGATTAACAAAATAGAATCGACGAGTTCGATCGCCGTACCGTAAATAGGGCACACGAGGCGAAACCAACACCTTTCCAACTGGATATATCTCAGACGGTGCCGCAATTTCTACCGCCAAATGGGAACGCTCTATCTGCCGCATTTGTCCCGTATCTTTCGCACGCTAGAAAGCGCGACTGGAACGGCAAAAATGAAGGTTAATTGCCGGTTAGTGTGAATTATTAGGTTCCCATGAACGATGCCGCGATAACCCGGGGATTGACTTCACTTCTCGCTAAACCCGGCTTCGGCTTACTCGCGGAATAAAAACGTTTGATAACGAATTAGATAAGTTTCAAGTACTCTTAAAACTATACTTGAAGCTCTTTTTATTATCCAATTAGGGTTAATTATCGCAAATTTAGAAATACTCAACTTTCGGTACTTAACCTTGTAATCCGCGTCGCTGGTCAAAGGGTTAATCGACGCTTAGGGGGATGAAAGTTGGATGAGAAAATGTTGAATGAAAATGTTCAGAAAAACGCTCGTTAACTTTTTCCTTGGACCCGATGGGCATCCACTCGACGTACTAGCCCACCGTCGCGGTACTTTCTCCTTGGTATGTACTAACGATACTAATTGCAAGTACCGGGTACTAACTCGACACGTGGAAGAGCCGGCTTCGGCCGGATGCGTTCACCAGGCACGAATGAAATTCGCACCTCGTATTTTTAGGAAGTACAAAAAAACGATTGGGTAGTCCGGAATATAGCGAACCGTCCACTCGATCGAGCCTACGAATCGAGCCAGCTTCTCAGCAACGATCGCTGCCAGCATCGGTGCCGTCCACGAAGCGCGCATCTCCGATCGTCAATTCAACTGGGGGACCAATTGGTCAGCCGATCGACGAGTCGAGGAACAACAACGTTGTCGAAGGTGTCAGCAATCGAGACGGCAGCTGTAATGGGAGTCAAGACAACGACAGTGGCCTTAATGGCAGCAACAATGTCCTTAATGGTAGCGATAAGGGTTTCAACCGCAGCAGCAATGGCCTTAACGGCAGCAGTGGCTATCTTAACTCCAGTGAAAAAGGTTTAAACGGCAGCAGTGGCAACCTTAACTACAGCAGCAATGACCTTAACTGCAGTGAAAAAGGTTCCAACGGCGGTAACGACTTCGATGACGGCAATAACAGTCTTAACGATAGTGATAAACGTGTCAACATCAACAACGGCCTTGACGACCACTTCGGCATCGATACCAGCAAGGGCAACCTTATCAGCAATGGCGAACTCATCACTGTCGACGACATTCTTGACGATGACAGAAACGGCAACACGAGTCGCAACGGTTTTCGCGAGCGCAATTACGCGGAGCAATTCCGCGATCAGCTGTTCGACTCCGACGACGATGACGTCGACGGTGACTCCGACGACGATGACGGCACCGAGATCAACGTCAACGTCGTCAACAATAATGGAATTGGCAGCGACCCATCGCCGACATACCTCCGTAAGAAAACATCCAGCAATTCGAGAGAGACTCCCTTGTTCTTCGGCTTCCCACGAATCTTTGTAACGGTCTCTGTTTCCGGTATTAATGGAAATCGTGCGAGCGCCTCGGCAACAATGGCGGGGCTAAATTCAGCCGAGTCTATCTCGCAGAAATGTACAATCGGATTTTTCTCGTTAATGGACGAAATAGCGGGGAGCGGATTTGCGATCCTTTCGGTTACGGCCTACGAACTTCGTTCGCCTTCATCGACCTTTCCTGCTAGATTAAGACATCACTTGCGGTCTCATTTCTTCCACTGTTGCAAGAGTTTTCGCTTGTTGTGTCCGTGGTGTGTGGCTGTGTCCATGTGGGGTGTAGAGTTGAATTTCTTCCGCTACTCTTGCCGGGCTGATTTAACGTTGCACGTTTTTTTTTAGAGAGGTCCCCTTGCGCGTTGGATTCTCAGAGGAAGACCCCCAGTACGAGGACGAACCAGCAAGCCTGCACCAGCAACGTGGATGTGAAGAGAAGCTGCCTGGACTCGGGGAAAAATAATCCTGGTGAGAATTTTCTATCCTTTTGGAGAGTCGGACAATTTGTCCTAGGGGATGTCGTGTAATCTAGGGACTCCATTTCCAGATAAAAGCCCGACCGTGCCGCGAAAGCCGCCGGTCTCGAGGAGGCTGTCGTGCAACACCTCGCCGAAGACTCTTCAACATGGAACCTCTGTGCTTACCAAGGGTATGTACCCAGAAAAGTGGATGGAAGTGCACCCTGCAACTGCGTCCTGCAATCCAGAGAGATCGGATGAGATTAACAGCGAATATGCCGGGAGATTTGAAATTATCCCGCGCGTTATTGACAGTAATCGATGACTGATAACGTCCTGTCGGTCGTCGACGATGTGCCAACTGTAATTGTTCAATTAGAGACCGGGTAAACGGTCCACGCACAAGACCTCCGATGCATGTAATCATCCCGTCGATTACTATCGATAATGAAACGCCAATTGGAAATCGGTGCTCGGCGGTAAAAACGATTACCGACTTACGCAGGTGTCTGCATTATCCTGATTAGCGCGCGATTTAGAGACTCGATGGATGATTATATACCGGTCTACTTTCGTGGGATGTTTCGAAATCTAGAACTACGGTCGACCCTCTTCGTCGGTCTTTCGTCACCTCTTAACGTAACGCGAAATCAAAACGTTTGGGCGACAGCCTCGAAATAACCGATCGCGTATTGGCCTTGAAACCGTCAAGGCTCATTTTCGCTCTCGTGACCGAAACGGTCCCTAGAACTATGACTCTAATTTCGGATTTGAGTTGAAATGTCTAACCATAAGATGGACGGGAAATAAGGCTGCACCTGTAGGACGATGTTTCGCTCTTCTGCGGGCACAATAACGTGTGATGTAACTCTTGAGGAATTCCAATGCGAGATTTTATGACGTCAAGTGTGCGCTTCGACGACGGACTATGCATGCGAGAACGGAGACTCGTTTCCCGTGCCGGGAGCTTTTCTCCTACCTCGGGAAAAGCCGGAGAAATTCTAGCCTTGAATGGGATTCCGATCTTTGGCACTCGTCGGCTGACTTTCCTCGCCCTGGGGAAGGTCTTTAGTTAGAAATTAAACGCGATGCGTTGAGATAGCTAGACGGTCTTGCGACACTGAGGGGACGCCATTTTGAAATTTATTTTCATTTGTTATATTTGAGATTTAGTCGAGGGGTTCATCTTTTCTAAGATTCATACCCAGTTATCGAGCAGCTTCTCGATGTCTCTTTCTAAATTTTTGCCTGATCTCGTAAACGAATATATGTAAAATATATCGCAAGAATCCAAACGATTCACTAGAAGTCTTAAACGTTTTTGTCGTGACCGTCGTCGATGGAGTGACCTGGGAGTTTCTCGCTAAAAATCAGTACCTCTCAAAATTTTCGTCAGATTTCATATACGAAGGTATAAAAGCGTCGCAGGATGTTTTTGTCCATCTAGTGGAAGTCGTCGACGTTTCCGTCATGTCGGTGTTCGATCATGATCGTCGTCATCCACAGAGTGACCTGGGAGTTTCTCGCTAAAAATCAGTACCTCTCCAAATTTTCGTCAGATTTCATATACGAAGGTATAAAAGCGTCGCAGGATGTTTTTGTCCATTAAATGGAAGTCATCGACGTTTCGGTCATGTCGGTGTTCGATCATGACCGTCGTCGTCCACAGAGTGACCTGGGAGTTTCTCGCTAAAAATCAGTACCTCTCCAAATTTTCGTCAGATTTCATATACGAAGGTATAAAAGCATCGTAGGATGTTTTTGTCCATTAAGTGGAAGTCATCGACGTTTCGATCATGTCGGTGTTCGATCATGACCGTCGTCGTCGACGATTCCGGTCGGCGTGGTGGACTTTAAGCGAGGGCTCGAATGGCGGTCGGTGGGGCGAGAGGCGGCCGCCTGTGGCTCGTGCTAATTCAGTCGGCTCGTGGACTTGGCCAACGCGTCGTCGAGTATTTCTCGGCCGGTTGTCCCGCTTCGATAGGAACGAGTTCGCGATCGAGTCGCGGCCGAGCGGCCAAGGGCGAGCGCGACCCCGTCGAGAGGGTCGACCCTCTACGTCGCGACCTGGCCATAGGCCGCCGATCTTCCAAATCCCCGAACCCTGAGATTTTGCGTCGCTTTTAATTCCGAAGTGATTCACCGAATACACGGAAACATGATTTGCGTAGACTCGACATAACCCTTTCAAGATTGCGAAGTGGATTTTTTAGTCGTAATGGTTATTAAAATCAGGAACAAGGATTCCAAAAAAAATTTCGCAAAATCATAATAACACGTGCAGTTCACTTGGGAATGTCTGTCAGATATGTGTTTAGCAATTATGGCGTAAGGGTTATCATTTTAAGTAGAGTTGCGTGAAGAGGAGTATTTTTTAACGCGTAGAACTGTGCATAAATTTAATAGTCTAGGGGTAGAAACTGCGACTTTAGGCAGGCTCGATGCTGGAATAGAATTCCGAGTGCCGAATGGACGCTTTCCCTCTCCGTATCGACAAAGGTTAAGGCGCGGAGATCTAAATGATAGACTTGGCGTGCAATGGAAACGTAGCCCATGCGATTCGAGGGACTCTCGTGGCGCGATCGCGATCGTGGGACCGACGACCGGCGCACCGACGCCAGGTGGTTCCGCGACCGGCCACCGCGGCGCGGCGGTCGAGCGACCCGGTAGCTCCGCGCGCGCCCGCGGCGCGGCGCTCCGGTCGCGACGACGACGCCAAACGTAAGTGAACGCCGATCGACGGAGGATCGAAGTGGATCCAAACTCGAACTAGAAACTGAAACGAAAGAGAAAGAAGGGTAGATTCGGATCGACGAAATAACGAAGTCGATTTTTTTGCTCGCAGATCGAGCCTCGAAGGACAGCACCGCCGGCAGCGCCAACTCGTCGGCGAGCAGCAGAAGCTTGGTGGAGACCCAGGACCGCGGCGTGCAGACGGAGCCCTCCTACGAGAGCATATATCTGCGGCGGGCTGACCTCTCCGTCCAGGCCCTTTCCGTCATCGTCCAGTACCTCGCCCACCGGGTAAGACGAACGCCGAAGGAAGAAAATGCCGATCATAGCGATAACAGCGATCCCAAGCTCTAAGAACTGGCAAAGTCGATCGAGCCCAGGCCGTCATTTTGGATTTTACCATTACGCGAGTCTTCTAAGACACCTCGCAAAGCAATACTCATAAGTATAGCGGTAAAGTCGAGAGAATTAAATTGTGGAACAGGCCGCCATATTGGATTTCGGGTACGTTCGCCAGCGCTTACTGCCTTGCGAAGAATTCTCCGAGGCCTTAAATAAAAGTTTGTAAGCCGATCGTCGATTGTTCCTGCATGGATCTATGTGCTATTTGAGATATTCAAGTTGCATTTACATGCAAGGGTAATCGGCATTGTGTAACTTATCGATTCTTAAGATCGGCTTTTAATCGGCGACGCTCGAGGCCTCGCTGTATTAATAACGATCCGATTCCTGGCACACTCCTTAATGGCCGACTCATGCTCGTTCTTCCGTTTCAGCTGGACGGGTTTTCCTCGCCGAAATTGCGGGAGGAGTTCCAAAAAATGAAGACCGAGTGGACCGCGGCACGTGTCGAGGTCGAAGAGTTACGTGCCAGGCACGCGGAAGTCAAGGAAAAGCTCGACGTGCAGCGCGCGGAACATCAGCGAGCGGTGGATCTGCGTAAAGATTGTGAGTTTCCTTTCTTCCCCTCTTTTTTTTTCCTCTCCCCGTTTCTCTTACAGCGAGGATCTTTATCCAACGGACGGAGAACGCGCTGTTCAAACGGCCATTCATGGGTTTTTTGTGCGCACCCCCAGTACCAAGAAGTTGCGAAACGAGAAGGGAAACGATTCTTTTAGCGAAATAACGGAGCCAAACGTGTACCACCGTATTTCCCAGCAGCAATCTAACCAAATAGCAATTATCAATATGTAATCATGCCATATATATATATAGTGAAATTGAACGTTACATGAAACGAGAATGGTAACGCTATCTTCGGGAAAAGTCGAAGCCTTATCTTTCACAGTATTTGGCATTACCATAGTAACATTACGCGATATGTTATGGTTATGGTGAAATTCAGCGTCCCGTGAAACGAAAAGTGGTAACGCTATTTTCGGGAAGATATCGGCGCCTTATTTTTTTTTTATTGTATATGGTATTGTTGCAGTAACATCCCGCGAGGTTATGGTGAAATTTGAGCGTCGCGTGAAACGAAAAGTGGTAACGCTATTTTCGGGAAGATATCGGCGCTTTATTTTATTTATTGTTTATGGTATTGTTGCAGTAACATCCCGCGATACGTTAGGGTTATGGCGAAATTGAGCGTCGCGTGAAACGAAAAGTGGTAACGCTATTTTCGGGAAGATATCGGCGCCTTATTATTTTTTTTTATTGTATATGGTATTGTTGCGGTAACATCCCGCGATACGTTAGGGTTATGGTGAAATTCAGCGTCCCGTGAAACGAAAAGTGGTAACGCTATTTTCGGGAAGATATCGGCGCCTTATTTTTTTTTTTTATTGTATATGGTATTGTTGCAGTAACATCCCGCGATACGTTAGGGTTATGGTGAAATTTGAGTGTCGCGTGAAACGAAAAGTGGTAACGCTATTTTCGGGAAGATATCGGCGCCTTATTATTTTTTTTTTATTGTATATGGTATTGTTGCGGTAACATCCCGCGGTACGTTAGGGTAATGGCGAAATTTAGCGTCGCGTGAAACGAGAATGGTAACGTTATGGTTAACGAAGAGGGTCGCGACCTTTTAAGCCCCGTTCTGCAGACCTGGCCGGGTCTTTTGAATGTAGTTATTCGCAGTGATTGGTGAAATTGAGCATGACTCCGCCGTAGAGTTTTGAACAGTCGTCGCGACGTGACACCGTCCGGCCTCTATTAGTTGTACATGCATTATCTCATTGTGGGGCGGTCACCGCTACGATGCGGCCCCGTAAACGAGCGTCAATTATTTCCGCGCAGGCCGGCACTCTCGCGTGGGAAGCCGCCTTGAAATTAAACCTACTCGACGTCGCGAAAAGGGATGTCACTGCCAGCATTAACCGGGCCCTCGAAAGAAGCGCATCCAACGCTCGGATTTTCCTAAATTCGGCCACACCTTCCGGTGGATATCTCCAGATTACGAAACTCCACGACTAATTTCAATCAATTTCAACGCCGAGACAATTGACGACTCCGGGACGCCCACGCGTCGTCAAGTATGTTAAGGACGCCCGTTAGACCCTTCTCATAACCTCGCATAACAGTAACTATAAGTGTAACAGTTAAGAACTTGTCAATGAAATGACATTTTTCACCAAAAAGTCAAAGTTGCCGCCGATCGCGAACGCCGCAGATATTAAGGTCTAATGAAAGTGTAAAATATATATATATATATCAAAAGATCAAAATATAAAAAAAAACTATTCTCCAAACTGGATGGACCGATTAATTTTAAACTTTAACGCCCGATTACGGGGTACCTAATGATGTTTCGCAAGTTTCAAGACCTACATTAGTGTTAACGTTTCAGATTATTCGGTGCGCACCAAGTTCGGAGGAAAGTTCTATTTTATTACGAGAGACGGTAAAGCTCCGCGCCAAATATATACATGTATATATAGGCGCGAAACACTGACCTAGTCATTATCTGCGATGTCTGGAAGATGTTGATATTTTCAATATTTTTACGGTTTGATGTGTTTGGAATGTATCTTCTCAATATTTCGTTTCCGTTTTAGTGGAGTCCCGACACGCACAGAGGGTTTCGGAGCTGGAGGCGATCCTGGAGGACGAGAGGGCGAAGTTCGACGTTCGGTTGAGAACGTCCTTGAGGGATTCGGCGGCAGAGCAGGAGGCCCTGGTGACGAGGCTGCGCGCTGAGCACGAGGCCGAAGCAGCGCGCAGAGATGCCGAGAGCGACCGGCGTTCGGCGGTGCACGACCAGGGTGCAGCCCTGCGCGCCGAAGTGGAGTCCCTCAGGTCGGTCCTGGACATCAGAAGCCAGGAGATAGCGGCCCTAAGAACGGAGCTGGTGGGCCTGAAACGTGAGATAGAGGTGAAGGAGGCGCTGGAGCAGCGGGCCGAGACCCTGGAGGCGCGCTGCGAGGACCTGAAGGCTCAGCTGCAGACGAAGGACTCGTTCGAGCGGCAGATGGTGCACGAGAACAAGCTTCTTCTGGAGTCCTTCCACCAGGAGTCGAAGCAGAACAAGCGGCTCTCGCAGCTGAACGAGGAGCTCCAGTGGAGGTTGCGACACAACAACGAGGTGGTGACCGTCCTGGCGAACCAGCTGGCCTCCCCGCCCCAGCGACTGACGCGTTCCCTCGGTCCTGAACGCATAAACCACGCGCACTCGCCCGACGACTCCCCGCCAGGATCGCCGATGATCAAGTCCATGGTCGAGAAGGGAGACTCGGTCTCCTGGACCCTGGAGATCGAGGAGACGCCCGAGGCGATGGCCTCTAGGCTGCTGCGCCGATCGGGCTCGGGCTCGACCTCGGCCCCAGGGGTGCCCTCTCGAGGTGGCACCAGCGGCAGCCCCGGTAGGTTACTAGACTCCTAAACGCGGTATGTTACATCAAGATGGATGGGGAGACTCCGGCGATTTTGAGAAAAAGCCTTGAGGGTAATCATTACTGAAATTTTGATAATAAATCTGGATTATTCTCGATGAAATCTCTACGAATCCTTGGACAAATTCTCGATTAGTTATCGCGTTATCGGTACTTCGAGGTCATTTTCTCAGTTGGTTTGATTACACCTAGAATTTTATAACTCCAGGTGAGTTCGGCTCGAAGCGGCACGGACCTGCGACCTCTAGTGCCGCGGCTTCCACGGCTCAGCCCATGGGCGTGAAGCTGGCGCCCGGAGCTGCGACCGTCTCCAGGCAGAGTTCGCTGAGATCGACCACCCAGCGCGCGGTGGTCCTCAGGACACGGTCCAAGAGCGTCTCTGTCGGCGACTCCAAGCCGGACTCGTGGTCGCCGAATTTCAACTCGACCCCGGTAGTCCGTAGGAGACCTAGAAGTGACGCCTCCGCGAGCCCGGTCGCGGTCGCCGCCGCAGCGGCCGCTGCGGTCGCCGCTGCGGCCGGCAGCAACAGCACCGGGGACTGCAGCCCCACGTCGGGCCCCAAGCCCCAGGAGGCTGGCGGGGAAGCCATGATCTCGGAGGAGACCTCGGCCTCCAGCAGCGAGGACGAGTCCTCCGCCAGCAGCGACATTCCCAGGCTGGCGATGGAACTCTCGTGGAGCGAGTCCGAGGGTTGACTCGACGAAGAAGCTGCCCTAATGACGAAGAACCTACCTTCATCGACCTCGTCACCGCGGACGCGGGTCGTCGACACTTGTGATCGGCCATATTCAGTTGCGCTAATCGCTCGCGGGTCGATAACAACCATAACCGGTCGAATTTAATCGCGCTAATCGCCTTTTGGATCGTTAACATCCATAATCGGCCGAATTTCATTGCACCAACCGCTCTTGGATGGGCGACACTCGTGATCGGGCAAATTCAAACGCGCCAATTATTCTCAGATAAACGAGGACTGGGCGTCGCCTGGTATCGTAATTCCCACATCGGAAACCTCGCGGATGGTAATTCCACCCGGTGCGACGAGTATTTGTGGTACTTTCAAAGTCCTAACCGCAAGGAACATTCGCGAGGTGTCTATGTAATCGTCGACGCTTAGTTCAATACCGAGAGGCCAGGTGGCGCTCGAGTTTGGGGCGACCGAGGCGCTCGGAACCAGGGAGAGGCAAGAAGCGGAGATTCTCCAGGACTTCGACCCTAAATCGCTGCCGTTTGAGAGCGCTGCAGACGCTGGCGATACCAGTGGTCGTTGTTTAGCCACAGGACGCGGAGAAAACTCGGCAGCGGTCGACAAATGTGGAAGTGAAACCCGGAATGTGTGAAAGTCGGAGAAGAGGGGATCTTCTGGATTCCGATATCCGTTTCTAACTGGAAGAACTGGTCGGCGAAGAGTCGCGGTATTTCTATGTAGGGAATTTATTGTAAACCAGAGACTAACGCGGTGTCGGTAAGAGGAGCTGCGCGGTAGTTGCGGCAGTGGCCGCGCGCGGCGCTAACGTTGTCGCGCATTTTCCAGTGTCCTCGAGGAACTGACGAAGAAACTGCGTTCTAGGGCCGAACCTGCGCCTTTCAACGGGGAAGATGAATCGAAAAACTGTGGGAAAACGTCCCAAGAGACCGGAAGAAGCAGAGGAAGCCGAAAAGTACCCTTCCTGGGTCCCTGTTCGACCTCCACCGTCGCGATTAGCTGCGTGCAACTAAATCCCGACATTGGTGAACTAAACTTGAACTTTAGCGATTAGTAGTTAGGGATCTATGACCGTCGACTAGCGAGTATGATAGACAGCGTACGCGGTCGCGGTCGACAAGGACTAAATGCAGTATTACGTTATCGTATGTAAGTCGCGTCGTATGAGCGGAATCGTTTTTTCGACGTCCAGATCGAGCTCGGGTCGTCGACGACGTTACATGCCACATGTCAACGGATCTAGTATTTACAAAGTGCATGAACTCGTTTGGATGTTGGCGGTAGAACGTGCGGAGTGTTCCTCGGAATGGACACCTCGTGAATTTCGGTTTTTAATCGCTGGATAACCTTCCTTGGAGAGGTCGTCGAGTAGTTATCGCGAATCTGCGACGACCTGGCGGGTTTTTATTTTCGCTGGCTCGGTTCTCTTCATCGACTGCTCTCATCTCTTATTTGCAGTGCACTGTGGCTGCTCGTTATCGGTTATCGGTATTCACGGCGTTTGTATCGTTTCTCCGTGTATAAAGCTCGGGAACTGTTCCTCAAACTATAAAGTCACTTGTATTCGTTATTCCGTTACGTTGTTGCGTTTACGTTGTAATCTGGACACTTCCACCGTAAAGTATGTACGTAGCGCGCAGGTCTACGGGAGATTTCGTCGGATGTGGTTGTGGATGTTGGTTTTCTCTATTTTATTTCTTTTTGTTCTCCTTTTCTGTTACCTATTCCGACTTCGTCGCCATCGTCTCGGGGTGTCCAGCGGTCCCAGTCCTAGAAATATCCGAGTATAATGAGCCACGAGTATGTTATAAAGGTAGCATTGACATTACCCGCAATTTTGCAAGTTGACTCCGTAGGTTCCACTTTCCATTTATTTATTTCACTGCGCGGATCCCCAGGCAGCGGCTCCTAGCTTTAAGGTGATTTTATGTTAAAACGTACTTGGAGGTTTGAGAACACGAAGGAGAAATAAAGTGTACTGTGCTCGTCTTTAGACATCTTGTGCACCTGTTCAACGGAGTCACTTCGCCCCTTTATGGTTATCTTAGCGATCATAATTTTCAACGTTCTAGTATCTAACTCTTTCGATGGGCCCGTTTTTAGAATTGCGCCTACTATTTCCCCGTGACTAGGGGTTATTTACGTCAATGTCACCATAGAGATGGTAACCATGTTCTCCACGTCGGGATAAACAGTCCCGCTGTCGAAAGCAAAGTCAAAGGTACTTTAAGTATTACCAGGGAACTCAGCTTGAAGGGCTATTATCCCTGATTATTCCTGAGAATTTATGGTTACGAGATAAACAAAAAGAAAAAGGAGCAAACATGGCGACGGCGACGCAACAGCGGGTCATTCCTGCCATGGACACTCTCGTCAAGTATGACAATCCGATCTTGGTCACCACTCATCCGGAGAAGGTTAACTTTTAGGAGGATTTAAAATAGGTCACCCAATCTTTGTTATATAGTTTTTTTAAACGGCACGTTTTATATTAGTCCCAGAAAGTATCCACGCCATCGAAAGTCGGAACCACGGCATGCAAGATACAGACTACCGTGCCAACTGTAGATGTACGCAGAGAGACGGTGGAAATTCTTAATGGCATTCTGCCACCCAAGGAATGGGAGGAAGAGGGACAGGTGTGGACGCAACAGGTATGAAGGGTCTATTATAAATTAAAAAAATATATATATACATGTTGTATAACGTGTACCGGTGTAATCAGGTGTCGAGCACGCCGGCCACCAGATTGGATGTCATTAATCTGCAAGAACAACTCGACATGAGATTGCAACAACGACAAGCCAGGGAAACTGGGATCTGTCCTGTTCGACGAGAGCTGTATACTCAATGCTTCGGTATCAAATTGATCTATTAGTTGCTAGTTAATAAGGTTTAAACATACTTCACGGGCGAATCAAAGTTAAAATTCGACATTCTGATTGCGCGTCAAGAATATTTAAATAAACTTTACGGACGAATTAATACAAGTCGCAATCCACTGAGCAGGGCTAATTAATCCTGTTGACATATTTTTATAAAATGTAAAATTCGACATTATAATTGCGCGTCAAGAATATTTAAATAAACTTTGCGGACGAATCGATGAATGTTATGGCCAACCGCGGGGCGGGAATTAATTCTCTCGATATTTCAGCGAAATATAAAAATCGACTACAGCTCACGAAATATTTATATAAACATTGTAGACGAATTAATACGACAAGTGACGGTCAACTGTGCGGAGCGCGGATTGCTCCTGCTGAGAGTAAGGGACGAGATAAGGATGACTCTCGCCGCTTATCAGACCCTCTATCAGAGCAGCATTGCCTTCGGTATGCGAAAAGCTCTCCAAGTGAGTGGGTAGAAATTATTTCACCACCTCTCGGGCCTTGCTGTCGATAATTATATGCAAACTCTCTCAGGCGGAACAAGGGAAGGAAGACCTAATCGCGACCGCGGAGGAATTGCGAGTGCAAAAAGCAGAATTGGAGAAAACTCTAACCGAGTTGCGACTTAAGTTTGAGCAAGCCGAGAGAAGAGCGGCCGAGCAAAGGGAAGCCGAGGAAAAAAAGCACATGGAGGAGATACAGTTCCTGAAGAAGACGAATCAGCAGCTAAAGGTACGCCGATTGTTCCTCTTAAAAAAAAAAAAAACAAAGTCAAACAAAATAAACATTTCTATCATATACAATTATTTTCCAGACGCAATTAGAAGGTATCATCGCGCCGAAGAAATAAATTTTCATAAACCATCGCGTCAAGTTTCCATGGTATCTTTTTCAATGTAACATTATGTGAATAAAATATTTTCACCATTATCGTACATTTTGTTCCATGTAACACAAGTATATCAGAGATGAGTTGGGAGACTGCTCACGGGCAGGATCGTGCGATCGCATCCTGTGCTGCCCTCTGGTTTCGTACGATACGTCCTACGTTTTCGTACGCTTTCATCCTTTTTTGCACCCAAGGGTGACGCAACGAATTTCTGACAGAGATGAGTTGGGAGATTGCTCACGGAAGGGATCGTGCAGTCGCATCCTGTGCTGCCCTCTGGTTTCGTACGTTAGCTTTCACCGTTTTTTGCCCCCAAGGGCGGCACAACGAATTTCTGATATTCAACTCGCGCACTCGCGATAACGGTACCATCTACCAGTGACCGTTGGCGGCTCACGTACTCGTGACGGTAATACCATGCGGCAGCTGACAGTGGTGCCTTACCTACGCTTACCGACACTGCTCGCTTTTGATGGTAAAGGAAGAACACTCGTGACGCTCCATATGACTTTATCTACTTATCTACTACTATTAAGTACATTGTT